AAAATAATACTTAAGTTCGTAAAAGAACAAACACCATATATTAATTTATTCCTATCATGCCGTATAACTAAGTTCTCACCCAAACAATTAACTTAATCAATGAATCCATAAATATGACCATGAAAGTAAGAAAGCGTATGATTTATCTAGAAGAGTACAAAATTATAAGTCATGTGCTGGTCATGCAAAATTTGGCCTCAAAATTTTGATGCAGGATTCATATAATATACTGAAATTGACGTGTATGGTTCACAAGAAAAAGACAGACATGGTTTCATGCACTAGGATCTACGACTACCTATAGCAAGCTGTTTACTAAAAACTAGTATAGATTCGTCGATTAATTAGCATGTGATATATCAAAAACAATTCTGTAAAAGTAATTACTATTCAAGACGTCCATATAAACAGTGCAAGACATCAATATATAATTTAACAATAATTTGTTTTAACAACAACATAAAGTGTAAACAGATTTGTGAGCAAACCTTGAATAGATCTAAAGATATTCTTTGCAAAATTCATATTTAGAACAAAATATAGTTGTGCATATATTTCTATTCCTTTAAAACATGTTGGGTGATTTACGAAAACAACAAGATATATACAATTTTACCTTAACAATTAAACATGACCACAAATTCATAAATAATATAACAATTGAGCAAAGCAGTCGTGACTTATTAAACGTACACAAAACACAAGCATGAACAATAAAATAATATAGCATATAAGGATGCATTAGTTTTTAGCAAGCGGCGATTGATCATGTGAAAATGAAAATAATATTATAAAACCGATCCGTATTTATAATATTCTCTCAAACAGGTTTGCATATATATGTATATGTAAAATACGAGATGCTCGCTTATGATGCGTGTGAATTATGAGGTTACTAACCTTGTTGATTAACGAGAGAGAAAAGGAGAAGATTGGAGAGATCTGATGTTGGAGGGACAAAGGAAAAAACTCAGTTGATTAGAGTTTCGTGCTGATAACGTATTAAGGGAAAAACTCAGCTCTTATTATTTCCACAAGCAGTGTATATATACATTACATAACTAATACATCAGAAACCCTAATGGGCCATGAGACATTAACCTGATGGTTAATGGGCCGGTTACTAGAAGTCCATTTATTTATAACAAAAAGAACTATAATTACCGAAGGGAAATCATGTAGGTGATAGTATAGATAAGAACAGTACGGACAAGTAAAATGCGGAGAATTCACTGCAAGATGAAAAAAATATTTTTAAAAATATCAATAGAGTAATAATTAGACATTTAATCATCTTCTTTTGATGTTCAAAAAAAAAAATCATCTTCTTTTAAAAAAATCGGCCGCTTAGCCTCCTAAGTCGATTGTAGGCTTGTAGCTAGTTATATAATAAACATCACATATCTTAACTAGATTTAGAGTGTTATATAAAATTTTCGAAGTGAAAAAAAATAAATATGATTTTAGTTCGATCGTAAGTAGGGTAGGCATTGAGAAACATCGAATTACTTTGAAGAAGATATACGGCCAAGATGGTCGTCAATGATTATTGGTTTTTATGTTTTCTGTTAATCATATATATATAACACCTTCATATGTCTTATCTCTGAACCATTTTTATAAACATTATATTATAAATATTTCTTACGAGTTATTTTTGGTAATAGCTTAGGAAATCAATAAGAGATTATATTAACCCTTGTTACACAAAAAGAAAGAGATTATATTAATTTAAAAGTTTCATACACCTGTTGAATTCGTGTGAAGACTTATGATACTAACTTAATACCAATTTATATCAGAATCTTCTGTAATATATATATATATATATATATATAATATATATATAAGATTTAAGAGAAAATTAGTTTACGTAATTGAATGCATTTACCTATGATAAATTAAACAGTTCATATATATATTCATTCAATTAATTTTAAATTTTACTTATACTATATATATAAAGATCATGTATCTAAACACTTTTAACTAAAATTAATTCAAAATCTCGTCTCACCAAATACATTATGATTGATTGATTTCATTTCAGTGTATAATTTTTTATTTGCATCACTTTTAGTTAAGTATGTATAATAAGTAAAATTAAGACTGGACTGGTACCAATTTAATTATTATTACTTTTCTAATAACTCCTCTTTACGTCAAAAAATAAATAATCACTCTTCTTTTTTATTCCCCCTAAACCTATAATTTTTTTTTCAAAGTTTCTGATGGAATTCTAGTGATAATATATAGGTTATATGACATCACATAAGTCAGAGCAGAGGTTACTGATCAATATGTCTTTTCTCTCGTTAGATAAAACTTCTATGGACTAACTGTTGATCTGGTATTGCGTACACTATGATTCTCGCATAATTTCTGATGTACATTAGAGTTTGAAATTTTTCTCAAGCATGAGATGATGGTTCTAGATGTAAAGAGAAAAATATTAGTTATGGAACTTAAATTTCAACAAAATTGTTGCCAAAAAAGTATTATATAAACGGTGAAGACTGTGCATATCAATTAATATACAATAAAATCACAATCATGCCAATTAACATATGATAAAATCACAATCATGCCAATTAACATATGATAAAATCACAATCATGCATGCCCAACACACAAAAAAAAAAAAAGGAAGTGCAGCTTAACATACGTGATCTCTCACGTTAGGTAGCTCACGAATAACGAACCAAAAAGGTCCAAAACCCTCTTCACCATATAACATTCGAACCCTCCTCGACTCTATATAAATAAAACCCCTAACTCTAAATAGATTTAACAGAAAAAACAACCTCAGTATCAAAATCATATATCTCATAATACATAAAAGATAAAGAAGAAGAAGATGGCAGCATCGTCCAGCTCTTCCAAGTCTTCATTGGCGACGATCATGAAGGTGGCGGTGATGGTGGTGCTGGTTTTGGTGGTGACGGTGGATGGACAGAGCTGCAATGTGCACTTGGGTGGGCTTAACGTGTGTGGTGAGTTTGTGGTTCCTGGAGCTGACAAGACAAACCCTAGTGCCGAGTGTTGCAATGCCCTTGAGGCAGTTCCAAGCGAATGCCTTTGCAACACGCTTCGCATTGCATCTAGGCTTCCCACTCGCTGCAACATCCCTACTCTTTCATGCAGCTGATGATATATGGACGTTATATCTATGTAAGAACACACCATAACGTTTTAAAACATTATTTGCTTTATCCATGTATAATAATAATGTATCTAACCAGCTTATACTATGCTATCTATTGTATTTTCTAATGACAGGAGAAGCATGGAGGGAGATCAAGAAGAAGTGATATCTAAGAATAAAAACTCGGTGTTGAGTTGTTGTGTTTTCTTTTTTTTTTGGTTCTCTTAGTCACTCAAAAACCAATGGGTTTCGAATAAAAAATTGAATAATATATTAATATTGAAGTGACATTATAAATTATTCGAGTGGTTGAACTCAAACGTTTCATGAATGAAATTCTTTGGGCAGGCTTTTAGTCTAGGAAGTTTCAAACCAACAAAATAACAAATAAAAAAAATGGTGGTAACATGAACATAAAGTAAATTTACAAAAGAAAAAGGAAAATGATGAGATAGTTTGGTTTGGGGCATCAAACGTGACACATTGAGAGCAAATTTTATCCTACTAATTTCTTGCAAAACTGTGGCTACTAATTTTACAAAGTTTGGAATCTTTATTTTAGATTATTACACTTGCATACATTTTTGAGAAGCAGTGCTGTTAAAATCTTTGAAGAGAAGGTGTTTAGATAATGTGATTTAGTTGTACTCAAATGTATATTTGATTGACTAAACGAGCTTTTTTTGTTTGCGGTATAGACAGTCGACAAACAAAGTGCACTTTTTTTTACAATACTAAAATATCATTATGGTTTTATCCAACTCTTTTATTCAAAATTCGAATCTACTTCGCCCCATATCAGAATTCGGAAAAATTCAGTCAAAAACATAACTGAAGAAAACAAAAATCAAACAAACTGTGTTGTATGGAATCTAGGTGAGGTTTGCATTTTGTAATCTCAAATTGTCTCCTAAGAACTTTCTTTAAATGCCAAAAACATCAAATGACCATAACACCCCTAGCAGTCTACCTGAACAACAATATTAACAACAATATTAACGCGTGTGGCTTGAACCGATCGGCGGACTTCACGAACTCGGGCCACGCGCTCCTCAGCCTCTGTCTTATAAAGTACTTCAAATTGGCATTTGATAATTTCAGAGTCAATTCAAGAAAGACTTTCCATCGGTTTCACAGTTTTACACAAATTTTTGTTTTTATATTTTATGATGTTAGGGTAAACCATAGGTTAAAAACATTTTAAATTGGTGCAGAGTCAAATTAGATCTTTTAGGCTTTTTAGCGCAAGGCTTTTTGAAAAAGTTGCCGTTTTTTATTTTCTTCTTTCCTTTCTTCTATTTTGTCAAAATCTTGAGGGAAAATGACAAAAGAAGAAAGTAGAAACCCATTTGGTCAAAATCGAAGCTTTTTTTTTTTTTGTTTTTTGGTCCGAGATTAGGGTTTCATTTTTTTGTTTTTTTCCGCATTCTGAAAGATCCTTCGAAGAAATTGCATTAAAAGGTCAAAGGTAAAACCTGAACTTTTGGGTGAAAATCTTCTAGACAAAGAGAGAGAAAAGCAGAGTTTCGAACCAAAAAAGAGACAATTCATATGATATAACACTGGAGACTTCTTTCTCTCTCTCTTTTGCTGATCTCATTCTTACGACAAACAAAACTTTTCTCAGTCTGGTCATCAGAAAATCTTCTAGGTATTGATTGAATTTGAAAGGTCTGGAACTTGATGAAAATGCAAAGTAAACACTGAGAAAAGCTTTTTGAATAGTAAAAACAGTGACTATACAAATATGTCGAGTCTTGCAGTATGTTCTTTTCTCCATTGGTGGCTTTGTCTTTCTTTTTATTCCTACTCTATCAATTAGATTATTGGCTGGTAATTATTGCAGAAAGCGAGAATGAATGGTGATGATGTTGATCTGTCTAGAGGAGAGTTAAATCAAAGTTTTCCGGCGAGGTTTAAAGATGATGATGAGTTCGAGAGTGATAGCTTTGATGCAATGTCTGGTGATGATGATAAACATGAACAACGCCCCAAGAAGAAGAAGAAGACAAAGTACCATAGACACACTTCTTACCAGATTCAAGAGCTCGAATCGTAAGGAGTCTCTGTTTTATCAAAAAATCATCAAAATGTTGTCGGTTGCATATTGACTCTAAAGGCTGTGTTTCTTTTGCTATTTTCTGATTGTAGTTTCTTCAAAGTTTGTCCGCATCCTACTGAGAAGCAAAGGCGTGAACTTGGAAGCAAACTTGCTTTGGAGAGTAAGCAAATCAAGTTTTGGTTTCAGAACCGAAGAACACAAATGAAGGTACTTATCGAGTTTCTGAAAAGTTGTGATTTTTATGGAAAGAAAAAAGATCTGTTTTTAATGGAAAAGTTATGATTTTTATTGTAACCAGACGCAAATAGAGCGGCATGAGAATGTAATTCTCAGACAAGAGAACCAAAAACTGCGGGTCGAAATCGGTATCCTCAAAGAAGCAATGAGAAGTCCTGTATGCAACAACTGTGGTGGATCAGTTATACCTGGTGAGGTTTCATATGAGCAGCAGCAACTCAGGATTGAGAACGCTAAGCTCAAGCATGAGCTCGAAAAGCTTATTGCTTTAGGAAACAGATTCGTTGGCGGTTCTGTTTCACTCGAGCAGCCTTCAAATGTTGGGATTGAGACACAGCATTTGCCTTTAGGACGAGGTACTATGATGTGTGAGAGCTCAACGTTTATGGGTCTTGCCATGGAGGCTATGGATGAGTTGATGAAGTTAGCGGAATTGGGCAATCCTTTATGGATAAAATGTTCAAAGAAGGAGAAAGAGACCATGAATCATGACGAGTATCGAAGCATTTTCTCGGCTAGTAGTAAACATCTCGGTTTTGTAGCTGAAGGTTCAAGAGAAACTGGTTTAGTTCTCATCGATAGTTTGGCTCTAGTGGAGACTCTTATGGACACGGTATGAGAAACTTGTCTGTAGACTCTAATGAACCGGATTTTTATCAATGCACATACATTTACTAGTATTCTAGTAAACATGATCTCTTGCTTTTGGGTTTTTATAGAACCGGTGGGCAGAAATGTTTGAGTGTATTGTAGCTGTTGCATCAACTGTTGAAGTGATATCCAATGGTAACAGTGAATCAAGAAACGGCTCTCTTCAATTGGTATGTTCCTCAAGAACCATAGAGTTTATATTTTTGATTACATTGGTGATTCATGTTTCCTTTTTGTTGCTCAAGACAATAAAGTTTATATCTTTGATTACATTGGTGATTCATGTTTCTTTTGGTTGGGACAGATGGAAGCAGAGTTTCAAGTGATGTCTCCATTAGTTCCAATACGACAATTCAAGTTTCTTAGATATTGTAAGCAACATGGAGATGGTTTATGGGCTATCGTCGATGTTTCTTTCGATAAATACAGAGAAGGTGAAAACTTGAAGAGTTATGGTGGCTTTAAGAGGCTTCCTTCAGGCTGTATCATACAAGACATAGGCAATGGTTTCTCCAAGGTAACTTCTTAAACATTTTTCTTAGTGTGAAAATTTGGTGTCTTGGATCTGCGTGAGATTTTGTTGAATTGTTTATAGCCAAGAAGTTCGGTTAGTAATATCAAATGAGTCGACAAATTAGCCTGAGAACCTGAAGCTTTTCTGATATATCTTATCATAAAACTCAAAAAGATTCCTATTTTCTATTGTTTATAAATTATTAACTCAAATCAAAGGCTTCATTTTTCAAGGCAAAGCTTGCTTCTTGTCTGGGCTAGTTCTCTGCTATATATTATTTATACAAAGTATCTTGTTTTGATCACTTAAAAACTTGGGATGTTGTTCCTTGAAAATTAAGTGAATCTGCTTAAGTAACATTACTTACAAATGGGTTACTTTGTTACTAGTTACTACAATTGGTTTAACACATAGAAGCTTCAACAGGTAACGTGGATAGAACATTCAGAGTTTGAAGAAATCCACACACTTTATCAACCGTTGCTCAGTTCCTCCGTTGGGCTAGGCGCAACCAAGTGGCTTGCGACTCTACAGAGACGATGTGAAAGCTACACGACCCTTTTGTCTTCTCAAGATCACACAGGTCTTTCTCTTTCTCTCTCTCTGCTTTTTACATCTTGAATTGTTTGAGATTTAAAAGAGAGAATCATTCAAGAAATATTTTCTTTGATGTTTTCTGATAGGTTTGTCACTTGCTGGCACCAAGAGTATACTAACACTGGCACAGCGTATGAAGCGCAACTTCTACTCAGGCATAACTGCATCCTCCATTCACAAATGGGAAAAGCTTCTCGCTGAGAACGTAGGACAAGGAACGAGGATACTGACCCGGAAGAGCCTTGAGCCGTCTGGTGTTGTCCTGAGTGCTGCAACGTCTATGTGGTTACCAGTGACTCAGCAGAGACTGTTTGAGTTTCTCTGTGATGGTAAATGCAGAAACCAGTGGGACATTTTATCTAATGGTGCTTCAATGGAGACCATGCTTCTCGTCCCAAAAGGGCATCAAGAAGGAAGATGCGTCTCTCTTCTTCGTCCTGCTGTGAGTTTATCATCTATCGTGAATGTGCATAAATCTCTGCTCTTGATTACTGATTAGACCAACTCCAATTTGCAGGGGAAAGATCAAAATGAGAGCAGTATGCTTATCTTGCAAGAGACATGGAACGATGCTTCTGGTGCGCTGGTTGTTTACGCGCCTGTCGATGTCCCGTCTATGAACGTTGTAATGAGCGGTGGAGATTCAGCTAATGTGCCGCTTCTTCCATCTGGGTTCTCGATATTGCCTGATGGTTCATCGTCATCGTCTGGTCAGGTCGATAGCAATGGAGGCTTGGTGAATCATGAAAGCAAAGGTTGTCTCCTGACCCTAGGATTTCAGATCCTTGTGAACAGCCTACCGACTTCAAAACTCAACGTGGAATCTGTTGAAACTGTTAACAACCTCATGGCTTGCACCATTCACAAGATCAGAGCTGCACTTCATATACATGCTTAGCTAAATTTCTAAAGACCTGTTCTTGTTTTCTCTTTTCGAAATATTTTGTGAGAGTGTAGGAGACAGTAGAAAGATTTGTATAACAAACAAACAAATGGACGAAAGTCTACATTTTGCAAAACAGATTTTGTTGTTGTTGTGTTTCTGAAAAATTTCCTCTAATACATTAAGAAAACAAAAGATTCAGACTTTCTCAAGAGACATATAAGACACCACGACGATAGAAGACAAGACTCGCCGAAGCAAAACCCGACCAAACAAAGACAACCCACCAAGACATCAACAAACCCACTTGTCTAACGAAATCGCTGCAAGGCAAAGAACCACATACCAGCTGGGATACAGCAAAAGAGCTCAGGTCGATCTGAGACAAGCCGAGGAAGAGCAACACAAGCACCGACGGCGCCAAGAACTGCAAAGCAACGAGGCATAAGAAGTGGTTGTGAAGGAACATCTTCGCCCTGCTAAAATCCAAATCAGGAGTTTTGCTTCCATGTAATCTCTGGTACCACGAGAGCACAGCTTCGTTCAAAAACATCTGGAGGTTAGGACGAACCGCAATGGCTTGTAGTAAACCCGAAACCAACAAGCACAGAACACGAAACTTTGCGAAATCAATACTTGACATGCCTACATTACCAACCAACCCAATGTGGCTACCATTACTACTACTACTACTAGTTCCAGCATCTTGACTTCTCTTCACTAGAATCTCTGCCAATGGATGGATCCAAAGCAACGACGTGAAAACCGATACGATGTAATTCGCGTATAGAATCATTCTACCAAACCATCCACAAGATATGATGGACAGATTACTCCTAATCTGATCAGTACCAACCCAAAACGACCTCGCGCTTCTCCCTGCAGGCATGTAAAGGAAACCAGCGATGCAAGCCATTGAGGAAGATATGAGTATGCAGCAGAACGCATCAACGGAACCCAATTGGAAATCGAATCCCTTTGGGAAAACCCCAGCACAGATTATAATCCCGAAGACAAACCCTAAAGCCCCAAAGATCAAGCTTAGTCTTTTCTCGGATTTCTTCGAAGCAGATCCTTCGATCGAGATCTTAGCCAAAGCGACGAAGACCTTACACAACGCGATGAATCCCAGAACAACCGGGAAAATCAACCCGTTACCGAGAACGCCATGGCTATCATCTACAGGGAAGTAATTGTGAAGAAGGAAGCACGAAACAGCTAAGAACGATAAAACGAAGAGGTTATTGTACTCTTTGAAATACATCCGAGATCTGAGGTGGTCTTCATCGAGCTTAATCCGGAAGATCTGGGCATTGCTTTCGTCGAATTCGGATTTATTATCCTTGGATCTATTCCTCCTCCTGACTTCACCATTGGGCTTTGGATCGTCGACGCTAGACGGACGTCGAATCGCGGCTCTGACTCCACTTCCGGCGTTGTTCTGGCCGAGATTCTCCGGTTGGATGTAGGTACAGAGGCCGTAGAGGAAGATGATCGGGATTCTGATAAATGAGAGGATTAGGATTAAGAAGAGAGATAACAGGGCTTGAAGTATGAGATTCCTATACGTTCCAAGAAGCTCGAGCATTGTCTCTTGCTCTCTCTTCTTCCACTTTGTAGTTTACTCTGTTCCTCGAGTCTATGGTGGAAGCAAATGTAAAAACAGGCACAGAGTCTAATTTGTTGCTTTCGAGAGTTCGAATCCTACTTTAAACTGGTAAAGACCCGATGGGCTTTTAAATGGGCCCAATATAAAACAGCAGGCATTTCTACAACGGAATGCCAAAACGGCACGTGTTCAGAGGATACAAACTTAAAGAGCAAGCATGTCTATACAACACGTGGCCATAGGACCCCTAACTAAAAAACAGCAGGCATTTCTCAACCGGAATTTCGAACAACGCGACGTGCTACTCGAGATTGGTGTGACGAGAACGTATGGACTCAGGTGACTCACCCAAAACCTCTCCAAGCTTGTACACAACCATCTCGAACAACACAAACAAGGCTCCTTCGTATACACTTCCCATCGGCAACAACCGTCTCTCTCCCTTCTCCGCCGCATCTCCGCCGTCGCTCGCCATGGTCTGCGCAGGGATATAGCAAACAGCCGTCGCGTGTTTCACACAGGAACCAGTCTCCGGCTGCGCCGTGAGGAGGAGAACCTTAGCGCCGGACGATCTAGCGACGGAGCAAATCGCATCGACGGTGGAGAATCCTCCGGGACCGGCTGAGGCGATGAGGAGATCGGAGGAAGAGATCGGAGGTGTTGTCATGTCGGAGACTAAGTGAGAGGAGAGACCGAGGTGGAAGAGACGCATCGCAAAGGCTTTGAGCATGAGGCCTTCGCGGCCGACGCCGTGGAGAAAGACACGGGAGTTTCGGCGGGAGACTCCGGCGAGTTCCGTCACGAGGAGGTCTAACGGTGGTGGATATGGAGAGGTTGGGTTAGAGAAGACGGAGGAGATTTGGTTGCAGATTTGGGAGGATAATTTCGACATTTCCTGGCTTTGCTCGTTCGTCATTGATGCGTATCAGATCAAATTTGACTGCCTATGATCTACATTTGTGCAATTTGAACCACATTTATAGTTTTATACAGAGTTGCACAAAAACGACAACGTATAGAGAAAGTAGTTTTTCTTTTTCTTTTTTCCTTTAATTTACTGCAGAACATAAAATTTCATCGAAAGAAAACAACAAATTCATACAGAAATGAACAATCAAAAACACAAAACAAGACGAAAACGATAAAATTTTGACGAACATTGAAGAACAAAAAAGATTTTAAGCAATTGCGTTAAAATGCTACAAAAACAATAACATAATTTCAGAATCTTGATGATTTCTCTTCTTCTTCTTTTTTTCTTTTTCAAAGGTTTAGATTAGTATAAAACAAAGATTAATTGATAGAAAGCTCTGTAAAACCTGGACAAGAGTACACATTTGACTGAACAACACAGAGGTTCATATCAACTCGAGGATGAAGATGACTTGCCCGATTTTGTTGTCGCTGCTGCATCTAACTCTTTGTTAATGCCTTTAGTGTGTCGTGAAGTTGTTGCCTCTGACTTACTACCTTTTGCAACATCGTCTTCTTCCTCTTCTTCTTCATAAAACGACCCTGAGGATCTCAGTTCCTTCACCTTCCGAAACTCATCGTAATGTACTCTTCTGTGTTCATTGAAACGTGCATTTTTCCCACCTCCGGAGTCTGTGTTTCGCACAAAAACAGGAACATATGGAGATGATCTTAACAAAAGAACCTAAACATGACAATTAATATTTGTTTTGGTTTAAAGGAAGACCTTCATCATCTTGATCCATTGGATCTGCTTCATCCTCGGACGAGCTCCAGCCACCAGAAGCAGAGCCCTGGCTAATATTTCTACTGGATGAAGGTGCTTCATCATTCAGAGCATTCCTCAGTTCTTCCTCACGTTGCATATCATCAACGCATTCGTCAAACGCTCCTCTTCTAGGAGACAGAGAACCTGGTATAATCAAACAGGAGATACGTATTTATTTTGCACGGAATTAGAAAAGATCAGAAGTACTTCAGGGTAATCTTACATCTAAAATGACAGATTTTAAGATCAACCAACCAATAGCAGGTACAAGGTTGACCCCGACAAGTGTAGTTATTGCCAGACTTCCTAGATGAATACAACTATTTAAATCTATTTCACTAACGCTTGCTTAAGGTCTGACATGCATTCTACTTCTTTATATATGTCATAACCATATATATGTATGCTCAAATGTGTAACATAAGATCTGTGCATATACAACCATAAAGCAAAGAAAGAGAAATAGACAAACCATCATCATCAAGCATCGGATGGTACGGTGTCTTTGGTTCAGTAATCTTCTGCCTGACAGGTTTGTTGGATTCAATTTCCACAATATTAGCTTCATCCCATTGTACACGCCCCCTGCCACCAAAATGAACATCTTTAATATTGCAAACGAGACACTAATTTTCAGCAGCCTGATAGAAACAATCCCATGAGACACTAAACTACATTAAACAAAGGTCATCTCTCTTACAGAAGAGGTCAATATCTGAGCCTTAAACTAAAGAGTATAAAGTTCCCAAAGTCTTACTGTTAACAATTCTTCTGGAAATATGAAAATCCATGAACATTAACAATATAGACTTCCCTCTTCCATTTCCTTTTCAATGGGGTAGTAGAGAAAGATCTGTTTTAAGCTTCCATCAAGTACCGCCACAGAAGGCTTAGAATTTCATATCTATGAATGTTCATCTCTCCACAAAATTAACATAGCCCATTGGCTCTGGAATTGTTCTTATTTAAACACATGCAAGGTACCGTTCTGATGCAGCAAAAGCATGCTCAACTCTAAAAGATGAAATTATAGACCGCAAGCGAAATAAAATTCGGAGGGGGAGAAACATACTTCATGTTCAGCTGCTTGTATTCTATATCCGGCTAATCCAGCAAAAACAATCCAATCTGCTAACTTTATAAAGAAATATACGCAATGGTGTAAGGGACAACTCAAATCATAAACTTTTATGAAAAAATGAAGCAGTTCACTACACTAAATTTAAGACCTTGAATCACAAAAGAGATTATCGAGCCGAATATCGGAATCTAGTACATCATTTACATGGTGAAGGAAAAGAATGAAAACAAAGTAGCAGTCATCAAATCATCCAAAACCAAAAACCAATATCTCTGTTAGGATCATTGACTGAGAAATTTCATAAACAGATCAGAATCTCTTCCAGGATCATTCTGCTGTACTATCCGAAAAACCAGAAGCGAACATCTTTTAACTTATCAAATATTACTGAGCTAGTCGTTTCAATCAAAATGGTTCAACGAAGCTGATCAGGAAAGCCTACAAGCTTATCACGTTCCTGAATCCTCCGCCCAAAATCGAAAAATTCAAAATTTCCAGGAAACCGCAACGAGAACATTGTAGGAAACCCTAACCCATATCTGGTTCTACAAAGACCGAATTCAAAAATAAACGAGAGATTAATAATGCGAAGCTATCCATCGAGCATCAAAAATTAAGAACTAAGACGAAACAATAACAAACAAATAAAATTTCGCTTACCTCTTTGGATCGGTCATCTTCAACCTCCAGCAATTTTTTTCTCGATCGCAAAATTATAAGACTGGTCTATTGGGAATCTCGAATTTACCCTCCAACGAGACACACGATTAGATACAGTACCCAATAAAGAGATGGCAAAGAAGAGCCGTCCGTTTGTTTGACTTTAACTATGACAGGCTTTAGATCTCGCCGCGTGTAATATTACACACCCGTCGATTTTCGTCTTGGTAGACACGTGGCGGGATCGAACGCCTGGCTGAAGACCGAGAAAGGGTAGTTTTGGAAATTAGCTTTCGAGGATGAAGAAGACGATCAAATCGAAGACCAACACAGTTGAGTGCAAAACGAGAGAGGGATTAAGTTCGATCCTTTCTTTGTCCTTGTCGAGATCTTCAGACTTGTAAGGATCTTCGAATCTTATTTTGTTCGTTTACAATGAATAAAGATTCCTTTTTGCTGATTTTATTCGATTTCGAGAGCTTTGTATTGATCTAGTTCTTCCCTCACTAGGCTATTTTGATCTTCATCATGTTGTGAAATCCGAATGGGTTCTTTTATCGATTAGACATTTCGAGATCTACTCTTTTTGGGAACTGTAATGTTGGAAATTTGCACTGTGATCTAGCCTTTCGAGATTGAAACTTGTTTCGAATTGTGTTGTTTTGGTAGTTTGATGTCTCTTGCTACTTTGGTTTCGGAACAGAGTTAGAAATCTGAGAGATATGTTATTGCATTGTGGGTTTTGTGAAATTCTGAATTTTGATCCGGGGAATTCTTTGGATTTCCAAATTACTTGTTGATTCTTCTGTTAAGCTTGCTGAGATTATGATAAGGAAGCAAAGTTATGTTCTCACTCTCTAGGACGTTTGATAATGATGCTGATGATTTAGTTCCACTCTTATTTCGGTTCTGTGAAAGCTAAGAGAAGATCAAAGTAATTAAACAAAGCCCAAAGAAGGAGGAAGTGATGTTTTCTCTTATGCATGGATTGTGGAGTTACATGTTCAGCAAGACAGAGTTCCATGTGCTCATTCTTGGTATAGACAAAGCTGGGAAGACGGTACTGTTTCTATCTGTTTCCGTTTTGTAACTTCAGCCTCGCATTCTGAATCTTCTGTTATCCAAAAGTTGAAGAATAGTGTTGAAGATTCATCTCTAATGTAATTGCTCTCATATTTGGATGGTTTAGACATTTTTGGAGAAGTTGAAGACGATATACTCTGTCTCAGAAGGTCTTCCACATGATCGAATTGTTCCTACCGTGGGGCTAAATATCGGTCGTATTGAACTCGCCAATGCTAAAATTGTGTTTTGGGACCTGGGAGGTCAGGTAAGATTGAAATGTTTTCCCTTTCAATTATCCAGTTACCTAAATTAGAATTGATATATGTTTTGAATAAGTTGCTATAATCATGCGTATGTTGAATAAGTTTAGTTGTTGTAATAATGAGTGTGTTGAATAAGTTGCTAGCTTGCTATAGTCATGAGTTTGAATAAGTTTAAGTTGTTGTAGTAGAGTGTGTTGAATAAGTTGTTAACTTGCTATAGTCATGAGTTTGAATAAGTTTAAGTTGTTGTAGTGGAGTGTGTTGAATAAGTTGTAGAATATCTTATGGAAATAGAATTGTTTTGTACTTATGTTTGGGCATATAAATGGATGTCTCTTCGTTTTACCTAATGTTGTGTTCCCACTTAATCATATTCATCCTAGTCTTTTATACTACCTAAGAGCATATGCTTTTTAGATGATATGATCTCTTTTGATCTCTTCCCCTCCCTAAATTTACACTCTTCTTTCGGAAGCTTATGTGTTTTGAGCCTTTCTTTTAATAAATATTGTAAAGAAGGGTTAGTCTTATTGATCAAATAAGAAAAATGAGAGTAAGCAACGAGAAGGACAGGCTATAGATCATCTTCAAGAGATTCCTATGACTCATCTTGGCATTTGACAAGCTTATTGTAAGAGTGTAAGGGATCTCTTGAAGATGATCTATAGCATGTTCTTCTTGTTGTATACTATCATTTTTTTTATTCACAAACCCTGAAAAAGGATTAGTCTTTCCATTAAATAACTGTGCCTTTTTCTCCCTTATTGCAGCCTGGTTTGCGTTCGATTTGGGAGAAGTATTATGAAGAAGCACATGCATTGGTATATTTGATCGACGCAGCTTGCCCATCCCGCTTCGAAGATTCAAAATCTGCTCTAGGTAAGTCTGCGCACTCAAGTTCACTCCAAACATTATCATTATGAAGCTAAATCCAAATTATAAATTGCCTTCACCAGAAAAAGCCCTGCGGCATGAGGATTTGCAAGGAGCCCCTCTTTTGATACTGGCAAACAAGCAAGTAGGAAACTGCATTGCCTCTCGTTTGATTATCTTAGATTCTCCAAAGATATGTTTTTGCTGATAAGTTTTTGAAATTGGAAAACGATGATGAGCAGGATCTCCCAAATGCTGTATCGGCTGAGGAACTGGACCGATACCTAGATCTAAAGAAACTAGACGAGAGGGTGTACATGTTTGAAGCAGTTTCCGGATATGATGGGTAAGTAAAAATCCAACTTTAGCTACGCATATGAATATCTTGTAGACCAATGGAGACGTTTTAAAGCAAAGGAACTTTTTTAAATGTTTTGTTTAGCAGACGAGGAATCAAAGAAAGTATAGAGTGGCTGGTCGGAGTCATGGAAAGAAGCAAAAGAACCGACACGTTGAAAGCCCGTGCAGGATATGCTCCTGTGCCAACTTCCTAGACATGAAAGGGACTCACAAACTCGATTCTCAAACCAACTGTTTTCACTGGGATACATTTGTAGATAAAAACAGAGCAGAAACTTGCATTGTTTTGGGTTTAGCATCAAATCACATGATGAGTATAGGACTAGTAATCTCCTTATTGTTGCCTATTAAATCCTTACTAATGTTATGATTCAATTGAGATTTGAACTCATGATTGCATCTCCAAACAATGATGTAATCAAATTTTCTTGAATCTAAAAACTCATTGGAAATAAACAAACAGAGACACTACAAAGTCTTCTCTTTTCTGTATCTTACAAACCAGGAAACAAGCAGAAGCCTAATTTGTTCCTGAAACAAAGAAAGTGAATGATTTATCTGACCAAATTCAAAGCTAAAAATTTTCAAAAAGCAATCAAGATCAAAATTTTGTTACCGGAAATGAGAGGCTTAGGCCTGGTCTTAAACAAGATCTTCGATCGTATAATCCCGACAACTTCTAGCTCCGTTTCTTTCACTGACGAATCATCCGTACACTTCTGAATCTTCTTCAAAACCAGTAATGGCTTCTTCAGAGTCACCTTCGAGCCCACGAGTTCATGGTAACCCACCGTGAACGTGTAATTTTCCTGCGAAATCATCGGTTGAGATCCTTAAATCTCCGGCGATTACAGAAAAGAAGGCGAATTTGAATTTAAAGAAGACAAAAACCTGGGAGGAATCGGAGTGGCAGAGACGACCGATCTCGAGATTCTGAACAGAGCCTTGGAACGAAGACTGAGTCTCGACGACTCCTTGGAGCTCAACGATCGTCCACTCGCTACACTCATCTTCTCCGCATCCACATTTTACTCGAATCTCCATCTTCTTCTTCTTCTTCTCTCGTCTTCTTCGATACTTTATTAATTTTTATGTATTTATATAAGTTTTTTTGGCGGAAACCACGAATTCGTTCGCGGGCTTTTTTCAGGTGAGATGACGTCACCATCAACTGGGTCTCCGAAATAACAATTAATCTCAGTTTCTGTTCCAAATTTGAGTAACCTCATAAAGTCAAAAAGCTATCTTTGAGAGAAAACAAGATTGTGGTCGCAAGGTGTTTGATAAAATGCCTGGCCGAACCATTTTTTCATGGACTACCAGAACCGTTTATGGTGTTTGTCTCCAATTCCCAATGCCAACCAGAACCGTTGTCTCATGGACTGCAATGCTCACTGCTTAGATGAGATGTTTCAGCTTTTGAGAAGAATTTAGGTTGATAATGTCAAAGCCTAATGAGTTTACACAGTAGTTAGTTATGTTGCAAGCCTCTACTCAGCTAAGAAGCTTGTCTATGGGAATGGGTTCATGACTATGCTCACATGGAACCGCTCTGATCGATATGTATAGCAAATGTGGAAGCTTGTAGGACGCAAGGAAAGTCTTTTTGAGGCAAATGCAGAGTAAGAGTTTAGCCACTTGGGAGTACATAGTTGTGAAGAAGGAAGCTTTGTCTCTGTTTAACAGATGGAAGAAGCAGGCATAGAACCAGATGACATCACTTTTTGTCGGTGTGTTGTCTCTGTTTGAGGTACTTTGTACGCATGATCCAAGTTTACAGTATCACACGTATTCAAGAACACAATGCATGTATGATCCCAACTGTTGGAGCAAGCCCGGGAAGTGGATAGATAAAGTTTCGAACTTTGGTTGATTTTATGGATTCTGATCCAAACATCATTACTTCATTTGAAGTTGAAAGGCACGAAATCTGGAGCCAGCATCACATTATGTTGTCCAAGTGGGATACAGGCTGATTTTGAAGGTTTCAGTGTTTCTTGACATATAACTTTTTTCCTCTAATCAACAGATTCATATGTAATATTTGTAACTATACAAGAAAAAGCTCCTCCAAAAGTAGTGTAATGCCATGTTAATTGTAATATGATTTCGGAGACAGGCAATGTTTGAACGTAATGCATACAAAGAGAGTAGATGCAATCAGAAACAGAGGTTTTATTTGGAAAATTTATAGATGAAACTAAGATACTACATAAATTCAGAATTTTGGTTTTGGCTATGTTTGATCTGAGCAACAACAATCTCAGCTTGAGTTTTAGCCAAAAGAATTTCGGTTTTCTGAATTTCAGTTTGTAGTAAAGAAATAATCCCAACACATCCATAAACAGGATCTTCTACTCTGCATTTTGCTTCAAAGCACAAAGATTCCACTGCTTCAGCTCTTGTCTGAACAGGAAGTTGCTGTCAAAAGATCACCAAAATCCACCATAAATATATCATACAGTAAAGTTATTTAGTTTGGAATTTAGAATAGATACGAAAAAAAGAGATTTTATTATATACCTGAAGCATTTTAGAAACGTTTCCAGCACCATAGATTCTGTGGATATATGCAAATTTTTCAGGATCGTTTGGAGGGAAATAAGGTGCGAAAATGCAATCTTTCGGACATCTTCTTCTCAGATATTTGCAAGCAGCACATCTTTTAGGATTCATCACAGATTTTCTAGAGAAAGGAAAAAAGATAGATACAAAAAGATTGTGAAAATCCTGAACAAAGGATTTGGCTATTTGTATTCTATTGTGTTTCCTTTTCTTTTCCAATAATCAAACGGCTACTTTCAGTTTATGAAATTTTGACGACATTTACATAAGGTAAGCTTATTAATGTTGATTCTCATTGTGACTAATTAGAATATTACCGTTAGTTTAAAATTTTGTTAAAGAAAATATTGATATTGCTTATTTCTCATATGTATAACCAGTTTGTTTCAAAAACACTTAAGAGACCACATGATGTAATCAAGTAGAAACTTTCAAAAAGGAAGATAATACGATGACAGTAAAAGTAAAAACAAACAGTTCTTTTCTTTCTTTCTTCCTCAACTTCAAATCCTTCTTAAGACCGTAAACCAAAATTTTCCCACTTAATCTGATTCTTCATAAACTTCATCGTCCATAACTCATACCTATTGATATCCAGATTCTCCCACACTATCCAGAGCTTCAACAACACCCATTTCTAGAGCCTTTAAAGTATCATCATCTACATCAAGTTTGGGTAATCTCATAAAGTCAAAAAGCTATCTTTGAGAGAAAACCTAGAAGCATCCATTGTTACAAGATCAAGGGTGGTTAAAAGAGTTGATGAGTTACCAGGTTCTGTCGATACACAAACTAATACACATGTATTTAGAGAACATGGCCTAACGCATGGATTGTTAACATTACAACCCATGGTGTTATCAAAATGCCCCTAAGAGAAAGAAAACATCTCTAGTCCTTGGAGAAAGTTTGTGGAAACCTTGGATCCTCAAATTTCCCCAGAGTCTTCTTCTTCATGTTACTACTACACTGTTGAACCAAATAATCACAGCTGCTTTGCCTACCTTCCTGTTCTTGCCTTGCTGTTGCTGTAACTGTCATCTCCTCGGACTTAATTTTCGTACCTGGCTCATCTAACCCGATCGGGATTGCGCCTGTCAGTGTTTTTATAGCAAAGTCGATACACGGGTCTTTCCAGATATCATCCATACACGGTGATTCACTAGAAACTCCCGGTTTTTCAGAGCCAGTAGTGTGCGTCTCTGGAGAAAAGGCGACTCCTTTCTGCTTTGCGTGACTGTTATTTTGATCAGAAGAGACTGCTGCAGTGTTTGGAAGATGCAGAGATTCTCCGGTCAGTGTTTTGATAGCAAAGGCTATGCAAGGATCTTTCCAAAGATCCGCAAGAGTCGAGTCAAACGTTGAGGTGAAGCTGTTTGTATTCCTCTCCATCACTTCTGAGCTTGCGCCTCTAACAACAGACGATTGAATGTCGTTGCTTACTATATTTTTCCTCAAAGCCGAGATCTCAGTTGCTTTCGGACTGGTAACTTTATTAGCCTTTGGACTCGGCCGCCCCACTCTTTTGCCTGCTACTGTCTTCTCACGCTTTGTTGCTGAAGTTTGGCGAGACAATGGTGACACTGGCGACTTTTCTTCCTTCTGCATGTAACCGTCAAGATGAAAAACTGGATTCAGTTCAGCCTCGGATATCACCAGTGGCGTCTTCATTTTCTTCTTGTCTCCAGAGCCATTCTTGCCTACTGGTTTCCAGATCTTTTCTACCTGCTCTTCCGTTTCTGCTCTCAGACAATCGTTGCTTGTAACAGCAGCATTTGGTTTTGGAGAAGATTCTTGTTCATTATAGCTTTTGGCTACTTCCTCATTGAGGGGTATATCCATCTTTTTCAATCCACCGGTAGCAACAGGACTCACAGGTTGCTTGCACTTTTCAGATGTTACATCATCAGGAGGTACTACTCGTTGAGCTTTGGTTCTTGTCTTAAGTTCAGGCGTCGGTTCAAGCTCAATACCAGCTAATCGTTTTGATGCTCTTCGGGCAACACTAACAGTTAACTCATTCTTCTTCACTATAGCTATACTCCTTGTGATCCGTTTTTCAGTAGAATCTTGTACCTCTTCCATTTTCATATCAGATTTCTTCTCTGGACTTTGTGAACTTGCACTCCTCAGTCTTGATCTTACACTATCTACACATACGGACAACATCGATATTTTGGCATACGCAACTCCTCTTTTGTTATTTTAAGACAGTATTCGAATGGAAGATTAAGTTTAGTATCTACTTACCTTCTTCTGATTTTGCATTTGATGTAGATAGGTTTTTTCTTTTGAAATCTTCGTCTTCCTCATTCTTACTTGCTTTAGCTTGGCTCCTAGTAACCCGTTTCGGTATGGACTGAATTTCGATAGGATCTTTCGTCTCTTCCTTCTTCTCCAGATCCTCAAGAACTTGTGAGGTTACAATGCTCAATTCAGAGTTCATTTTCCCTGCAAATATCAAATGTTGATATGTGAACTTCACTCACTGCATAGATAAGATCATACACTATCAAAATCAGAACTGTACTTACAATTCTCGGAATGTTCATCAGAAGACGATGAGTTTCTTCGTTTACTACTTCTTACAGAAATATTTCTGTTCTTCTCCTTTTCCAATAAATCATCTGCAGACTCCAGAAGAAGCTAAAATCGAAAGAAGAAAACCACTCAGCTATAGATTCCATTTAACTAACAATAACAAAAAAAAAGAGAAAGTAACTCACGACGTTCTTTCCATTTCCGGAGGAATCATCTTCGAAATCGCTTTCCTTCAGTTTACGTGCATAATTTCCAAGATCACCAGTCTCAGCATACCGTGATGCGTCTTTGAAGGATTGAAAGATATACTCACTTTTAGGGTCAATGAAGAACTGCAACCAAACAAAAAAAAAAGAGGCATTTCCAAGAATCAAATAAGAGATGAATCTAGGAGAAAATGTCAAAAGACACAAAAAGGCTGAAAAAGTGTTGAGGGTACAAACTGGATCTCTTCTACTTTTACGGCCTGGTCTGTTTGATATTACAAGCTTCTTGATCCATCCTTCAGGTAAGCCTTCAGCTGTAGATTTCTCAACTATAACCTGTATCACTTAAAACATAGAGACTTTTTATAAACGTCCAAATCTGAGGGATCTCAAAGAGCAAAATAACAATGTTTCCAAACATATAGACAAAAGAAAACTCTCATATATTCTGTGCTTATGAACTTTCCAAGAACAATCTGATACCAGACCTTTCACAATATAATTACGATTCTTCTCAAACTTCTACATTTTTTTCTTCAAGATGGTGTGAAAGGTAACTTTATGAACAGAACTCATTTTCAAAAAAATCTATTACTCTAACCACCTCGCCATAGTAAGTGAGAATCTACGTCCTTTTCACAAAAACCAAACAGAGAGACAAATCTTCACAAACTCAAGATGGCTGTGGAAATTAGCATCTCCGATCAAAACCCAAAGTAAATAGATCTTTTCTTTCAAAGCCACATAACTACAAGTACAACCAACGGTTAAAGTGTAGCTTCATAACAATGCTTTGATCAAATTACATCAATGGTATGGATTTTTATCCACAATGCAAGACGGAAATCCCTGTAAAGCCCATTTTTCAAACACTAAGACTCATACACTAAACCTCATTCTCTTCTAATGTAGTCTCTCATCTCTCCTTAAAGCTAAGCATTGCATGCAGGAGAATGTCATTAAAATGACACAAAAGATTTCACCTTTTTCCAGAAATTAGCGTAAGAGAGAGAGAATCAACGAATTTGGCACTTCAATAAAGGATACTACAATTTTTCACAAAAGAGCTAAAAACAAAATCATTCACTAACCAGAACCAAACATGCAAAATACAATCCAGAGAGATCTATGACAAAAAAAAAATAAAAAATAGGGTTTATATAACTCATAATCACCTTATCCTTTCTCCCATTTTTCCTTACTCTGATTTCCACTTTCCTATCAGCCAATAAACCATCAGAGATCCCTTCTCCGTCCATTTCTTCTCGCCTGAAAACTCAACTCCGGTCACCGGTAAACCCACTTTCCTCTCTCTTCCCCCTCACACACACACACTCTCTCTCTCTCTCTCTTGATTCACCAACACAACCCAGAATGGATTCTCAACTCAAAACGCCAAAACCCATCACGAATCAACCGGGAAAGCAACACTCAGCGTCGTCCGATTCGGATTTAAGAAGAAGAAAAAAGGAACCTTTTTTATTTTGTCTGATTGTGATTTGTGTCCTGTCTCCTCCACTGAGCTCAATAACAAATTAAGTTTAGTTAGGAAGAAAGGAAAGGGTTAACACGTGTTTGTAGTGGAGCTTCCATGGAGATTCCCGAATTGCAAGGCTCCACGAAACTCAGTCCACCACCAGCACGCGAGTCTTCTGGACCAACGGCGACTATTTTTTTTCTCTCTTCAATTGCTAAATAGCTCAAAGAGAATCCATTTTTTTCTCATGATACAGTTATTCCTTCTTTTTTTTTTACTTTGGTCAGAAATGAATAACATTATATTTTATATAAATAAATAGAAAAATTTGCTAAAGTTTTGGATTTTTTTCCTTTCTTTTTGGATTTTTTCCTTTCTTTTTGGATTTTTTCTTTTCTTTTCTTTGTTTGGTTAATTTAAGTTTGCAGATCTAGTGATGCTGGTGTTTTTTGGAACCATTATAAGACTTTATTACCATTTGACCAAAACAGTTGTTACTTTTATTTATAGAACTATTTAATATTGAGACTATTAGGATTGAAACTAGATTTTACATAAGGAAATCTATACAAACATATACAATCAAAATTTCTGAAAAAAATATATTCAAAATAAACAGTAAAAACAATAGTAAATTTTGATTGTATATTGTTTATTTAAATTTCAGGTTTATGAAAAAAAATATTTAAACTTAAATGTGATCATAAAATTTGTTTATATATGTTCTTACTGCCATAAAATGTTTTCTTCTTTTATCCATAGAACATCTCCTCGCTAATTAAACATAATTTAGTATTTCAGTTAATTGTCTCAAAACAAATGTCAACTGTGTTTTTTGAAATGATGTTTAGAAAAGTTTTTTTGAGTATTTAGATACAAAACTTTCAAGAGTATTACCATTAGATACCAATTAATAACATGGAAATTAATTTATTCCAAAAAACACTATTTACACCTAATATAATTGAAATTTCTCATTGATTTTCTACGTCTACAAACATTTCAACTAAATTTTATCTCTCATCATGTAGGATCAAAATCTGAAAACTTGTCAGTTAAAAGACATTTTTCTCTCTTACATACAGAACTCTTTTATTCTTTTCTTTTTTTCAAAATAATCAGATGAAATAATTAACGATAACACAGTCGCATTACATCGTTAACTATACTCGTTAATTAAATTAACGTTTTATATTATTATTTTATTTAATATTAATTTTCAAATTAATTGTATGTTATCAAATATAAGTTATCGACACAAAATAAAGTTAACAATAGATTATGGGATTTGGATTTATGGTAAGTGTATTAGAGTTTACTATTTAGAATTTAGGTTTTAGGTTTAAGTGGTTAAGGTTTAGTACTTTAGTATTTACGGTCTAGGGTTTAGGATTTATGATTTTATTATTTATGGTTTAGGATTTAGGATTTAAATAAGAAGATTAATATTAGGTTTAGGGTTTAGGATTTAGTGTATTTTTTTCTTACTCAAATAAAAATAAAGTGTGGTGAGAAACAAAAATTATCCGTTAGTGAATTGTTATTCGAAAAAAATCTATGTTATCAGCATAGGATAAAGTTAACATTAGTTTTTATATGTAGTTATCAGATATATATATATATATATATATATATATTACAAGTTAGCAACAATGGTAATATTATCTGGATTGTTATGTCGTTTACCGATGTCTAACGTTATTATCTGCTACACAATACTTAGATACACTAAATCTTATGTTAGGTTGTAGAGTTATTATCCATATTATATCTGTGTAGAACTAACTTGCATTTAATATTCATGTCGGCTAATTCTTATTTTTTTGCACAAGCAAATAGTATTGACATGATGAGAAATAGAGATAATACAGAGAAAAGAAGATGATGTGGCAGATCAAACTAATTTTGGATTATCTTTTAATATTTACTCAAATTTTTAGTCAATTTTAGTATTAAACAAGATCACCCAACTTTCAATATGATTTTATAGCACAAATAGTCTTGTTTGGCCTCTCATCAAAAAATCATCAATGAAGATTTTTTAACCAGATCTTCATTAATGAAATGCCAAAGCCGGTAAAAGAAAAGAGATCCCAATAGAAAAGTGCTTGATATCACCATTTAGAAAATGTTTGTTTTAGGCGGATTTAGCTGTATTTTTTACTTATGAAAGAAAAAAACAATAAAAATAAACGAATCAACTCAGGAACCAGAGGAAAGGCTCAACTACTCTATATATTTTGTAGAAAATTATCTGACGTTACAAAGACAAAAGTGAGAAAACTGATCTTCTTTCTCTCTAAACCATGGCGCTACTACTATGGCAGACTCTGAAAGAGGCAATACATGCTTACACAGGACTATCTCCGGTCGTCTTCTTCACTGCCCTCGCTCTCGCCTTCGCCATTTACCAGGTCGTCTCAGGCTGGTTTGCCTCGCCGTTCGATGATGTTCGCCGACATCAGAGAGCTAGATCGTCAGCTGAAGAGGAGGAGCCACCGGTTCCTCCGCCTGTTCAGGTCGGTGAGATCACGGAGGAGGAGCTTAAGCAGTACGATGGCTCCGATCCTCAAAAGCCCCTTCTTATGGCCATCAAACATCAGATCTATGATGTAACACAAAGCAGGTGAAATTTTCATACTTTTATACTTTTTGCTGAGTTTAAAATCGTAAAGTTCTTCACTTTGTGAATAATTTTCCCGAAAAGTTGTTAGATTTGCGAACTTGATTCATTTCTAGGCTAAACTTTTTCTGGGTAATTGAGATTTTTGCTGGGCATACTGTAAAAATGTATCCTTTTTCTACTTCATTCAAGAAAAAGATTCAAAGGAAAGTTGCAATATGTTCTTGTTGTTGTTAATGCCTGCTAATTATTAGGATCTTTTGAATTTTTAGCATAACCAATTGATACTCTTAGGCTGGTTCTCGTGTATTAAGCGTTGTGTATGTAATGAAAGGTGTTCCATTTTATTTGGTTTTGTTACTTTGTAGGATGTTCTATGGACCAGGAGGACCATATGCTTTGTTTGCTGGAAAAGACGCAAGCCGAGCTCTTGCAAAGATGTCTTTTGAGGAGAAAGACTTGACTTGGGATATCTCTGGTCTTGGTCCCTTTGAGCTTGAAGCTCTTCAAGACTGGGAATACAAGTTCATGAGCAAGTATGCCAAGGTTGGTACTGTCAAAGTGACCGGTTCTTCACAATCTGAAACCGCATCTGTCTCTGAACCCGCGGAGACTGGTGACCGAGACGTTCATGTAGCCACAGCACCTGAGACGACCGTTGTGGATAAGAATGATGAGGCTCCTGCTGAGAGTGATGTGAAGATGGAGTAGATTCCATTAGAGACCAGTATTATCAAAGGATTAGAATCTCTCATGTTGAAGTGTCAATGATAATCTTGTCTTCAATATCCCATAAACCAAGTTTGCTGATTAAATAAAGCATTTATAAACTGCTCAATCAGAAGGCGCTTCATTGAAAGACTACTAGGTGGTTGAGTTTAACGCATTTATAAACTGCTCAATCAATTTATGGTGTTTGCTTTGTTCTTGTTGACTTTTCCAAGCTGTAATTATGAATGTAGTCTCAACTCCAAGAGATTGAAATCGTCAATCCAAGGCCAAACATGCACCTGAGATTACGTAGGAGCTTAAGCAATACGATGGCTCCGATCCTTAAAAGCCTCTTCTTATAGCCATCAAACACAAAGCAGGTGACCTATGATGTGACACAAAGCAGGTGACCTGATCCCAAAAACAACAAAAATTAGGTCAATGATTTGATTTTTCCTTTCCCCAATTTCGCCTATTCATTTAAGAACTTTGCATACTTAAAGTTAAAACTTTCCGCTTTGAAATCGAAAAGTTCTCCACTTTCTCCAAATAAAGTTCAAAGAATAATGTATAGTTTAATTGATAATTGCGAACTTGATTCTTTCTAGGCTGAACTTTTATTGGTAATTGAGCTTTGCTTGGTATATAGTGAAAATGTATCCCTTTTCTACTTCATACCAAAAATATAATACCTACAAGAGAAATATTGAAAGGAAGCTGCAATATGTTCTTGTTGTTAATATCTATTAATGATTTCAAGTGTGATGTTGTTGAAGTATCAATGATAAACGTTGTTTGATTTTGCCAAAAACTTTATGGCTAATGATAAGAGACATAAAGCATTTAAAGCTGCTCAAGTCAGAACTCAGAAGGCATGGCATTCCAAGATTACAAGGTGATTGCGAATTATATCTGTGGTTTAGGAAATATATAAAATCTGATTCTCTGTTTTTGTAAATTCTCTTTTGTTTTGTGTGTTCTATTGGGGATAAATCCGATCCCTTCTACGTGACGAAACACGTGCTTGCGCATGACGTTTATAGTTTTTTTTGCATGTACGGTTCCTTAGGCCAAATTAGAATTTGTATTAGACTTACGGCCAATACGACCTAAGCATATAGCACCAGACCTTGAATCCATTCGAATTTGAGAGATCCGCCACGATAGGCCACATATTTCCTGCTTCCTTGTATCTGACAGTGTAAGCCACGCTGTCAGGCAAAATGTAGTCGGAAACTAAGTGGTCAGGAGGAGGAGAGGTCACCTTGGAGTCCTAGACCTAAGTTTGGTGATCTGGAAGAGTCGGGATATAAGAAAGGGTGGCTCGCACGGTACCCGGAGAGCTGAGTCATTCAGCTGAGCAACCTCGGAAGCCCGGTCCCAGTATCGAGGGATCTAGGCCAAGTATGAGTAAATTCATAAGCGAAAAACACTATTCAAATTTTTCTCCATTCGACAGTAAAAATATGGCTTAAATCTGATTTTATTACTGATACCCTTACAAACCCACGAGATTGACATTTAATGCATTTGTTTACACGTATCAGGCGACATGACCTTTCGTAGGAGCCAGAGAAAAAAACAGAGGATCAGCGAGAGCCATACCGCGCCTGAACCATCAAACTACACTGAGGGCGAAAGAGATGCGTCGAGGAACGGTCTCGTGGCCGACAGAACATGCCAAGAAAAATTGGTGAGACTGTCTGAGGCGTGATGCAAGTATAAGATTTGAACCCAGCCAAGTTGAATCCTAGACCGATCCACCCGATTCACTATCTGTGAACTAACCCGGTATACTAACTTGGATCAGGTAAAATCCAATAAATACTTCATCCATTTCAACGAGGAAGGAGACACACATTTTTAGTTATCCTAAGGTTCATAATATCTCTCTAGATACTTGTGAGTCTTGGACGCTGGCATCTTATACTTTCCGGTCACTATTCCGACCATCTCTTTACTTCTTCTCCATGGGGGTCTTTAAGCCGTAGAGCTCTTCCACCAACAAACTCTTTTCTTTTTTTCTTTTTACCTCAAAAAGTCTATCACCGCTAAAGGTCCGAGTTGATTACACCTTTCTCAGGAACATTCGGCTCACTTTCTTCCCTCAATTTTCCGATCTCTTTCTGCTCTCCGATTAGCCACTTAGTAATTTTTTTTTTGTTGGTTTCTTACTTGAGTATCAGAGAACCTTCAAAAAACATACATCCATTATATTTTTCAGGTCTTCACATGTTTCTCAGTTTTGGAGGAAACTTGAACTAAAAATTTCCTAAACACTACCTTATTCATTTTCTTGTTTTTCTGGTTTCTTTAATTTTTCTTCCATAACTTTTCCATCATTTAATTACTTTTAAAATTCAAATAAAATAATACCATAAAATTTCAGATTACGTTGTATAACAATTTAATAACCAAAGTAGATATAAAATTTGAGATGATTAGTTTTAGTATCGATTTAGATTCAATTACTATATTTTCTTAAGACAGATTTAGATTCCATCCATGCACCATCCCTTAACGTCTCTTTGGAGTTCAGTTTAAACTGAATTTTGGTTATTTAGGGAGAAAGAAAAATTAGTTTGATCACTTTTAAGATTGAGACGGTTCTCAGTGATCCATTCCATATGGGTTGGACCTAGAATTATGGGCTCAAGATACCATTTCTAAGCTGTCATGTGAATATATTTATTAAGATAAATAGTGTCCAAGTCTCAAGAGATATTGAAATCGTCAAAATAAGCCAAACAGGCACCAAGATATCAACGCACATGTAGATATTGTATATATCAATAGCATTCTAAACGTAATGGACCGTCGATCGACGTGTAATTTTTGTATTCACTTTATTTGTATCACCAATAATTGACAAAAAGAATAAAAAGAGGCTAAATATGAACCACGTAGGAGTTGAGATCTACGACGACCAAACTAATCGTTAAGGAAAGGCTTCAGATTTTGAGGTTCCTATCCAACCAACGCTAACGTAAAGCTAATCTCGTGTTTTCATTTCTCCCTTCTTTAATGCGATTTCTCTCTGCACCCAAAAAAAAAAAAGGAAGAAGAATACTTTCCTTATTGTCTTTTTACAAAATATTGCAATTTGTTAGTACTACCCATACAACCTTTATCCCGTTGCTCTAGCTTAAGGATTGATCAAGATTATAACTAATTAATCAAGGTGTTTTACCCTAATGCAAACAATTAGTCGTTTTTACAATTAACAATGATGGTCAAAGTAGTTTAGGCGTTTAGCCAGGGTCTTATTTTGATAGATTAAGTTTTTGGCTTATTCAACCTAAAAAACAAAAACAAAAACAAAAATATTGCAACTGTACTTGCATATATCCCCATGTAAATTTCCTAATAATATTCTAGTTGGAACCATTGGGAGAACAAGTAGCCAAATACCAAATACGCCATCACGTTTATAATGAATGCATTCCATTTAATATCACACAAAACCAAAGTCCCATATATCGATCATGAAATTTATCAAATTCTATTTTGTTTGATTCTATATATATAGTTTACTCTTTTTCCTTTTAGAAAAGAAGAATATATTATACATGTATGCATCATATATGCATTTCATTAGATTAAAGTATCCCCCAACTTTTTCTTTATTGGTTCCACAAATAGTTAAAACCCCACTTCATGGGTTATATATATACACACACAACACATGCACGTAATGTATCTATATGTTAAAATAGTTTCTTGTGGACCTAACTTAAACAAGTCGTAAAACTCATTCATTCATGGAGGCGTTGCTCTGCTCCGAGATACCCAACAAGATCAGATCCTCCATTAACGATCTCTCTTCTTCTTCTTCTTCTTCTTCTTCTTCTTCTTCTTCTTCTTTTTCTTCTTCATCATCATCTTCTTCATGTATATGGCCAAGAATCATGACCTCTTCATCTTCTTCATCTCACACAATCATGGACAAACACAACATTCCTAGACTAGACTGGGATCTCTCTCTCTCCGCCGTCGTTTCTTCCTCATCCACCGGCTCCGACGCCATCGGAGCAATCGAGTTCGACCCGAGCGGAGAAATCTTGGCAACGGGAGGGATCGCAAGAAAAATCAGATCGTATCGTTTAGCCTCTCTGTTACGTAATGACGACGACGATCACGTCGTGGAGGAGAGCTGTATCTGCACGCCGGCGAAGCTAAGCAGCCTTAAATGGAGACCCGATTTATCCGGTCGGGTTATCGGGTCAGGAGATTACGACGGAGTCGTCACCGAGTACGACGTGGAGAAAGGAGTGCCTGTCTTCGAGCGAGACGAGCATGGAGGTAGACGTATATGGAGCGTGGACTACACGCTCCAAAACGGATCCGTTATCGGCGCGTCGGGCTCCGACGACGGGACGTTTCAAATGTGGGACCCAAGAAACGGAGGATCAGAGGAAACGGTTAGGCCCGGTGGTGGAACGGCGGCGATATGTTCGGTAGAGTTCGATCCGTTTGGTGGATATTTCTTGGCCGTTGGATGTGCTGACCGGAATGCTTACGTGTACGATATCAGGAGACTCGTTGACCCGGTGGTCGTATTGGACGGTCATACCAAAACGGTGACGTATGCTCGGTTCATGGATCAACGCACGATCGTCACCGGTTCAACGGACGGGAGCTTGAAGCTTTGGGATGTAGCTAACGGAGGGCGCGTGGTTCGCACGTGCCGAGGTCATGTTAATAGCCGGAATTTTGTCGGGTTGTCGGTTTGGGGACAGGGTGGTTTGGTCGTGTCTGGTTCGGAGAATAATCAAGTGTTTGTGTACGATAAGAGGTGGGAAGAACCGGTTTGGGTGTATGGTTTAGGTCAAACGGACCGGTTTGAGTCTGACCGGCGGTTCGTGAGCAGTGTGTGTTGGAGACAAGTTGATGAAGATTTGTGTACGCTTGTGGCTGGAGGATCCGATGGAGTTTTAGAGATTTTCTCGGTCCAACGAAGCTAATTTTTTTCTTTCTACTCATGGATTACAAACTTATTTTCTGTTTGTTTTATAAACGGTTTATATGATTGAATTGTTTACTAGCATTTTTTTAAAAACAAGGTTTGTAACTGATATAGTGATACACTACACGAAAACATCAAATTACCGACTACTTTTTGCGACTAAATACGTAGTCGTTAAAAGTAGTGACTATTTTGCGACTACATTGCGACTAATCTGCGACTAAAGGGTATTGGTCGCCAAACAGTCGGAAATGGACGACTAATAAAATCAGTCGTTAAATAGTTGCCGTATTATGACTAAACTACGACTACAATGTGGTCAGAAAAATGTAGTCGTAACATAGTCGGGAGTTTACGACTAATGAGCGACATATTCGGCGAATCACAAATAGAGAAACACGTGTTTACATTTGCTGGTTGGTGTACCTAATTGTTGCGATTAATTGCTTATAGTCGTAAATCAGTCGTTTTCAGAGTTTTTACATCAAAACAGAATGTGTGGAGAAGAAGAAGTCGTAGGCCGACAGAAGCCCGAGCCTCAAAGACAATTGGGCCTAAAAGGAATAGATCGACAAGGTCCAATCTACAGTCAAAACCGAGACTCTGCAACTCTGTTTCAAAAGCAGAACCGTACGGTGCAGAGCATTAAGGATACAACTAGAGAGGTGGTCCTGCTGAACAGATTCGAGCCGTTGTCCATCTGCAACTAACCGTTGATGTTGTTACACGTGTTTGATGACGGTTGTAGATGAATCTAGGGTTTCTAGAATGGTCTGAGCTCATCAGCTCTATATATGTTGAGATGAACTCTTGTAAATCTTTATCGCCGAAAGTATTAATCAAAAGAACCTCTTTTTTCAAAACTCTATCATGGTATCAGAGCCTCTCTAAACCTTAACAGGTGCTGTCATGGCTGAAGCTCAAAACCCTTACCCTTTTCCTTGGGGGGTTCATGTTTCTAGTTCTGTAACTCAAAAACTCAATGACAACAATTACCTTCTGTGGAAGATCCAGTTTGAGTCTCTTATTCGAAGCCAAAGGCTTCTCGGGTTTGTCAATGGTCAAGGGACCGCCCCAGCTGCCACCGTCACAGCAACTGTCAACAATGTAGTTGTTGTCTCACCAAACCCAGAGTATGAAGCTTGGATGTGCACTGACGAGCTCATCAAATCTTGGATCTTTGGTACTCTTTCCGATGAAGTACTTGGGTTTGTTCATGGTCTAGCCACGTCTCAAGACGTTTGGCTCTCTCTTGCAGATAACTTTAACAAAAGTTCTGTTGCTCGCGAGTTTGATCTTCGTCGTCGCCTGCAACTCCTCAACACGCGTGACAAAGAATACTCTGTTTATGTCCGCGAGTTTCGATCCATCTGTGGGCAACTGAGCTCCATTGGCAAGCCAGTTGAAGAATCTATGAAGATATTTACTTTTCTCAATGGGTTATCTCGTGATTATGACCCAATATATACCGTGGTTCAAAGCTCTATGACTCGTCTTCCTACACCAAGTTTCAGTGATGTGGTCTCTGAAATATCCACCTTTCATGCTCGTCTCAAGTCATATGAGTCAGCTGCAGACATCACATCCTTCACTGCCTTCCAGACTCAACAAACAAACAACTCCAGCTATAGTCAGCGAGGTCGTGGGAATCAATCTTCTCGATTTGGGAGTAGAGGCCGTGGTGGGTTCACAACCAGGGGAAGAGGCTTCTCTCAACAAGTTAACTCCTCTGGTTGGAACCAATCTCGGTCAACAAGGGACAATAATACTCCTCGTCCGGTTTGTCAGATCTGTGGAAGGACTGGCCATAGTGCTCTCAAATGTTGGAACAGGTTCGATCATGCTTATCAGAGTGATGATGTTCCCCAGGCCCTTGCTGCTCTTCACACCTCTGATGAGTCTGGTAAGGAGTGGTATCCCGACTCCGGAGATACTGCACATATCACCTCCAATGCTGCCTCACTTCAGAATCCCACACTTTATCATGGTCAAGAATGTGTCATGGTCGGAAATGGTAACCAACTTCCAATCACACATGTAGGTTCCACTATCATCACCACTCGCCAAGGTAGTATCCCTTTATTAGATGTCCTGGTGTGTCCTGATATACAAAAGTCTTTGTTATCAATATCCAAGTTATGTGATGATTATCCTTGTGGGGTGTTCTTTGATGCTAACTGGGTATATGTGATTAATCTGAATACTCAGAAAGTGGTGACCAAAGGACCTCGACATGACAAGCTTTATGTGTTGAGGAATGAGGACTTTGTTGCTTTCTACTCCAATCGACAGGTGACAGCTAGTGATATGGTGTGGCATCGGCGACTTGGTCATGCAAACTCACAAATTCTTCAACACCTAAGGGCAAATAAGGAGATCTTCATCAATAAGGTAGCCTCTTCGACGGTGTGTGAGTCCTGCCAAATGGGAAAGAGCTCCAAGTTACCCTTTTTTGCTTCATTATCTAAGTCTGTGGCACCCCTAGATCGATTACACTGTGATCTTTGGGGGGCATCTCCTATTGTATCCAACCAAGGCTTCAAATACTATGTTGTTTTTGTGGATGACTATTCAAGATATTCATGGTTGTTCCCTCTTAAGGCTAAGTCTGATTTTCTACAAGTCTTTATTGCCTTTCATAAGCAAATCGAAAAATCAGTACAACAAAAAGGTCAAAATATTTCAGAGTGATGGTGGTGGGGAATTTACAAGCAATATGTTTCGCAAGTACTTGTCTGATCATGGCATCCGGCATCAATTATTTTGCCTTGCAACGCCTGAACAAAATGGGCTTGCAGAACGTAAACATAAGCATTTAACTGAGCCAGCTCTCTCGATGATGTTTCAAAGTAGAACACCTTTCAAGTATTGGGTCGAAGCGTTTTACACAGCCAACTATGTCAGAAATCTCCTTCCATCTACTCCAATATAGTATACAAGTCCTTCAGAAGTTCTCAATCAACAGAAGCCCGATTATTCTTTCTAACGGGTTTTTGGATCAGCCTGTTATCCATGCCTTCGGCCTTATACCTCCCATAAGTTTGACCCGAGGTCCCTCCAATATATATTCTTGGGATACAATGCCCAATATAAAGGCTATCGATGTCTGTATCCTCCAACTGGACGAATATACATCTCTAGGCATGTGATCTTTGATGAAGACACCTTTCTTTTTTCTGAGAGGTACAAAGACTTTGTGGATCCTCAAACAACTCCCCTACTAAAGGCGTGGCAACCTGCTCCTCCCCCACCACATTATCTCCCCAGTGTCATTACACCTGCTCCTTTTCCTGATCAGCACATAACTGACAATGGCAATGAGCCAATCCGTGACTACACAGAACCGCCTGAGTCTACCGCCTTCTCAGGAGATGACTTTACTCCTGCAGAGGATATTGATTCTGCAGTTCATGTATCTCAACCAAGAACTCACCCTATGGTCACGCGACTGCAGAAAGGTATTGTGAAGAAGAATCCTCGCTATGCCTTGTTAGTAAAGACTGATCTTCCATCTATTCCAAAGACAGTTGCAAGTGCATTAAAGCACAAAAGATGGAATGATGCTTGCAATGCAGAAATGGAAGCTCAAACTCTCAATGGTACTTGGTCTCTCGTACCTTATCAAGATGGGATGCATGTATTGGGGTGTCGATGGATATTCACAATCAAACAGAAGGCTGACGGTTCAGTGGATAAGCTCAAAGCCAGGCTGGTTGCAAAGGGGTTTTCTCAAGAAGAAGGGGTTGACTTTGTTGAGACATTCAGCCCTGTGGTGCGCACATCTACTATACGTGTGGTTCTCAGTGTTGCTGTTGCCAAAGACTGGTCCATCACTCACCTAGATGTTAAAAAATGCATTTTTTCATGGTGAACTACAAGAGGAGGTGTTCATGGAACAACCACCAGGATTTGTTGATCCAGCCTTCCCAAACCATGTTTGTCGATTGCATAAGGCTCTATATGGGCTTAAACAAGCGCCTCGTGCCTGGTTTAACAAGTTCACAAATTTTTTGCTCGAAGTTGATTTCAAATGTAGCAATGCTGACCCATCTCTCTTCATCTTTCATCGTAATGAACAGGTTCTATACCTCCTGCTATATGTCGATGATGTTCTCCTCACAGGAAACTCTCCTGATCTGATCAGTGCCCTTATTACGGAACTGAGTGACAAGTTTTCAATGAAGAATCTGGGTGCTCCAACATATTTTCTCGGCATTCAAATTCAAAAATGTGACACGGGATTGTTTCTCAACCAAACTACTTATGCCGAGGAAATCCTGTTTGAAGCAGGAATGGCTGAAGCAAATCCTATGCCAACGCCATTATCACATCGTCTTGATGCTGCGTACAAAGACACCAATCTGTTTTTAGACCCAACTCACTTCAGGAGTATTGCTAGTAAACTTGAATACCTGACTTTGACAAGACCGGACCTGCAATTCTCTGTTAACTTTGTCTTGTCAGCAAATGCATGCTCCGACTCAGTCCGATTACTCTCTGCTCAAGCGAATACTGAGATACATTCGTGGCACAACATCTTATGGAATGTTTCTGCAAAGAATCAATTCGCTATCTATCATCTCCTTTAGCGATAGTGATTGGACAGGTTGTCAAGACACTCGGTGTTCCACAACGGGTTTTTGTGTCTTCCTCGGATCTAATATGGTGTCTTGGTGTGAAAAGACAACCTACGGTATCCAGGTCTTCGACAGAGGCGGAATACAGAGCCCTCGCTCACACTGCAGCAGAGCTCACTTGGACGAATTACCTCCTGCGTGATCTGGGTGTCTCACAACCTGCTCCAGCTCGTCTCAACTGTGACGAAAAATCTGCAGTGCAGCTCTCAGCTAATCCCGGGTTTCATAGTCACTCAAAACATATCGAAGTGGATTATCATTACATTCGGGAACGTGTAGCGCTACGAGTCGTGGAGGTCAAGCAAATTCTGGCAACTGAACAAGTTGCAGATATCTTCACGAAGTCTCTCCCCAGAAGTCCTTCGAAGAGTTGCGCTCCAAACTCGGTGTTGGGATCCTCCCAAGCACGAGTTTGCGGGAGGGTATTAGTGAGAATACTCTGTTTTCAGAGTTTTTACATCAAAACAGAATGTGTGGAGAAGAAGAATTTGTGGGCCGACAGAAGCCCGAGCCTCAAAGACAATTGGGCCTAAAAGGAATAGATCGACAAGGCCCAATCTACAGACAAAACCGAGACTCTGCAACTCTGTTTCAAAAGCAGAACCGTACGGTGCAGAGCATTAAGGATATAGCTGGAGAGGTGGTCCTGTTGAACAGATTCGAGCCGTTGCCCATCTGCAACTAACCGTTGATGTTGTTACACGTGTTTGATGATGGTTGTAAATGAATCTAGGGTTTCTAGAATGGTCTGAGCTCATCAGCTCTATATAATTTTGAGATGAACTCTTGTAAATCTTTATCGCTGAAAGTATTAATCAAAAGAACCTTTTTTTTCAAAACTCTATCAAAACAAACATTAGTTTTATTTCGGACTTGTTCATCACATCAAACCTAAAAAATCCAAACCGAATATACTAAAACTTCCAATGTCAAGTCTTTAGCAAAAATTGTTAGTATATAATCATTAGACTTACATAGCAAAAGCCAAAAAGAACTCAACCAGATCCAAACACATATGCAAATCTTGCTAATAAAAAATGTATAATAGTTGAAGACTTAGAAAATAAATTTACTAGAGTCAATATATATGTATTAGATATAATTTAACTATTTAAAAGTATCTCAACATAATAATTTTTATTTTTTTTCTCTTAGTTTTTTCTTATATTTTGTTGATATTTTGCTTATGTTATGTTTATATTATGCTTTTGAAATTTAGCAAAAAATATAATTTAGCATATTACATGAATTTTCTTTTGCGTACTGGTTTCGAGTTAAAAAAAAAATCAAATTAACTACATTTAGTTGATGATATTAAAATAAATTAAAATATTGCCAAAAAAAACTAATATAAGAACAATCATTTAATTTTTAATAATCCAAAAATGAAAAGAAATATAGAATCTTTCATTAAAATCGATGACTATAATGAAAGAGCATTTTATTTTAATTTTGGTGAGTACACACATAAAAAATAAAAACAACCGATTTATGGAAATTTAGAAAAGAAAAAGATAATAAAACAGAACATATATTTGAAAGATGTCTTGTGAGTCATTTGAATTCAAAAAAAGGGAAGTCAATGCTCTTTTAAAATCTTTTTATTGGTTTTTTTTTGTGTAAAAAACTATTTAATTGTTAATAAATATTTTATTTTGCTTTTTTTTTTTTATTTTTGCTTTATAGTTAGTTTTAATTTATCTTAAGTCTTTCCTATATTTTCCGGTTGTTAGCTCTAGGGAATATGTTTATTTTACCTGTCTGTTTCCGGAACCATGATTTACCTCTGTCGGCGTTATCTAAGTTTTTATATCAAACCATGTATTAGTTATGAACAAAAAAATTATGATGACAAAAAAAAAAAGAGTTAACGGGTTTGTTTTTTTCTTCGCTGCTGCATCTGTGATCATGTAAGAGCAAAATGGTAATGACGAAGATAATAATTGCCACTGAAGATAATCGCAGGTGTTGTTTGCGACATCTCTCATAGACGTTGGAATTTGAGACGTCACTTTTTAGGTACTGCGGTCACTATTGCGACACCTCCTTTTCCAGCATCATCTCCAACATAGTCGTTTTGTTTTGTTACGGCCGTAGCCCTTTAACTCTGTCGCTATGCAGCAGCAAAGAAAAGAACAGACCCAACATATTTTTCCGAAACCATGATTTACCTCTGTCGGTGTTAACTGACCCATCTTTTACCAACGTGGGTCTGTCACTGAAATCATTTTATGTCATCCAAATCAGTATTACGATTGCTTGTTCACACAAACAAATACTTGATAATTCATTCAATATGCATTTGATATGGAACTCGAATCCGCTTAAACATTGTTCAACAAATTAAAAACTAACACACAGCCCACAAATCGACGCAAAAGCCCCCTCTGTCCATCGGTGTGATTCTATCATAGCAATTTCAAAAACATTTGACCAAACAATTCAACTCCCAGTTCAAATTCTAAAATTTACTAAAATCTTTTTACAACAAACAATTAAATATTATCAAATCAATATAGAAAATACTTATCCGATCTTACTAGGTAGATCAGTGAATCAACCTTTTAATTTTGTCGTTTATCCGGCTAACGCTTCATTTCTTTTCTCTTTTTGGAATCATGAAAACGCACAAAAATATGTGGGTTTATCAATATATATGAATCTAGTTTTCGGAAATAAACAAGTGGATCTCTTAAAAAAAAATTCACATTGGTATAGCTTGTGTAGTTTTGTACATTTTTATTACATAAAAGATTAGGTAAGCTATCAGCAAAACTGAAAGAAAAACACTAGGTTTGTAACGAATATCCAAAAATTTGGAAATCTAATAGTGTTTAGATCCAAAAGAAGATGTCAGGAAGATGGCATCAGCGGTAAGACCCAGAAAGTGGAGTGGTACGTATCAGATCTTGGCCAGTAAGCATAATTTTATTTTGTGGCCCATTTTTAGATCATCATCTCCTTTGTCTACAACGTACGAAGTCTTTCTTCATGCATAAAAGAAATATGAATAGACAAACGTGGCTTCAGGGAATTAATTATTGAAAATATAAAACGTAAGAGTCAGAACAAATATGGAAGCATTTCAATATAAAAAAGCCAGCAAACCCGTTTGGGTCACGACATATGGAAATGCAGAATATATAATGTCCCTGTCCAATGGAAAATCTTTATTTGTAAATTTTGTAATGTATTGTACTTGTATATATGCTTCGATTATCAATAAAATCCAAAAAAAAAGTTTAGAATTATGCAAGTATACTTCTATTAAATTTGAGAATTTATAGTGTATTGTATACTTGTATTAAAAGTTTGTTGCAGCTAATAGGAGGAAAGTGTTGACTCACCTACCAAGATTAATCACATAAATATCCTAACAAACATATTTTTATATTGATTATATTAAGAAATTTTACTAGTCGTTTTTAAATATACATCGCCAAGTTTCTTGGCCTCGCGCAAACGGCAAATCCAATCTGTCTGCTCGCTTTTGATGATAAGCTTAGCGAAGATATACCTTTTAACAGATTGGATGATACTTTACATTCTTTAATTCAATTGTTTCGTTTTCTTTCATAATCATTGATTTGAATCAGACAAATATTGTTTTGTCAGTGTTAAGTTTCGTCCTCTTGGACCAAATTACTCATTTATATGATTTGGTCAAATTAGATCATTGCCACTTTTACATGACCAAAGTCTTCATCATTTTTTTTACTTTAATATATATCCGGAATCAAATTACTTAAGTCAATACTTTTTACACTAATCCATTTGACATTGATAGTGTTTCTGAGTTTGCTTTTTTTATGAAGAGATGGAGACAAGTCATATCATGGTACTCTTTTTTATTTTCTTAAACTTGGTACTTTAGGTTGATGTTCATACTATTCATGCATGTATGTAATTTGCAAACGGCATGTGAATTACTTAACTGTCAAAAAAAAAATCCTTGAAAGAGTGAGCCTTTTTTTATATATAACCGGTGAATCCTACCAATTAACCAGACTAATCCCTGAAACTAATCTGAGTTTTTTGCCACTTAAAGAGTCCACATGTGGTCAACCATGATTTAGATCACAGTAGAAGGATTCAAACCCTAGTTTACAATTAACAGAGTGACATCTCAACCACTAGATTACTTTGAATTGGTTAAAAAAAAGAGTGAATTTAGAGGAGCTGAAATGGAGAAGTAACACAAAATTGTTGAAACGGAATTTTGTTAAAACTAGTAAGGTCGACAATCTTTTGTGAATGCATAAACACAGTCAAGTGTCCGACTTCCTTAGACAAAGATCATTTGTATTGATTTAAGGGATTTTGTGACATATTAGTGATTTTTCTTGAAATAGATGTTACTATACTCCAATGAAACTTTTATGTGTTTTTTTCTATACATACAAAAAAGCCCAATTATTAACAGACGACAACCAGTTGATTAAACCATATAAAATAATTGATTAATTATATAGAAACATATATAATACTACTTAATCTTTAGCACCGTAACAAAGTTTCCTTGTGATTGCTAATTTGTCAATATTAGGGGTTATATGCTTTATTTACAGAGAAATCAAGAAAGAAGAGAATAAACGATTTTTGAAAGCCAAAACAAGCAAAGATTCCTTCTTCTCTCTTTGTCTTAAATATTAATTAGTACTTTAGTTTAAACCAAGTGACTTGGTTTTACAACTAATCCTTGCTTACATATTCCTCCTGACTTTTCTCCTAATTCCTTCTTAGCCTCCTTCTATACTTACACCATCCACGTGTGTATGTCCACTGTCTTTATTATATGACGCGACGCAGCCCTATTTGGCCATTTACTAAAAAGTCTACATACTATGGTTTTTCTGGTTTACTTAAAACGTTATTTCTGAGTTTACAGTTTACATGAAAAAACAAATAATGGTCTCTCTAGCTATGCTAATCAAATAATTGTCTCTTTAACAAAAATCTGTGCTAATATATACTCTCTTTGAATGTCTCCGTCTCTCTCTCTCAATCATTCATCATATATAGACTAGTTTTCTCTTTATTAGGACAGCTTGAGAGACAAAGAAAGAGATGGGAAAGATGACCAAATCTGGAGAGAGGCCAAAACAGAGACAGAGGAAAGGGTTATGGTCACCTGAAGAAGACCAGAAGCTCAAGAGTTTCATCGTCTCTCAAGGCCATGCTTGCTGGACCACTGTTCCTATCCTAGCTGGTCTTTTTTTCTTTCTATAGTCCCTAAAATTATTTAGTCAGACTTAACCCTCATCATTATTGTAATCTCATCCCTGATTAAGTATAATTATTGTGGCAGGATTGCAAAGAAATGGGAAAAGCTGCCGATTAAGGTGGATTAACTACCTAAGGCCAGGATTAAAGAGAGGAACGTTTAGTGCAGAAGAAGAAGACACCATCTTGACTTTACATTCTTCCTTGGGAAACAAGTAAGAAAAACCCTAATGAAATTTTTGTTTTGTCTTCTATAACTCATACATGCACGTTCTTGAATCTGACTCCAGATTATGATATAATCAGACTACAAAATTAGTATATATCACAAGTTTCAATCCTAATGTAAAAACTCATTATTTGGTAGATTTTTTCAATTGATTTTATGATTTTGGATCTGATATGGGTCTGACTTAGGTGGTCGCGGATTGCGAAATACTTACCGGGAAGAACAGACAATGAGATTAAGAACTATTGGCACTCTTATCTGAAGAAGAGATGGCTCAAATCTCAACCACAGCTCAAAACTCAGAGATCAAACCTCACAGAATCTTCTTCTTCATCACTACTTTCTTGCGAGAATAGAAATCTGGAAAGACTAGATCACGTGATCTCCTTCCAGAAAGTTGCAGAGAAACCATATTCATCACCATCGCAAGAGAGCAACAAAAACATGATGAGCGACAGCAACAAGTTGCCTAAGCTATTTTTCTCCGAGTGGATTGGTTCTTCAGATCCATACGTTGATTACTCCTCCGCTTTTAAAGATTCCATGCACATTAATCAAAATCAAGATCGAATTGAGGACGAAGAACTGATGATGATTAACAAGAGCTACTCTTCAGTACTTGAGAGTGATGTCATGTTCCATACAGAGTTTCAGCAGCCTGATCATGAGTATGCGAATTATTATTCTTCTGGGGAATTCTTCATCAACAACGACGTAAATTACATCTAAAGGTAAACGTATATCAAGAACAAAGGATATGAATCATATATATGATTGTAAGTGGAAAAGACAAATTACTTGCGTTACAAGCCACAAGAACTCTGGATTTTATGATCAAACATGTACAAGAAAAGCTCATTTGTCTTGGATTTTTATTTAATTCTGGTTTTAGTTATATGTTTTTGACGACAATCTGTATATACAGATAGAATAATTATTTGTCTGTTCAGTGTTAATTATTTTGTTAATGTCTTTTTCTTTGTCTATCTTTTTTTTTTCTACAAAGACTTTACTATTGTCGTCGACCTACTTAAACAAACATTTCAAAGGCAAATCATTTCAACGAGAAGCGATAATTATATATCTACAATAGGATTTTTCATATACAATCTTCCTTTTTCCTTTAATTAGAATATTACTTGATCATATCATTGTTGAGATTAAATAATTATCTGTCATAATCAAGCTTGCTTTGAAAAGAACAAGAATAACAAGAATAATGATCGTCACTGGTGTCCATTTTAACGCAATATCCTGTAAAAAATTATAATAAATTAAAGTAAAAACATAATTAATTGTAACAAAAGCCACATATTCAGTACACTGTTAATTTAATTAGACCTAGGTTGATGATCTATGTCTGACATTTTTTTTCATATACCTGAAGACATCGTGAGCTCCAAATGGTTGAAACAGACATTCGAGGATCCAAAGACGCCATCTCTGATGTTTCTTGCAGTACAAAATATATTACAAACTTATATTTTTGAATAGGAAAAAGATTCGTTAATTTGCCGGGAAAGAAAGTCAAGAACAAGTACCTGAAAGTTGTCGTCTTTGAATTAAATCATTCAAATGCTCAGTAACTACATCAAGTTCTTGTTTCCGCGAAGCATTTAGCTTCGATAGATTAGCCTGTGTTCTAGTATCCATATATTGTTTCCTTATTCTCCCTATGGTCTTACCAAACCTAACGAAGCTATAGGGTTTTGAAATCGTCTTGATAAGTGTTGTCTCGTCGAAATTATCAAATTCCTTCTGAAGATCCTGCAGGTAATGAAAAAGCAACTTTCTTGGATACGAAGATTCAGATAGTGCGATGTAACATATCTTCTTCTCCACCAGAAAGCTTCACAGTTTCAGAACATGATTCGAGTTAAAAAAAAAATAAGTAATTTGAAAATTTAAAAAAGAAGATGGAGCAAAATTATAATATGACAGGTTACTGGAAAGAATGATGATCGATCAAGATGGTCATCTTTGGATATAACAATGAGTCTTTGGAGATTTGTTTGAGAATGAATTCGGCTTGTTGCTTGTAGAACAAGAAACTAGCGTTGTCTTGTTGATTTACATAGGTTTGATCTTGTGCAAGAGGCAATCCATCTTCAACCCTACCAACTATCGTTAGCTTCACCATTATTGATGTTTCTTGAATTATTCAGAAAATAGATCATCTTATCGGGTAATTTGCATATATAAACAATGATAGAGAGAAAGAGAGACGGAGAAAGATTGAAGATGAAGATATTCCATTTGGGTATGCAGAAGAAAGAAACAGAGGGTAGTAGTGGGAAGTTAAAGGATGTGAGACTTTGGGGAAAAACTGAAAATTAAAGAAGTAAAGATTTGGGGGTTTCTTGTTCAAACACAACTTTAAGGAAGAGGAAAGAATATTAGTTTTCCATGTGTAATGGACCTTTTCTTCCTCAAAATAATAATGTATAATCAGACTTGGTTCAATTTTGGTTTGATTCTTTATTTTTAAATACTAGGATGTTCGGTTTAGTAATAATAGAAATGAAAATGAAACCTAGTCTAGTATGGATCGGTTTGTAAAATTTCAATTTCAATTTAATCAAATATATCTTAGGTTTTAAAAGAAAATTAATTCCATATCAATTTGTTCTTCTTTTTTCTTTCATTTTATCCAAGATTTCGTTTAAGTTTTAGATTGATTAATTATTTCGGCTTAATTTCAGACCTGATTGGCTTATCCGGACTGAACACTAATTGGAATTATCTAATAGTTAAACATTGTATACTACATCAATACAATTACAAGGAAAATTAGTCTTATTATTTCAATCAAAGTCTCAACACCAATAATAGAAAACTTCTCACAGAAGAAACCAAGACAAAGAAAGTTGAAAGGAAAGTAATATTAAAGAGGTCATATAGCTGAGTAGCTAAAGTTATCTTCATCGGCAGTAGGAGGAGACTTGGAGAAAACAATGAGAAGCACCAAAGTACCAAACAGAACAGTGAAAATAGCCATATAGTTGACAAGAAACGCTTCTGATCCAAACTTGTCAAGCCCTGACTTTTCCAAGAAAGTAAGCTTTTCAAGAAACCCTAAAACCGAGTTTCCAACAGCAAGAACATAGACAAAGACGCCGAGAAAAACGTGCCACGGAAGAGAGTTGCTTCTGAGAGTTGATGATACTCTTGGGAACAAGAAGACTATAATGCTGTACATCCACTGCAAAGTTCAATAAACGCGTTTCAATCAGCAAACTTCGTTTTCTTGGATTCAAAAGATAATTCGTTCTTGTTTTAAAGATTCTATCAATTCAAATTACCTGGAGGGCATAAAGGACAATGATACCAATACCAATCCAAGAATGGATGGTATAGAGATTTGGGATGTGTTTCTCGTTATGGTGCTTGAAAGCAGCATAGATTCCAATGATTCCAAGAATGATAGCAATTGCGTGGAGAACAAGGTGGATCGATTTCTTCACTCGTTTCTCAAATGGAAGCGATTTGTAACTTATAATTGCTGTTTTTTTTTTTTTTTTGCACATAAACAAAATGCAATTTTAGACTCCATAAAGTAAAACTATCATGATTTTTTTTTCCCGATTTTATTATTGTTTTGTTACCTTCGCCTCCCAGAAATACTAAGCCGATGAGCGTCAAAACAGGATGAAGCTAGATAAAGATGATGGAAAACACACAAAATATTTTGTTAAATAATGAAAATGAATTTTAGTATAAATTAAGCATCACACAATTAAAAAAAAAAAAACAGCAAATGTTGTGTGTCAATTAAAACAAAACCAAGAAAGAACTTTGAGAGAACAATTAATCAGAGTCTCAGAGAGATATATAGAGAAGAGTTTAACGTACATTGAAGATGAGTGTTTTGTTTTTAGATTCCCACGCAAATCCACCTCTGTAACTGATTGACCAAACAAACACCATCACCGACACGACCACGGCGAGCGCGTGTATCACAAACGCCACCATCCTCGCGTTTATTACGACAGACATGTCAGACATGTTTTGGTCTTCTCAATCTTCTTCGATGTCACAAGAACTGCAAGAAAAACCTTGATTCTGTTCTTGAGAGTCCAATGAAAAAATTTAAAAGACTTTTTTTTTGGTTTTTATCCATTTTGTGTGGCCCGTTCTATTGGGAGGAGAAAAAACACATGCTACTTGCCGTTAATTAATTTTATTTTTGTATTCAAATGTGTGTGTTTTTATTGACCGTTGGATGAAAATCTATAGCTACCATTTACGGTAGATGATCACTCTACTAACCCCCGCACGTTGTTTTGTGATCATTAGTCAACGGATGGAGAATTTACGAAACACGCCACTGGTTCTGTTTTGTCAACCTTTTCTTAATTCCTGAGTTTTGTTTACCAATTTATAATTAAGCTTGTTGACTACAAATTTTAAAAGATGAGATGTGTCAAAAAGATAGAAAAATAGGTATATAAGTTTATTTGGTTGGGCACAACCATAACCTAAGTTGGCTTACTTCGTTAATAAGAGACTTAATTCGCAAGGCACATACATACTAATTGTAGGTTATAAACAAATCATAATATAGAATTAACGACATGGTAAGAAGTCACATACCTAATCTTTTTTCGCAAGGTACATACAACCAAAATGGAAAATTGGCTTTTTCATACCTAATCTTTCTTAAAATGTTAAACTTAGGCTTAAACATTTTTTTTGGCGTAAACATGCTTAACCATTTGAATTATTTGAATTTCAACTTTAGAGATTTTTTTTTGTGCGTTAACATATTTCCATCCAATGGGAATTAACTCTCCGTCAAAGCACATCTACGTGGATACCACATCAGCTACGCTGTCGTTTTGGTGTGGCGAAGGTTTTGACAGAAACTACAAAGCGACGTCGTTTTACCAAGAAAAAACCAACATCATTTTACCAAGAAAAAAACGACATTGTTCAGTGTTCTTCTCTCCTCTCCAATTCCGTAGTTCGTGATGTAAGCTCACGAAAATCCTCTTGTATTTGTTGTTCTGCTGCAAAGCCTATTGGGGTTTTTTTTTCTTATACGATTTTGTTTTGTTCGTAGGTTCTGAAGAGTTATTTGACCCTTGATGAGGATATATTGAAATATTACGTATGCGTAAGGGAACAGAAAGTGGCGTTGGCTCAAGAGAGAGTGATATTGGATCAGGAGAAAATCAGAGTTCATAATCTGTTGCAAGGGATGCAGAATGTGATGAACACTTACAACGCCAGCCTCACCGCTCCTCTTCCACCAGCAGCAGCTCCGGCTTCTCAACAGAAAAACTACAGAGCCTCTTCTTCAGGTTTTTTTTTGTTTTTTGGAATTCTACTGCTTTTTGCGTATTGGCTGTTCTAAATTGGAGTGATTAGTAGGTTAGCTTGTTTTGGAAATCTTGATCTTTTCATGCTCCACATTATTGATTGAAGTGATTTTAGCTGTCTGTTTGTTAGAACTTTGCAGTTGTGTACTAAGATGATTAACACTTGGGCACAAAAGTTGTCACTTTAGAAGACTTGACTGCTGCTAATGTGGGTCTGATCTTTTCGTCGACGCTGCGTCTGCGTCCTCGACGACGGAGTGAAACGGCGACAACTGTAATAGATAATGAGGCAAAACGATGATGGGTTGGAGATGTTGCTGGAAAAAAAGATGTCGCAGGAGGTGGCGGAGGTGACCGCGGTATCTAAAAAGTGACGCTGAATTTTCCAAGTGGCACCAACGACACCGGCATCACAATTAAAAGTAATTGCTGCGTCGCCAACGTGTGTGAACACGGACACCAATTTTAAGTTATCCACAGTATATTTTTTGTCGCCGAACTGCTGCGTCAGCGTTTATGAAAAGAACAGGCCCTGTATAGGTCTTGATTTTCTGTAACTAGCTGATGTATCTGACTTTACCATATGGAACTAATAACATGTTCTTGTTTTTCAGGCTATTATTTAACTCTGAGTTTTATTTAACTCTGACTTTGGGTTTTATATTGACGAAGAGTTACATTAACAAACCATGTACTAGACAAATGTTTGAAACAGAGTTTGAATCACGAAAACAGAGTTTAAAAAAAAAAAAAAACAGTAACCAAGACTCCTAAACAGAGTTGGTATTGTCACGTTTGTAGTTTTGTTAATATCAGTTGGCAATTTAACTTTCTGCTCTTCTCTTTTCAAAAGTTGTAAACATAACATCATTATAAGAGACATTCAAATCCATTTCGAACAAAGAACAAAAACTGTCTCCAATAACAATAGTTTTGACCAAGATAAACAAAGAGATATTCATTTCAATACCGAAGGATGCAAAACACTAAAACGAAAGCCACAAATACTGTTTTCGATAGCAATAGTTTTGAATAAGAAAAACAAAGAACTAAAACTGAAACCAAACGAAATTCTAAAACACCACTCCTCCTCTTCACGACCTCGAGGACCAGCTTATGCTCACCTAACACACTGCAAACTCATGACAAAAAAAAAGAGCCTGGTGAGAATCAAAACATAAATTCCAAAAACAATCGTACTACAGAATTAAAAAAAATAACCTTCACACTCCATTTTGTGATGGTTGGGTTTGGCTTGGTCCCTCACAAAGCTCAATGACATCTGCATTGCGCTTAGCCTTTGGCTTTGGAATATAGACTGTTACTGGACACTTCCTGATGTTGTGGCCGACAGAACCACAACCTCCACAATGTGAGATTCTACCTTCTCTAGTCAGCTTGGTAATCTTGGCAGAAGGCTCTTGAACTTTTTCTTTACCCTTGCTCTTTTTCTTTGGTGATTCATTCTTCCCTTTCATCCTCTTCTGCTTCTTAGTAGGACCATGTTTATCTTCTCTTGGTGGTGGCTGGATCCTAGTTTCACCGGATACCCTCCACAAATCAATACCATTCACAGACCGGATTGGATTCTTGTATTGGTTTCTCCACTTGGAAGTCAGGTACCAGTCAGAAACATAGTCCTGCGGATCAAGTTTTCTGTATAGTAGCACTCGAAGGACATGGCGACAAGGGATTCCAGTCATATTCCATCTCCTACATGAACAAGTCTTGGCAACCATGTCAACTGTGTAACTAATATTATGTTCCTTCACCTCATACTCACCATTTCCACTAGGAATAACTCGCCAATACATGCGATGCTTCTCTTCTTCTTTGATAGTTGTTGCGACTTTGTTACTGAATTTTCCTTGGTGTTTCATGGCTTTCTTCCTTCTTACATCCATTCGGACCATTGCCTGCCTTCTAATTGTCTCCAGCATCTCTACAAGAGGCATCGACCTAGCTTTGTTGATAGAGTTGTTGTATGACTCAGAGAAGTTATTTGAGACATCCTCACACACGGCTGAGCAGCTGAAGAAAGCACGGCTGCAATTTCGGGGGTTCCTCTTCATGAGCTCTTCATACACACCAAAATCCCATTCCTTGAACTCCTTGATTGCTTTCTCATACTCGCCAATGTTGAAGCTCTTTGCAACTGCCCAAAACAATGCTTTAGGTAACTCTTTTCCTGGATAGATTCTTCTCAGGTTTCCGTAGATGTGGCGGGCACACATTCGATGCTCGACTTTAGGAAGTTCTTGATTCACGGCGTTAATCAAACCCTGCAAAAAAAATAAAAACAAGTTTATAACCATAAGAATCAGAGAAAACAGAGGCATGAAAGGAAAACAAAGCTACAAATGATACTGAGCAACACGTGAAGCCAAGTCCATTTTACATGTTTAAACGTAGCTAATATTTACAAAATATTTATTGAATACTCATGTGAACACTGAAAAAAAATACAAGTTTCATTCAAATATTCACGTAATAATCATCCAAAATATTAGGTTGTGATTGATAAATATTGTACTGTTGTGGTAAAACAAGAGGTCTACGTAACCACCGAATGAAACGGTAATAAAGTAGAAACAGTAATGGTAAACTACTAACCTTCTGCCTGTCGGATATGATGGTGAAACCACTGCCATCTTGAAGATTCAAATCATGCTTCAACAGTTTAATGAACCATAGCCAACTATCTGTGTTTTCCTTCTTCACAACACCCCAAGCAACAGGAAAAAACTGATTGTTTGCGTCACGTCCTACAGCAGCAAGTAACTGACCATCTACATTGTTCTTAAGAAAACAGCCATCTAATCCAATGATTGGTCGACAGTGACCAATCCATGCTCTCCGGAGATTAGTAAAACAGACGTAGAAGCAGTCAAAGATCTCTTTCCCTTCACTGTTTTTGACAGTTCGAACCTCTACGGTTGAATCCGGATTTGAGCTTTAGAAAAAAAAAAGTTAGATTACTGTAATAGCCGTATAAACAAAGTAAAAAAAAGTAAAATTACTAAACATACTCAATCAAGGCGAGTCGGTAGTCTTTTAGCCTCGCAAATTGTTCATCATGCTCGGCTTGAATGATATCCAAAGCCTTTCTCTTAGCTTTTCTACATTGATCGTTGGTCACAAAAATGTTGTATTTATTTTCAAAAGCGTCTTGCATATCAGAAGGCCTATAATCTGGATTCCTCTTGATGTCATTCAGAAACAGCCTAGCAATAACCCCATCCTTTATTACCTTGCTATGCCCATCCTTCATGCATGTGTGTTCGATGTCACAAGTCTTGATCATGTACCTTTGAATTGGTTTCTCAAAAGCACAATATATTACGAACTTACAATCTCCACCCAATGCACACTTCACCTGAGACTGCTCTGATCCCCACTTTGTATACTTCACATTGTATCCTTCCCTAAGGGCGTAGTCGACCACTGCATCCTTGAACTCTGCTATGCTGTCGAACACTTGAGCCAGCTTAAGATCACCACTTCCTTTTTTGCAAGTCAGAAATCGTCTTCCACCACAGTCTTCAGAGTCTGAATTCGGAGGAGTATCCTCTGAAATATCAACTTGTTTGTTTTCGTCCTCAGCAATAGCTTCCTCCTCAAGGCTTTCATCATCACCATTTTTTTCCCGAGTTTCTTCATCCTCTTCAGGCACATGATCTTCCAGAGTGATTTCATGATGAAGGCCACCTCTGTTTTGAGCACCGTCACCTCTGTTTTGAGCACCGTCACCTTCATTTTGAACCCCTAAATCAGCAACTCTCTCTGGAAATTTATCTTCACGCTCCATGAAAATATCTGCAACTTTTGTCCAGAATACAGCTTCACACATTCTTCGAAAGTTTTCTGTTCCATCGCAAAGCAGCTTGAGCTCCGACAGCTCTTCGAATGGAAGCTTGTACCAGACCCTTTTTCCAAAAAAGAGAAACGTTTAAGCTATCCTTCATCTTAGAAAACAAGTCTCTCGGAGGGCATACAAGCGATTCACACTCTCCTCCAACGTATCTGGTGCTGTTTTGCAGTGAAACACTGCATCTTCGGAACTAAAAACAGCAACACCAGAAAAAAAAAACTCAGTAATACACATTTTATATAACCCTAAGCCCTGAAGTTACATAGTGTTTTAGAAAAAATAAGTTAGCTGATCTGTTCACCATAAACCCATCTTATCAAAGCCATAACGAAAAGCATTAACAATGGACGCCGTATGTAACCGTTTACATGATCTATACTAATTTAGAATGAAAAAACATGACATAAGGATTTACCTCATGATCAACGCCGAACTGAATGATAAGCAAACACAAACACCACTTCAACAGTGAATTCGCTTTTAGGGCTTGCAGAAATCACTTCAGTTCTACTCTGTTCGATGAAGAAGACGATGGAGAGAAGAAAACTGAGGGGTTTAATATTGAAGTGTGTCAAACCAATATACGGCGTAGTTTTACACGTGATCTTAAGCCCATTATTTTTTATCTATTAAAGCCCAGAAACTATACGAAGTCGTTTTGTCGTTATTTTTAACAAACATCAACACTCCAAAACGACAGCGTAGCTGATGTGGTATCCACGTAGATGTGCTTTAATGGAGAGTTAACTCCCATTGGATGGAAATATGTTAACGCACAAAAAAAAATCTCTAAGGTTGAAATTCAAATAATTCAAATGATTAAGCATGATTACGCCAAAAAAAATGTTTAAGTCTAAGTTTAACATTTTAAGAAAAATTAGGTATGAAAAAGCCAATTTTCCCACAAATTTTGTTTGAAAGCAAGTTTTATATCTGGTTAAATATCTAATCCTTGGACAACAAATTAAAGAAAAACTAACATCCATTATTGAAAGAATTGGTTTAAAAAGTCAAGAAGCAAGCTGATAATTAAACTCTATATCAATGAACATGTTTGTGTTAAGACTTGAATTTGCACTCTTCTTTCGTAAGAGACTTAAGTCGCAAGGCACATACATACTAATTGTAAGTTAAAACATTAAAAACCAAAACATAGAATTAACCACATGGTCAGAAGACACACGTGTTGCCTGAAAGCAAAGTTCCACATCTAATTAAATACCTAATTCTTGAAAGACAAAACAAACCTAACATCCATAAACGTAACATCTTTGATCATTATCAAATCTCTCTTGTGGAACAGAACATGATCAGCTCAAGATTGATGGAGACTTCAAGCAACAAGCATTTTTGAAGAGAAAACTCAAGAAATCTCTCTCTTCTAGTTTTCCCTTGTACCCTGCAAACTTGAAAGTTTCAAGACTCTTCAACAAACATTTGGGAACCGAGCTTCGTTCATTGCTCCAGCTAAACCCCTCATTCCAAAAATGCTGGGATTAACAAAAAAAAAAAAAAGAGAAAGAGAGTTAATATTACACACTTTTGAACAGAAAGAGAGTCTTCAAAGAAACTTACACCAACGGAGAGATTAAGGACTCGCAGTTTAGGAGCATCATTGAGCAACCTGACAAGTAACTTCGACCAATAACTCACGCATATACTGAACTTCAGATGTTCAAGGTGGTCGAATACAATACCAGCACGGTACATAGACTGCACATTTGACAAAGTCATAACACAAAGAAATCATTCTCAAGAAAACCTGATTTTTTAACTGTTCCATAAAAGATAACTTGAAATTGATAGATAGAAAAACAGATTACCTCTTCGTGATTGTTTTGAAACACTGTTAACGAAAGACGCTTGACAGATGTGATTGATTCTAGAAACTGGCTCAGACCATCCTCAACAACGATCTTTGCCTCTTCCAGCTTTGGCATATGCTTAATCGAATAAGAAAAACTGATTCTGCGATCAGTAACTATCAAATGCTTCAAAGAAGGAGTATCGATCACATACCCATCAGAACGACAATCACGGTCTACCCTTAAGGATAACCTCTGCAAGGACGGGGAGATAATAGCCAACCCATACCTACTATCATGTTCAATAGCCAAATCTTCCAGAACAGGGCAAAAGGATAGAAGCCGTTGAAGAGTGTTTTTCTTTGAGTATGTCACGTTTCGAATCTGCAATGTTTTCAAGGAAGGGAGACGACCCTTTCTTGGAACATCCACAAGAATCAAAATTCCTTCAAGTTTCATAGTCACTAGCGATTTGCATGTGTACAAACTACTCGGCAACACTATATCAGGGTCGCCAGAGAGAGAAGAATAGTAGATACTTAGCTCACGGAGGCAGCGAGAAACTGCGACTCCAACCCATTCTTCGATGTCCTCATGTCGAGCTGATCTACGACAGAAACTAAGACGCAAGCTATCTATGGTCGGAGCTTTATGCAATGGCAGATTCTTGTTGAGATAATACCTAAGGCGTGAAGTCTTTGAACGATTGATATCAGTAGTGTCTTCTTCATCATCTGAACAACTGAAAATGTCTTCGTCATCTTCGAAACCATTGAAATCTTTGAAATCAAGGTTAGGCACCAGTAACCATAGACGATCCCATCGCTTAGACAGGATGCTAGTCGATACAGCAACTTTCGTCGGAAGAAAAGATAATATCTTAGCCAGAGTTTCATCAGATAGTCCACTGATCCGGTCCATATCTCACAAAGTCAAGATACTGTTGGGATTTTGTCTTCCCTTCTTCCAACGTTCAAGAAACAAAAACAAGAAAAACACTTTCAAATTTAGTAAGACTCAAAAAGGATTTTGTATGAATCAGCAATTCAATTAAAGCAATTACCAAACCAACAAAGCATAAAAACTAAACTTAGAAGAACAAAAGTAGACAATACAACAAATTAAAGCTAGTAAACAACTCTTCACAAGTCACAAGTCGATGAGAATATAGACCTACGGTACGTTTCGATGAGTAATTCTTAAAATATGCAAATTTGTTGTTTGTCTACGAGTCAATACAAATGAAAATGACGATTGACTCAAGGAGACTCAACTCAAAGCATCAAAAGTGAAGACGAACAATAGTATCAAGTGTCAAGCCCATATTCAACAAATTGAAAAATGACGAAAGGAGTAAGAACAGAGAAAGAAGAAATCACAATTGCAAAGAGAAGAACAGTTTTGGAGTATTCGACAATTGCAAGGAGAATAAGTTGAAGAACAATTCGAGTTGAAAATCAATACCTTTTAAGGGAGGAGATTTGATTATCAAGTTGAGGAAGGATTGATTTTAGGGTTTTCTAGTTTTAACGACGAGTGTAGTGTATAGAGGTCGAGTGATTTTCGCGATTGAGGAGGAAGTGGGGGAAAAACTAATACATTTGTGTAGGATATATTTTTGGATTAGCCGATCGGTTCTCGGGTATTACCCGAGCCGACATGAAACCCGAACAAAATTTAAACTATATCCGATCGGTTTATTTAGCCATTATCTGAAACCGATCCAAACCCCTTATTTTTGGGTTGATTCGGTTTGGTGTCTTCAGATCCGGGTAAAATGCTCTGTGGCATTTTGCAAAGTCATACGTATGCTTTCGAAGTCAACAAAAAAAAAGCAAGCAATATAAATTTGCCTAAACTATAGCATACATATTATGATTGTTTTAAATCTAAAGCACAAGCTTTCTATGATTGGAGCTCTATCTAGAATTGAAACTTAGATCAAGAATTAATAAAAGCAACTTCTTTTATTAGCTTTTAGAAAAATTACTCAAAAACTAAAGTATCTCTTAATCTATCTCTCTCAACTCATAAGTGTTTGCAACAACTCTGCAACTCCTTTATATAGAGAATGGATTAACTAACTCCTAATTCTAATAGATAAACAAATTTCCTTTTAGATAACTCCTAAATTTCCTTTTAGATAACTCCTAAATTTCTTTTTTCTAATCCTAACCTTCTAGAAACACACTTTGATTAAAATTATGAAACTTGCACTTCAAATTTCTTTTAAGCTTATTCCAACAAAATGGCAGATTCTTGTTCAAAAAATCTTGATACAATGATACCTCAGGCATGAAGACTCTCAATTGATATCAGTAATGTCTTTGTAATCATCGTGTCTGAATAGACTGATTGTCTGAGCAATGAATCGAGAAAGAGGAGAAAGTTATTGGAAGAAGAGAAGACAAAATCTCTGATGGGCCTGAGTCTTGGCCTAGATTTGTCCATTTACTAACTCCTTACTATTGTAGCATCTAATTTAAAACCTGTCTAAATCAGAGCAGACTTAAAATAATCTTGCATCTATAAAGTTGTTTGACATTTATCACAAAGCTTAACAACTAAGTGGGCCAATGAAGAAATGTCTTTACTTCATAGATAAAGTTATGACTTATAATTATTCGAGCAATTCCCGAATTTAATTAATCAATTGTACTGATTGAATATGTTCTGGTCTTCTGGACCTAATCTACGAAATTAAGAACTAGTTATACGAAAAAAATTGTTAACTACAAAATATTTAGAGATGAGATGTGTTAAAAATGACATTAAAAAAAAACAATTAGGAGACAAAGGAAATGAGTGCATTTAAGAGAGGGACAGTGTTTGTTGCACATGTTTTCATGTGCTTCCAAGACTTGCGCCATTTTATATATCTGTCTAATGACTATAATCCAGCCTTTACCCATTTTTTAATCAGCTATAACCTTTTTTTTATTGCTTATATTAGAAAAATCAAAATCATTAATTCTGATGAGTTGGTTCGACCTCGAGCTGAAGAAATTTCAGGTCTCCTTAAAGGTATTCTCTTAAAGATTTGATCATGGTGTAATCTACTTACAGATCATTACAAGCAAAAATGTCTGATTTATATGCATCTTTCAAGTAGTGAAAAAAAATTAAGAGAAGTGTTGGAAATATCAAACCAATAATACACATCTACATTGATATCGGTGAGATTTTATTTACTTTAATCTGAGAAATGCATGATGCATATTCATAATATACATATATATATATATAAATGATATTTCTTTCCCTTTCTGGAATAAATGTGTATTTATCAAAACAATACACGTAACATACCTATATTCTATAATGTGGACAGCTGTATGTATATAACATAATGCATGATGGATCATGACGAGGATGTGGCATGCAGATAAAGGTGTTGCTGGTTTTTCTTGGGCCACCAATAGCATCAATAATGTCGCAATGTGTAATGCTTTTCATTCATTATGGTACAATAAAAACAAAATGCCTGATCAAGTATTTACTTTAATCTTGATATCACAACTAGAAGCCACTAAACCTCTTTACCTTCACGCATGTATCTATTGGTTTCTCTTAAATTTATGCTCAATTTTTTTCTTTTCGTTTTATCCGTGAATTATATAAACATTAAACAAAACCTGACCATTCCAAAACTCCAAAAGAATTGGCTAATTAATTAATTATTAAGTTAATCAAATTTATTTTTTCCCATAATCCCATGTGTGAGATTTAAACCTTCTACCTAATGACATTTATCACAGACTATTACTAATAGATCTATACAATATTGGCTTCCAAAACAAATGAAAACATCTAAACTTAAAAGCACTCTAATTGTAAAGTAAATCTAAACTATCAACTTGAAAGAGCTAACCTACTCTGTCACATGACCTAAAATGGAAGATAATTTCTATACAAAGATAACTTTATAATTACAATCTTAGACTTTTGAAGTCACATAGAGAGAGGTTGGGGTGTCTATTAAATTTAAGGACCCATTAGATAAACACCTACATTTGATGCCTTACTGCATTAAAAAGAAAAGCACTTTTCAATTCAATATTAAACTAATAAAAGTTCATTTTTCTACTCAATCGACCCATAATAAAAGCAGTCAGAAAAAAGCTTTAAATGAGAATCTACTTATATCTCACTAATTAAGTTTTATACATTGACAAGTGTAGCAATCAACCTTTATATTCCACAAGGAAAGTGGTCACAGACTGTAAATCAGTTTTGTTTTGTTTTTTGTTTTTGTTTTCCTCCTACATTCTTCCGAAACTAATACAAATCAGAGATCATCTTCTTATTTTTTATATGAATCTGACAAATTTCGGGTACAAGGTTTTGTAATTTGTTGGTTCTTTCGAGAAACAATGTTTAAGTCATGGAGGAACGACAAGAACAAGATCAAGGCTGTGTTCAAGCTTCAGTTTCAGGCAACTCAGGTGTGTTTTGTCTCTTAAATCTCGAAACCCACTAATCTAAATCTCTGGGAAAGTCAGACAATGTGTTTACTATAGTCCTAGATGTGTAAAGTTTCAAGATTTGTTTGTGTGTGAATGTGAAACTTGGGGATTTTGAAAAAAAAATGTTACCTTTATGTGAAGGTGCCGAAACTGAAGAAAGCTGCTTTGATGATTTCATTGGTTCCTGATGATGTTGGGAAGCCGACATTTAAGCTGGAGAAAGCTGAGGTTAAAGAAGGGATCTGTTCATGGGAGAATCCAATTTACGTCTCAGTGAAGCTGATTAAAGAACCAAAAACTGGGATTGTTCGTGAAAAGATTTACCATTTCGTTGTTGCAACAGTGAGTGAAATCAACAATCTATATGTCTTTCGAGTTCTTCTGGAAAAAAAAAATATTGAGTTCCAAAATTTCTTTCAGGGCTCTTCGAAATCTGGTTTTCTAGGAGAAGCTTCAATTGATTTTGCAGATTTTCTTACAGAAGCAGAGCCATTAACTGTCTCTTTACCTCTCAAATTTGCCAACTCTGGTGCTGTCTTAAATGTAATCTCTCTTCTCTTTTCCTTTTAAAGCCTGACTAAGAAAAAATTACTGAGCAAATATTCGAGAATTGTATGAGAAGTTAAAACAAAAACAGTTTCTAAAGATTATAGTTTTGTGTCTTGGTTCGTGCAGGTGACAATTGAGAAGATCCAAGGAGCCAGTGATTTAAGGTAAATACAGTAGTTGTTGTGCGGCTTCTTTGTTGAGCGCTGCTCTTTCAATGACCCTGTAAGAGATTCCTGACTTAAATCTTTTGCAGATTTATTGAGGAAAAAAAGGATCAAACACTTTCTAAGGAGGATAGCTTCAAAAGCCTACAAAGCAATGATGACTTAGAGGAATATACCCAAGATGTAAGGTTCTTGTGGTTCAGGGAGTTAAGAGACCATCGTGTCTATTGAGAAAGTCGTGATAGTTATCGTCTTTTGTATATTTTTGAATTGTTTTTGCAGGAAAGGAGCTTAAACGTTAACACAGCTAAGAATGTTGGTCTAGGAGGTTCCTTTGATTCCATAGGTGAATCAGGATGGATGGATGGTTCAGATGGGAATACACGCTTACCTCAACGACATAACTCAGTTCCTGCATCAAGAAACGGGCATCATAGATCAAACACAGACTGGTCAGCTAGTTCAACATCAGATGAAAGTTACATCGAGTCGAGAAACAGTCCCGAGAACAGTTTCCAAAGAGGATGCTCTGTTGTTACTGATTCAAGTGACCCTGTTGAGAGGCTCAAGATGGAATTGGAAGCTTTAAGGAGACAATCAGAGTTATCAGAGCTGGAAAAACAGTCTTTAAGGAAACAGGCGATAAAGGAGAGCAAACGGATACAAGAATTGTCTAGGGAAGTTAGTTGTCTCAAGGGAGAAAGAGATGGAGCTATGGAAGAATGTGAAAAGCTCAGGTTGCAGAATAGTAGAGATGAGGCTGATGCTGAAAGCAGATTGAGATGCATCAGCGAAGATTCGAGCAATATGATTGAGGAGATTAGAGATGAGCTGAGTTGTGAGAAGGGTTTGACGAGCAACCTTAAGTTGCAGCTGCAGAGAACACAAGAGTCAAACTCTAATCTGATTCTTGCTGTGAGGGATCTTAATGAGATGTTGGAGCAGAAAAACAATGAGATATCTTCACTGAGTAGCTTGTTAGAGGAGGCTAAGAAGCTTGAAGAGGAGAAGGGAATGGATTCTGGACACAAGGACAATGAAGAGATAGATACGTTAAAGCAACAAATCGAAGATTTAGATTGGGAGTTGGATTCTTACAGGAAAAAGAACGAAGAACAGGAGATTCTATTGAATGATCTTACTCGGGAATATGAGTCTTTAAAGGAGGAAAATCACAAACATGTATCTTTAAAGTTAGAGCAGCAAGAATGCTCAAAACCGGAAGATGAAGAATCCAAGGATGTTATAGAAGAACTGGAATCTCAGATAGAGATTTTGGAAGGAAAATTGAAGCAACAATCAATGGAGTACTCAGAATGTTTGATTACAGTTAATGAACTCGAGAGTCAGGTTAAGGAGTTAAAGAAAGAACTTGAGGATCAAGCACGAGCTTTCGATGAAGATCTCGACACAATGATGAGGGAAAAAACAGAACAAGAGCAAAGAGCCATCAAAGCAGAGGAGAATCTGAGGAAAACAAGGTGGAATAACGCTATAACAGCAGAGCGGCTTCAAGAAAAATGCAAGAGGCTTTCTCTAGAAATGGAATCGAAGCTGAGCGAGCATGAGAATCTGACAACGAAAACATTGGCTGAAGCAAACGAACTTCGTCTGCAGAACAAAAACCTAGAGGAGATGCAAGACAAAGCACGTAGCGAGATTACACAACAGAAAGAGATAAAGAAGAACGTGGAAGAGAAGAACGAAGCTTTGTCGATGAAAGTGCATATGCTTGAAAGTGAGGTCTTGAAGCTCACAAAGCTGAGAGATGAATCAAACGCAGCAGCTACTGAAACCGAGAAGATAATACAAGAGTGGAGGAAAGAAAGAGATGAGTTTGAGAGAAAGTTTGCTTTGGCTAAAGACGAAGCCAAGACAGCGCATAAGGAGTTAACTCTCAGTAAATCGTCAAACGATGAAAAAGAGACCAGGTTACGGAATTTAAAGAGAGAAGTAGAAGGTCTAAGCGTACAGTACAGTGAATTACAAAACAGCTTTGTTCAAGAAAAAATGGAGAACGAAGAACTGAGAAAACAAGTATCAAGCTTGAAAGTCGATATCCGGAGAAAAGAAGAGGACATGACGAAAATCCTAGATGCAAGGTAATGTGGATCACAAACTAACTAAATTGAAATGTTATATCTCAGTTGTGATGAATTATGATTCTAACACGGACAATAACAGGATGGAAGCAAGGTCACAGGAAAACGGGCACAAAGAGGAGAATCTAACAAAGCTATCAGACGAATTGGCTTATTGTAAGAACAAAAACAGTTCAATGGAGAGAGAGCTAAATGAAATGGAAGAGAGATATTCAGAGATAAGCCTGAGATTTGCAGAGGTAGAAGGAGAAAGACAACAACTTGTGATGGCTGTCAGAAACCTCAAGAACGGTAAGAAGTTTTAGTATTTGTAATGTTGCTGGGAGTAACAATTGTTGTAACATTCATAGAAGAATACTAAATAACTTGTGTTGTTAATAGAATTTGTTTCTCTCATAAAACATTGTTTCAAACTTGTCAAGAAATATAATCAAGGAATTTCTCTATAAAGCATTTTCTTTAGACTTCAAATGAGCTGTAAAACAAAAAAAGGACGTTTACATATGGATTTTTGAGATACCCACCTCCAAATTTGATCATCAACACTGAATTTTCTGACTGGTTTTTGCTTATTCTCCAATTGTGCTGTTTGGTTCTCTACTTCCAGACCAGTTTTGTTTGGCTTCCAGATCCATTCACCGCGAAAGATAGAGACTAAAATGAAAAAAAAAAATGGTGAGCAATCGCCGGTATGAACATATCTCACTTATATAGATAGGATCATATAGAACAAATACCTGTTTAGCTCGTTTATCAATTGGTGTCCACGACCTAAGAGGCGAGTAAAATCTCTCATTTTGTGGCGAGTCTGAAGAATTCTTTGACCGCTTCTGCCTTTTCTCGTCTGGAGTTTTTCTAAGAGCGTTGCCTCCTTTATACTTGAAAAACTCTAGTATAGATGGGCTCTTCCTCTTGATATTAGATTTCTTTTGATTCCCTCCTCGAGTTTCCAAACTAGAGGGAGTGAGAAAGGAAGGCAGAGGTTGTTGCTGCTGTCTTTCTCTGCTCCTTTCTCGGACTCTGTTAAGAAACTCGATTGTCCAAGGAGATCCTTGTACTGGATTCGGAGAATGGATTGCGTTTGATAGTGGAGATCCACCAAAATGTGATATCTCTTCTCTAAATGGAAGCTCCGTTGTGGAAACCGCAGATCTCCGAGTTAAGACTTCCTCCAAAAGAGTTCGTTGGCGTTTTGCTGGGAAGTTATCAACATATCCACGCAAAGAAGAGGTTGGCTCTCTTTTTGAATCTTTCTCGCTGGCTAATCTTTCAGAACTCGAGTTAATCTTAGCCGTTTTTGGGAAGTTAGGCTGGAGAGGTTCAGAGAACGATAACTTCCTTGCAAATTTTGATTTTCTGTGAAGGTCGTCTTCCTCAACATCAGAAACTATTGGAGAATACCTGTTATAGCCAGGAGAAGGCGGGAAATCTTCCTCGAGAAACTTACTCTCCGGTATGTTGATAACTTCACCTTTGTAGTCTGCGATGAAACTCTCTGAATTCTTAGTGTCATGCAAGTTAAAATTTCCCATCTTCGGAAATTTACATCCTCTGTTCTGGCTCATGAATCCGTCTTCAACTGGGAAATTCCAATCTTCTACTTCAGGAATCCCAGGAAGACTGTCCTCCACTGAAAAATCAGGTAGATCCTTTTCCCAAAACGGCTCTTTTGATGATGATGAGCCAGGTCCTGACTTGTTGCCAAATCTCTCAGGATCTTTAGATGGCCAAGAATCATTAGGATGAATGGTCCCAGAAGGTTTGAGAGGCGCATCGGGGAATTCAGTGACAGGATCAAAATGGAATATCTCATGATCTCTAGACGACCAAGAATCATCAAGTTGGAACTCTGAAGGCTTGAGCTGTGCATAAGCAAATCCTGTCGAGGGAACAAAATGGGCCAAGTCGTCCATCTCTATCTCATCTTTCTTAGTAATGTGCTGTTTCTTTTTCGAGCCAGAATGAACACTCAAATGGTGTGTGTCTGAGTCAGGTCCAGAAGATACCGAAGAAGAGCTGTCTGTCATTACAGATTTAGAGTCCTCCCTTGCACCGTATCTGCATAGTGAACTAAATAGATCAACACTCTCTTCAGGTACATGATACTTTTGCATCATTTGAACCTTGCTACTAAGTGTGAGCTTCATGAACTCGAGAAGTGACCCAGCAGATGACAGAATTACTTGAGCTGTAAGCGGATTCACGGAAGGAAATTTGGTGAGAAATGATTCTGCAAGAGATTCTGACTCAGGCATTTTGGCTTGGACTGGGGACAATTTGACAGAAGACTTGATACACCTTAATATAATTTCATCAGTTATATCAGCTGACGATGAGCAAAAGATCTGTAAACTGATTCCCAGGCTACCAGCTGCTGCATACAGTTCATCAGAAGAGTCCATTACTGTAGCCAGGCAGGTGGGTTCCCCCTCAAAAACCTACAGACGGAAAAAAATAACAATCCTTCTTTAGTTAGTAGAAAACTCACTCTCCAGTTTAGAAGAAACCGTCACCGAGACTTAGTGCACGAGTGAGTAGCAAGGATCTTGCAAGTTTGATTTCATCAATTTAGCGAATATATTAAAGTTGATTCTAAAAGTGAAAAAGAAATTCCTAATATAGAGTGCAATATGTCCACAAAAGAATGCCAGGAAGCAAAGTTCAGTGGAATTTACCATTATGCAGCTGCTGAAACTGAAACTCAATGACGTCAAAACATTGGTTGCAATATCCCCAATCCATGAAAGTGAGCTTGAGGAAGCACTAATAGTTGCAGCCGACTTCTTACTAACATTTTCACAGTCATACCAGAGTAAGCAAATCCCAGGATTTAGCATCAGGTCCACAGGTAGATCTGAATCGCGCTCCACAACTTGCACTCCTTCTTTTTCCATTGCCAACACCTTCTGGTATGTACTTCGTCTGGATATGATCATCTCCTTATCAACATTTTTTGTGTTCACTACAATCACTGCTCTTTGGTCGTCAAGGAGAAATCCTTGTTCAATTATCCTACTTTTTCCTCCAGATTCTCGAGGCATGGAGACAAATTCAGATTCCTTTGTAGTTTCTGATGATCCTGCAGAACACACGCTTTCAAGTGGAACAAAGTTCAACACTTCTTCCAACCACCCAGATTTACTCTCAACTTCATCTACCTACAACAGACATTAATGTTCAGTACTAATTTCTTGGACACCAATGCATATTCTGGAACATATACATTTAAATAAAGAGTTTAAATATATGCAGTCATGGAAAAAGTGTGAATACCAGTGTGGAGACGAAACAAATTTAGGTTCAAGTACATACTAGTGTTAAACTTATATTCAGACTCGCAAAACCTATGAAGATCATGTTCTCATGAAAACATTATTTTTGATATAGATTGCTCTTCTGCCCTGGATTAGATCCCTTCACACACACACTTCCAGCATATTATACGATCTACAGATGTAATCTTTTTTGTAGGAAACGGTTAAAAGTTGACTGCTGCTCACCTTTATCATTTTGAGACTATAAGGTATTGTAACACCTGCAGAGAGTTGCCCGCACGCACTGGACATATCCAGCTCCATTTTTATGAAATGAAAGCAAGGAACGGAATCCAACTTCATAGCATAAGAGACCCTGGGAGAGGCATTTGAACCTCCATATTCTATAATGACGCTGAAATTCTCCAGAGGAAAAGATGGAGAAATGCGCCTAGAAAAAAAAAGCAAGAACTAGTTAGCTAGCTTAACTACTCTCCAAAATAACAGATGAGCCAAGAAATGTTGAAGAAGAATAGGTTAAGGTATGTAGTGGTATCTTTTAGAAGCAACATGCTAAAATATCATAAATGTTTTTCAGGCCCTACCGTTATCCATCAATTATTTGGTTCCCTTTCCAGCTCCCACAAAATCAATATTCAAAGGCTACATATGACCATTGATAATGAGGATAATACTATAACAAGAAATAATACTTACTCGTAAGAGACCAGGAGGCAGTCTGAATTCGGCAGTAAACCAAGTTCTGTGGCTTCATTAACATTTGGCTGATTTCCACTTGGGGACGGACTGTTGAGTTCATTGTAAGATAACCCCATGGACATTAATAGCCTTTTCACCGAGGACCAAAAAACTTTCTCAGCCAAAATTAATGCTTTAGAATTCCCCCGGACAAATTCTGACTGTAAAATACCCTGGATAACAGCTAGGGATGGATGCGATCTTGTAATGTCTGTCTCAATTGACATGTGTTCTGATTCAACTGACGAGTAGAGCGTGTGCAATCCTAGCTTCATGGGATTTGAGCTCCGACATAACTTGTTAAGATAGAGATATGCCACATGGATACCGAAGAAACACATATACCATGTCATCTGTTTAATTGCTAGTAGTAATGCAAACGTGAAAGTCTTGTCATCCGCGGACTGTGTCTTCTGGACATTTGCTTTTTTTATGCAGTCAATAAGCTTTCCTTTCGAAATACTGAGTAAATAAAGTTTATCTTCTGATAAAGTTGAAATCAACTCTGACTCATCCTTCACGAGAGTTAAATAGCTCTTCTCAAAGTCCCTGACAAGGGCCAGAATATTTTCTGATGGGTGCACACAGTGACGTATCATATCCTCTGTCTTCGGGTTTGGGTGCATGCCACCAGATATACATGAGGCCGTCGGATCAACAGAAATAATTTTATGGTTGACAATCTTAGCAGCTTCAACTCTAGACTCGAGATTCTCTTCAGTCACCGCCTTCTGAGGATCCATGAAAAAATTTAAGTCATCAAAAGCAGACATTGATTTGAACAACAGCACAGCCTTCTTAGCATTATCATTCCCTCCACAATCCCCAGCTCCTGTTTTTGAAAAAGGGGTTTCCAATAATCCATGGGAAGTATTAAGAGGAGAATTCTCATCAAGGGTAGATATACCACAGAAAGGTTCAGTGCCTCTCTCTACAAGTGGCTCGCAGAAAGGATCTTCAGAGAAAACGAAATCATAAACCCATTTCTCTCCTTCTAAAGATTCCAACTTATAATCAATGTTGTATGTAACTATTTCTTCAAACGGATAGTCACAAAAAGGGCCTTCATGGCTGTAATTTGTTTCCTCAAGAAGGTTCCAGGGCAAGTATATGTCATTTGATGCAGAAAAGGATTGGGGCTTGATCTTTGACAATACATCCTCATAAATGAGTTCCAGAGATTTTGTCATCTCATAATCATATAAAAGAGGAGTAGGCAGAGACTTGAAGGCATCATCTGTGAAAGCAAGTTCAGAAATGACAACTAACTGATCGAAATTCTTGAAGTTCATCTCTTCGCTGAACATCCCAGAACAATTTTCTGGTTCAATGGCTTTTTGAAGACAGAGGAAGATTTCAAAAACATCAGATACCTCCAGATCCAGGATCTGATATTCCTCAAAAGTTACTGGGATGGTAAAGTTATAATCAACAGCCACCTTTCCCTGTTCAAACTGAAAGTTTTCCTTCGAATTCTGTAGTTCCAGGATATTCACTATATCCATTTCAGAAAATGCTCCCTCTGGTACCATATCATATTGAACACTCTTGTTAGAATAGCAATCCGTAGAGAGGATATCCAATAGATCGTAATTCTTAGAGCCTAGAAGCTCCTTAGAGTTGATAACGAGAGATCCCTCTGCATTCGTGTCTTGGGGTTCAATTGTTTCAAGAACAGTAAATACTTTATCGAGCATAGATAAGCTTGACAGTTCCCTCAAGTTTACTTCATCCACTTCTAGAAGGGGAAATCTGGCATCTCTGAACCATGGTCGATTCTTGCGTAAGCATTCATCTTCTCTTACCGAAGTATTATTCTCTGTGAAGTAATCAGAAGAAATGTGGTCAACAGCATATATCTGTTGTTGAATGTCATTTGAGTTCTGAAGGATAATATCTGACTCTTCAAATTTAACCTGCAATTAGAAGACTAGCTAAAATCAGATAATGACTGGAGATGGAAATTCAGAATCAGCTTAACAAGTTCAGAAACTTGAGATGATGGTCCATGCATGCTGCTAATAGAAATTCCCATGATAAACCCGTTCTACCATTTTAGAGCAAAAGCAAAACTGGTGTGGTGCATGAGAACTTGACACTTTAACTTCTACTGAAATCAACCCAGGGATTTACCGGCTCATTTTCGATCTCAAGAACTTCAGAGAAACATTGGAGATCCTCCATCTTGGATGAGAGATTTCCATCCTGTATATCAAAAGATACTTAATCTCGCAACGAAAAAGAAAACGTTGAACTGGTACATGTCTACACCAAATGAGCAAATACCATTTCGAAATCCAACTCCGGAGTCTCCAACTGGATAATGTTAAGATTTAGATTAAGTTTCTCCTCAATGCCATCTCCATCATTCTTCTGAAATAGATCAGCACTTAGGTTATTCAAACTCCAGTCAGATTACTGTAAGCTAGATGAATTTCCACCTCAGGTATGAATGTGTGAGTGAAGAAACAATCATCAATACAGAATAAAGCGGCAACACGACTACATGTGGAAACTGAGCAACCAAACCATAAAATTAAGAAAATCTACAACCATTTTCTCTATACGAAACCAATTCACAGAAAATGCGGAGTTCATATCATGATTCCAGAAAAATGTCAGAAAGTAACTCTCAAGAAATTCAAAATCTCACCTCTAGGATCTGAGAATTTAGCTCGTCTCCGAGGGAAGAGCCATCAATTTCGAAATTATAGTCCACACTGACGCGATCGGGAACCACGTCGCAGAGGAACTTCGACAGAGCAGCTTCAATAGGCAAATTCTCGATCGGGAGACAGAAATCTTCGACAGGTCCAAATCGAAGAAGCTCATCTTCGCGGTCGCGGACTAGAGGTGCCGGGAAATTATCAGGAGCCGGAAGATTGAGGAAGCCTAGGGTTTCATATACAAGAGAAGGTGGAGTAGAGAAGTAATCGATATTAAGGAATCGACCTCGCATCTTACTCTTCCAGATTCGTCGTTGATGATGAAGAAGAAGGGAACGAAATTTGAAATTGGCGCTTTAATTCCTCGCCGATCGATTTTAGGAAATAATAAACAAATCTTCGTCGATTTCAAAATGAGGGAGAGAGGAAGTAGGAAAGAGACTGAACCAACGCTCACACACATGTCGTCTTTAACTTTCGAATAAGAATGCTCTGTCGTTTTATATTTAAAAAACAGCAAGTAGTGGGACCTAAGAAAATATCTTTAGTTTTACACCGTCTTCAAATTTTAATTGAGAACAACGCGCCGTTTATTATATTTTAAAACAGCGCACAGTGCTTTTAGTAAAGAACCACATGACCGACTTAACATCGACAAGCTTCTTTAAAGATCGGATAATTAAAGATCATGTCGAGCCACGTAGAGAGCAAAAGTCTGAGACGTGGCAAGACAAAACGGACGCATCGCACGTGTCAGAATCCTACAGAAGCAAATAAGCGCAAGGCAGAGAGCAGGTGGTTCGGCCATATGTCATCGTTACTCCTCTATAAACTCTCGGAAACCTTCTTCACATTTTTCTCAGAGATAGACAAAACAAAACAGAGAAACAGAGAGAGTTTAATTGATTGGTTGATTTTGATTCCCTTGGTAAAGAGAGAAAACACAGAGCTTTGAAAAATGGAGTCGCAGATGACACGTCCTTATGGTCAAGATCAAGCAGAGGATCCAATCAGAATTCACCATCCAGGTATACATATATAAACACAAGTAGATTTTTAATATCGGAAACTTGGGTTTTGCCTAAATCTTTTGTGATTGGGATACAGAGGAAGAAGAGCATCAAGAGAAAGGAGCATCTAAAGTGATGAAGAAAGTGAAGGAAAAAGCTAAGAAGATCAAGAACAGTCTTACTAAACATGGCAATGGTCATGAGCATGATCATGATGTGGAGGAAGAGGATGATGAATATGACGAGCAAAACCCAGAAGTGCACGGCGCACCAGGTTTGTTTTTTTCTTCAATTTCTGATCTGTTTCAACCAAAAAAAAAAAAGGCATTAACTAGTAATCTATTGGTTATGCACAGTGTATGAATCATCTGCCGTGAGAGGCGGTGTAACGGGTCAGCCTGAGTCACAGAGTCACACCGGAGAAACTAAGGTTCCGGCACCGGAAGAGATCATTCCACCAGGAACAAAGTTTTTTCCGGTTGTATCTTCCGATCAGACCAAACCCGTTGAGCCTGAGCCATTACAAGAAGCCTCTTACAGACATGAGGCACCGTCTCATCCTGTAAGAATGTCAGATAGGGAGGAGAGAAGAGAGGCAACGGCTCATAACACTCCTGCGTCTCTGCTCTCATCAACAGAGGATGTGACGAGGACGTTTGCTCCTGGCGAAGATGAATACCTCGGTGGTCAACGGAGAGTCAACGTCGAGAGGCCTAAAGGGTTGGAGAAAGATCCGTCTAGTCCAGGAGGAGGGTCTGATTATCTTAGTGGTGTACCTAATTATCAGTCCAAAGTTACTGATCCAACCCATAAAGGTAAGAACTTTGAGCTAGATTTATGAATTCAAGATTGTGTTTTTTAGGGTTTATGAAAGTTTAAATCTTGACACTTGTGCTTAATCTTTGGAGGTGGAGAAGCTGGAGTACCAGAGATTGCTGATTCTCTGGGTAGGATGAAAGTGACAGATGAGAAACCAGGACGAGGATTTGAGAGAGACTTGCCGACGAGAAGCCATGAAAACGAATCTAAATGCGGAGAGGGTTTTCCGGCGGGATTTGGAGGGGAATCAGGAGCTGGAGTAGGGAAAGATTTTCCGACGAGAAGTGATGATGTGAAAGCAGAGACTGGGCTGGGAAAGAACTTACCGACGGGGACTCATGATCAGTTCTCACCGGAACTTTCTCGTCCCAAAGAGAGAAACGATTTCGATTCAAAAGATGAGTCAAAACCAAGCACCTATACAGAGAAGATCGGTTCAGCGACGTCGTTCGTAACCGGAAAAGCCATAGCTGCTAAGAACGCCGTAGCTTCAAAGCTAGGCTACTCCGGTGAAACCACCGGCGGAGGCGGGCAACACGAGAGCCCTTTGGGGGGAGATGAGAAAATGAGATCCTCTGGACAACACGAGACCCCTGTCGGAGAGGAAACTCCGAGATCCGCCACGGGTTATGGACAGAAAATGGCCGGAACCGTTGCGGAGAAGTTGACTCCGGTCTACGAGAAGGTCAAAGAAACAGGATCAGCCGTGATGACGAAACTGCCTCTTTCCGGAGGTGGAAGTGGAGCGGAGGAGAAACAGCAAGTGGGAGACAAAGGTGTGGCCGGTAAAGGTTATCTGGCGGAGAAATTTAGCCCTGGAGAAGACGACAAAGCTTTGTCTGAGGTGATCGCCGAGAAACTTCATCTCGGAGGAGGAGAGAAGAAGACGACGACGACTAAGGAGGTGGAAGTGACAGTGGAGAAGATCCCTTCCGACAAGATATCGGAGGAGAGAGTGCACGGTGATGTGACTGCAGAGGAAGGAAAAGGAGGAGGAGGAATGGTGGGGAAAGTTAAAGGAGCGGTTACTTCTTGGCTCGGTGGTTCGACGGAGAAGGAGGTGAAACCAAAGTCTGTAGATTCTGGTGAAGAGTCTTCTCAATCACTTGGTTCCACCGTTGGTAAAAACAAAATTTAACTCCCTCTCATCTTTTTGTTAAGCTTTTGTGTTTAGAGTTTGAGGTTTTTACACTAATGTTTTGTTGCAATACTTAGGGACAATGGGATTTTCAGATTCCAGTGGAGCTGTACCGGCGCAGAGGGGACTTCAAGAATCTGGTAACTGAGATTTGGGTTTTAAAAAGCTTTTGTATGTTCTTCAAGTGTATGTGTTGTTGTTTTGTTGATAATGCTTTTTGTGTGTGATTTCGATGTAATCTTTTTGTTTGTGTAAAAAGGCAATAATATTGGAGGTTATACAATATTTGCCATCATCTGCTTTGGATTTAAATAAATTTCCGTACCAAATGTACCAATGTCTAAATGGTAAAACATTATAATGGAATTGGAGGGGGAAAATATGATTTTGCACAACTTGAACTAGTTTTTGATTGGTACATGTTCTAACTCCGAAGTCTAACTCCGAAGTCTAACTCCGAAGTCTTCCATCTGGATAATGTTATTGTAGCTAAGTAGCTTTGTCCTCAATTGGCATCTCCGTCATTATTCTGCGCATGAAAACTTGAAAAGTATGAAATTTGGAAATGTAAAACCATTCTTCTGCCATATGTCAGTTTCGAATGAAGACGATCTGCCGTTTTATCCCTTTTAAAACAGCACGCAGTGAGAATTTTAAAAATATATACGTGGAGCGACTCTTGTTTCACGTCGTCATCAAATTTCGAATGAAAAAGAAGTGGGCCGATTATAATATCTAGATAACAACACGCAGCGCCATATGTAAAATAACTATATAATGGGCCAATATATGTGGACCCATACTATAAATAGAAATTACTATTAATAGACCTTTAACGTTTTAAAGATCGGATAAAATATCATGACCGACATAGAAGAGCATATTTCAATTTCTAATGAAGACGATCTACCATTTACTCGAATAAATATCATTACCGACATCGAAAAAGTGAATAAAGATCATACCGACATAGCCCACCTACAAAGACAGCAAAGTTCGACACGTGGCTGGACAAAACGGACGCATTACGTGTAATGCGGCCATAAGTCATCGTTCCCTCTCAGTCTCTCTATAAACCCACTTTTGAGTTTCTCATAGAAGAAGAAAACAATACACTGAAACAGAGAAGAGAGTTTTTGATTGGTTCGATTCGAAAACAGAGAACACAGCTTTTGGAAAAATGGATATGACTCATCCTTCTTCTGTCCAAACTCAAGCAGAAGAACCAATCAAAATCAACCATCCAGGTACGCAAGTAGATTTTAATTTCAGAAACTTGTTATTTTTTTCTTAGGGTGACATTTCTTTTAATTTGCCTAACTACAGAGGAAGAAGAGCATCATGAGAGTGGAGCATCAAAAATGTTCAAGAGAGTGAAAGCAAGAGCCAAGAAGTTCAAGAACAGTCTTACTAAACATGACAACGAGCAAGATCACGATGTTGACGAAGACGACGACGACGAAATTGACGAGCCGGAAAAGCACGTCACACCAGGTTAATCTCTTTGTAATTCCCCTTCACGATCTACGATCTAGCGGTTTTATCTTTGTGACATTAACGGTTTTTCAAATCTGTATAATGAACAGTGCACGAATCATCCGCCATGAGAGCCGGTGTACCGGATAAACCTGAGCGTCTGAGACATCCACGAGAAACTAATGTTCCGGAACCGGAGGAGATCGTTCCACCAAAGACAAATGTTTCTCCTGTCGTGTCTTCCGAGCCCGTTGAGCCTGCAACATTACGAGATGCTACTTACGGACACGAAGCACTGGCTCACTCTGTAAGAACGACGGGTAAGTCGGACAGGGAAGAAGAGACAAGAAACGCACCAGCTCATCCTGTAAGAATGCCTGATCTGCCGGAAAAAGAAGAAGAGAGCAGAGACACTCATGTGCCTCTGCTTTCTGCAACAGAGGATGTGACGAGCACTTTTGCTCCTGGTCAACGGGAAGTCAACGATCTGAGTGTTGAATCTGATGATCAGTCCAAGGGTACTCATCACACTCGACGAGGTAAGAAAACTTTGAGCGGAGTTAAAGGATTGTGTTTTTGTTTCTATAGGGTTTTATGGATCTTAAGTCTCTGTTTTTGGTTTTGATTTAGGAGGTGAAGAAGCTGGAGTAGCAGGGTTTGCTGAGTCTCTAGAAAGGATGAAATTAACTGATGACGTGGAATCGGAATCTAGAATCGAGAAAGATTCGCCGACGAGATTTGGAGGAGGAGAATCAGGAGCTGAGGTGGGAAAAGATATTCCGGCGAGAAACGTCTATGTTGATCAGAAGATCGATTCTGGAATCTACAAGGATTCTTCGACGGACTTTGGCGGTGGAGCTGAGCTGAGGGAAGATTTTCCGGTGAAAAAAAACGATGAGTTTGATCAGAAGATCGAATCTGGAATTTACAAGGACTCCTCGACGGAATTTGGCGGCAAATCTGAGCTGAAGGAAGATTTTCCGGTGAAAAAAAGCAATGAGTTTGATCAGAAGTACGAGTCTGGAATCGGCAAGGATTCGTCGGCGGGTTTTGGCAGTGAATCTGAAACTGGGATAAGGGAAGATTTTCCGGCGAAAAGCCATAATGAGTTCGATCAGAAGTTCGAATCTGGAATCGGAAAAGATTCGCCGACGGGTTATGGCGGCGAATCTGAGCTGAGGGAAGATTTTCCGGTGAAAAAAAGCAATGAGTTTGATCAGAAGTATGAGTCTGGAATCGGAAAGGATATGCTGGCGGGTTTTGGCAGTGTATCTGAAACCGGGACGAGAGAAGATTTCCCGGCGAAAAGCCATAATGAGTTTGATCAGAAGATCGAATCTGCAATCGGAAAGGATTCGCCGACGGGTTTCGGCAGTGTATCTGAAACCGGGACGAGGGAAGATTTCCCGGCGAAAAGCCATGAATTCGAACAGACGGCCGGATATGGAATCGGGAAAAATACCGGCGGTGGAAAACCAGGAACTGAGCGAAGAGAAGATTTTTTGGGGAAAAAATATGAATTTGAAGAGGAGCTTGAATCTGCAGTCGGCAAAGATTCGCCGACGGGCTTTGCCGGAGAATCAGAAACTGGGGTAGGGGAAGGATTAGGTTTGAAGAAAGATTATGGAATCGAGAAAGATTCGGCGAAGGGAAGGCATGGATATGGTGAGGAATCAGGAGGTGGACAGGAGAAATATTCGAAAGTAGAGACTGGTTTGGGAAGAGATTTACCGACAGGAACCAATGATCAGTTCTCACCTGAATTTTCTGGTCCGAAAGAGACAGATCAATTCGATTCGCAAGCTGAGCAGACAAGAGCAGAGCCAAAACCTAGTACCTACACAGAGATGATCGGTTCAGCGACTACGTTCGTTACCGAAAAAGCTGCAGCCACGAAGAACGCCGCCGCTTCGAGTCTAGGTTACTCCGGCGAAACCGCCGCCGGGAAACACGAGAGTCCCGTTGGTGAGAAGATGACTCCTGAAGATGAAAACGTTAAAGGGACTGGATCGCCTTTGACGACGACGAAATTGCCACTCTCCGGCGGCGGAAACGGAGCGGAGGAGACAAAGCAAGGTGTGTCGACTAGAGATAATCTGGCGGAGAGGCTGACACATGAAGAAGAAGACAAAGCGTTTTCTGAGATGGTCTCCGAGAAACTTAATCTCGGAAGAGGAGAAGAAGAGAAGAAGAAGACAGCGACGACAAAGGAAGTAGAAGTGAAGGAGGAGAAGAAACTTTCCGACGAGGTATCCGAGGAGAAAGAACACGGCGAGGCCGTTGATGGAGGAGGAGGAATGGTGGGGAAGATTAAAGGAGCGTACAATTATTGGCTCGGTGGTTCTACGGAGGAGGTGAAGCCTAAATCACCGGTTTCAGTTGAAGAGTCTTCTCAATCACTTGGCTCCACCGTTGGTAAGTTAAACTCACTCTTCTCATGCGTTTAATTAGGCCTTGAATGTTTGCAGATTTTAGAATAGATTTTGGTTTTTGTTTTTCAAAAATCTATTTTTTCATCCATTCAAGATTTTAGTAAAACTGATTCCCTACTTTTTTAGGAAAATTAGTTTTTCAAATAACTACCATTTTGTAAACAAAAACTAAAATCTACTCTTTTTATCTTAATTGTCGTGACTTTTTGTTCTATAAAAATAAAAATATATATATATATATTAATTAAACAATTCTTAGCCATCAATATATTTTTTACATAAAATCATCAGTCTCATACTATCATACATACAAAACAAATCTCATAATTTTGTCAATTAAATTTCTGCAAAATAAATTTAATTTTATTAATAAAAATATATCTAAATTAATAACTTTAAAAGCATACATATTTACATACACATTCATATATGCATTTCAGTAAAAATGTGCTTGTTTTTTTAAACACTTAAAACAAAACAAAGTTTGAAAAAACATAAAAAAATATAAATCAAGGTTTAAAAAAATATATATATATATATAAAACAAAAACCAAAATATAAATAAACCACCATTCAAGTTTTTTTGAACCCAAAATCTACAGCAAAATCAAAAACTGAAAACTCAAAAACTAAAATCTAAAAACCAAAAACCAGAAGTCAAAAACCAAAAACTAAAATCTAAAAACCACTCAAACATTCATGGCCTAAGATTTTTGGTGTGGTTATAATTGCGTGTGGCTTACTCAATGTTTTTTTTTTATTTGCAAATGTAGGGACTAAGGGGTTTCCTGATTCCGGTGTAACTGGGTTGGGAGAAACCGGAAGTGGTACCGGAGCTGTGCCGGCGCAGAAGGGACTTTGAAGAATCTGAGAAGTGAAAAATTTGAGTTTCGCTATTGAATGTGTTTGAGTGTTTCTTGTTGATGCTTTTGTTTTTGTGACTTTTGATGTATTTTTGATTTAATCTTTCTTTGTGTGAAAAAGGATAAAATGATATTTGGTTAATAAAACATTTGCTTTGGATTAAGAAGCTCTTCCTTGAAAGCTACGGGTTATAGATGATATGGGTCTGTTCTGTTTGCCTCACGCCGGCAGCTACGGTTTGCGATTAGATGCTGTGACCAAATACAACTATTTGTTGTTCAACGGTTGATCTCTGCGACTAATCGCAACAGTTTCAATTATTGAATGAATTTAGCGTTTGAATGAATTTAGCGTTAGAAATCAGTGATTTGCATCTAAACACTGTGTTTAACAGTAAAACAGTGTGTTTGACTTCAGAGACTGCGGCAAGTAAACGAACACCGTTTTGGCCATAGCCTGCGGAACCTCCTGCGTTGGCTTTAAGAAACCAAAATATAAGGTTAGATATTTTCGATTCCGGTCCAATCGAATTTTCAATTTTGATCTATTTGGTTCTAGATATTTGGGAAAAAAACAAAACGCCGTCCCAGAACCATGACTAAATTTATTATTCCTTAACAATAAAGAAAGAGTTAATTTGAAAGAAAAAAAAAACAAGTAAAAGGGACCCACAAAATCACCTAAAAAGATGAAACAAGCGTATCTATCGCTAGGTGGGGCTCGTCGAAGCCAAAATCGCATGAACCTTTTTATTATTTTGTTCGGCTCCAAATTTGTGACAATTATACACACACCACATTGCAGTTTCCGAAATTTTCCAATCCTCGAAAATTTCTGAGTTTTCACGCAATTTCTTATTCAATTCGAATTCGACATTTTTTTCCCTTCTTCGATCCAAATCATTTCCACACAAAAAGAAAGAAATCTTTGAGAGATAGATAGATAGAGAGAAAATGGGTGTGGCTCAAGCGATGGAAGCCTTGACGGAGAGAGCAGGTCTGATGAAGGAGTCTCTACAGAAAAGTCAGACCATCACCGATAACATGGTCGGAATCCTCGGCTCCTTCGACCACCGTCTCTCCGCTCTTGAAACCGCCATGCGACCCACTCAGGTTTCACCTCTCTGTTCTGGGTTGTGAGATTTTGAGATCTGTCTTTGTTTTTTATTGCCATTGTTGAAATTGAATCATTAGGCTGTGGATTCGGAGAGAAAATCGCCCTCTTCTTCTTCTTCTTCTTCTTCTTCTAATTTGGCTAATTTCATTTGAATTGTTGGCTTTTTTGGGTGTGATTTGTTATTTGTGTAGATAAGAACCCATTCGATAAGAAGAGCTCACGAGAATATCGACAAGGCGTTGAAAGCAGCTGAGGTTATATTGGATCAATTTGATCTCACTAGAAAGGTTTTTTGGTCTTCTCTTTACACTCTATCATTCAAGCTTATTTTGTTTGCTTGTCTTTCAAGTAATCATATCTTCAAGGTCTTATTTACTCTGTTGTGGGGTCTCAACGTGTTTGATGTACAAATTCCTCTTATTTACTCTTGTTTGGACAATCAGTTTACATATCCTAAGGTTTTAAGGATAAATAGTTATCCTTATTTAGGATTTGGCATATCTGAGCATGATTTTAGTTACCACAGAATGTAGAAATTGTTAGTTTTGAGGTTTGTTTTCAAGCTCTTCTTTAGCTAGAAGGTCACATATATTATGTTACTGATCAAAACTATGTTCTTGCCAAGAAGGACTAAGATCACTTTTTGATGTGTGTGCGTGTTGCAGAATCAATGAATAAGTTGATTGATTGATTAATTTTTTGTTTGTTTGTCAGGCGGAAGCTAAAATATTGAGAGGACCGCACGAGGATCTCGAAAGTTATCTGGAAGCAATTGATCAACTGAGAAGCACTATCAAATTCTTCAGCAGCAACAAGATGTTTAAGAATGCCACTGGAGTTGTTACTCATGCTCACAATATGCTCTCTAAAGCTCTCTCGAAGCTAGAGGATGAGTTTAGGCAGATACTGCAAAACTACAGGTTCGTCTTGGGAAATTCTGATTTTACTTGTGCAAGGATTGTTTCTAACACTTGAATATCTTTTGTTTTCTTTTAAATTTTTTAGCAAGCCAATGGAACCTGATCGCCTTTTCGAATGTCTTCCAAGCAATCTTCGACCATCAACAGATGGTGAAGGTGGTGGCGGAAAAAGTCATGATCCTCATCAAAAGAGCTTAGAAAATGCTATTTTTACAGTTCCAACTGTCATTCCCCCGAGGGTTCTGCCTCTGCTTCATGATTTGGCCCAACAAATGGTTCAAGCTGGTCATCAGCAACAGCTTTTCAAAACTTACAGGTCCAACTTCTGCCAAATTTGTACCTTGTCTTTGACGTAAACAAGTTTTTAAGGCTGGTTTCTTAGTGGTATTATGAGTTTTCTCTTTGAAAAGATCTTAGCATTGCTTTTTAGCATTCTTTGTCGTATGTGATTTATGTACTGATTTATACTCTTTTTATTGAATTTTATTAGGGACACGCGTGCGGCAGTGTTGGAGCAGAGCCTTAAGAAATTAGGTGTGGAGAGGCTTAGCAAAGATGATGTTCAGAGAATGCAATGGGAGGTCTTAGAGGCCAAGATTGGGAATTGGGTCCATTACATGCGAATCTCTGTAAGAAAACAAACACTCTCATTCAAAAAAGACCTTAAAATAGATCGTTACTTGTTCCTTCGCTTACACGGCTCTTGCTTTTGTTGCCTTGAGACAGGTGAAACTGTTATTTGCTGCGGAAAAGAAAATCTGCGACCAAATACTCGATGGCGTTGCGTCACTCAGGGATCAATGTTTTGGTGAAGTCACTGCAAATAGTGTAGCCGTGCTGCTTAGTTTCGGAGAGGCTATTGCTAAAAGCAAGAGATCACCGGAAAAACTTTTTGTTCTGTTGGATATGTATGAAATAATGAGAGAAGTCCAGCCTGAGGTAACATTTACTTTTCTCACACCATCACGCTTAGTGTCAATTATATGTATAAGCGTACTTACTCGCCTTTCCTTTATAGATTGAGTTGGTCTTTGGAAGCCAACCTTGTACCGAGATGAAAGAATCTGCTCTGAATCTGACAAAGCGGTTAGCTCAAACAGCGCAAGAAACATTTGCTGATTTTGAAGAAGCTGTTGAAAAAGATGCTACTAAAACCGCAGTTATGGATGGAACCGTACATCCTCTTACTAGCTATGTCATAAACTATGTCAAGTTCTTGTTCGAGTAAGTAACTCTTACATATACCAAAAGAAAATTTTCCAATCTTGTTGGATTTCTAAGTGTGGTCTTTGGAATTTTTGGAAACAGTTACCAATCGACTTTGAGGCTACTTTTTCAAGAGTTTGACAGTAAAGATCCTGATTCTGAGCTGGGAGCTGTAACAACAAGGATCATGCATGCTTTACAGAACAACCTGGATGGTAAATCCAAGCAATACAAAGATGCAGCATTAACTCAGCTATTTTTAATGAACAATGTTCATTACATAGTCAGATCTGTCAGGAGGTTCTGTTCTGCTTTTTTTTTTGGGATTAAACTCTCTTAAACAGAACCAAAGCCTAAACATAATCAGGGATTAAACTTACATTTTTCACAGATCAGAAGCAAAAGATTTGTTGGGTGATGATTGGGTTCAAATACATCGAAGAATCGTACAACAACACGCAAATCAGTACAAGAGAGTTTCCTGGGCAAAGGTTCACTAATCTTTTTCTATTCAACACACTAAAAGGCTTAAAAGTATATTTTTCTGATTAGTCATTTCTTTCGCAGATTTTGCAGTGTCTAACGGTTCAATCGAGTGGGAGCGGTCCAATAGAAAACTCGAATATATCAAGAGCAGCAGTGAAAGACAGATTCAAGACTTTCAATTCTCAGTTTGAAGAGCTTCACCAAAGACAGTGCCAATGGACAGTTCCGGACAGCGAGTTGCGTGAATCTCTTAGGCTTGCTGTTGCAGAGGTTCTTTTACCTGCCTTCAGATCGTTTCTCAAACGTTTCGGGTACATACAATTCAAGAACCCTTTGAAACAGAATTTGTTATAGTTTTATATGGTTTCGTGTTCAGCAAGAAAGTAATAGAAATGTTGCTGCTTTGTTTGTGTTATGTCTCAGGCCAATGATAGAGAGTGGTAAGAACCCACAAAAGTATATAAGGTTCACTCCTGAAGATCTTGAGCGAATGCTTAACGAGTTCTTTGAAGGCAAGACTTGGAGTGAGCCCAAGAGATAAACAAATTGTATTAATGACTGTTTTCATTTTACTGTACATTCTCTTCTGTTTTATGCAACATTTATAAGTTATTTTGTAACTCTCTTTTTCTTGAAGGTATATCTTTCGTTACAATTTTCTTTTCCTTTTAGTTTGATGAGGTCATAAAAAATTTATTTTCGTTATTAAAGTTGCTGAATGTTTGAGAAAGTGTTACTGTTCGTTAGATTATAGTTTTGCTCAAATGGGACTAAAAGAAATACTAACATGCTAAGTCAATTGTACGTATTATAATTTGTGTGTCAAGTGTCAACTTAAAAAACTTACAATGTGGAAATTTCAGAATACTTCAAATGAGGAAAAAGTCATGATGACTTTGATGAACATGTATTAACCAAACTAGTCCTTACGAGGAGTTCACACATTCCCACAACGATGGACAAACCCAACGATGAATCTATCAAGGTAGACAAAAGAGGAAAAGGCACTGCAGATCATTTCACAAATGAACATCATCGTCTTGTGTTCCATAAGGATGGTAAAGTTGATGAAACGAACACAAGATATGATGCGTGCAAGTTCAAACAAAATCTGCAAAATTACAGGTTCGTCTTTGGATATAGATCTGCTAATGTCCAATTGAAGCAATTTTGTTTGCTCTTGCAAGGATTATATCATTTTGTTCTGTTTTTCTTTCCTTAACCTAGAACGTTTGTAATATATATATATTTAAAACATCATTTCTTAGATTAAGTTTTAGAAGGAAGTCTTATCACTTTTGTTTTTCTTTTCAAAATATTTAGCAAGCCAATAGAACCTGATTGTCTTTTCGAGTGCCTTCCAAGCAATCTTCGACCATTGGACATTGAAAATATTGGCGAAAAGAGTCATGATTTACATCAGAGCTTAGAAAACTCTATTTTTACGATTTCACCGATCATCATAGCGATGGTTGTGCCTCTGCTTCATGATTTAGCTCAACAAATGATTCAAGCTGGTCATCAACAAGAGATTTTTGAAACTTACAGGTCCACTTTCTACTTAATTAATTGTAATACTCTCTCCTCTGCTTCCACCAATATCTTCAAAATACTATGGAAACTTTCAAAATGATAAGTTGATGGACAAACATATTTAAATTGGCAAGCAAAGAAAACTAATTAACTGTGGTTGCTCTAAATCAAACTAGAGATGGGTTACTTTGGGGACCACATTCAAAGGAAACGGCTATAGCAAAAAACAACCTAGCTGATGCATATTTGGCCTTAAAGACACTTTATGCGTTTGTGCGAATCAAAAGAGAAAGACTTTGTTTGGCCACAAGAACAGCGTTTCAAAAAAAGCATTTAGCGTTTTAAGATGCATTCTTGGCGGCAGGTTTGTGTTGCACACAAAGTCCTTATGTGTCATCACTATAAATAGGTGACTTCGGGTATGAGAGAGAGAGAGAGATTAGAGGCTTGAATGAGATCGAAGAGAGAAAATTTGTCAAAGCATAAGCTATTTTCATTGTTTTCTCTAAACATGAACTCATGAAGTATTACAGAGTGTATCTAAGTATTAGGCGGATCACTTGTAACTTTTTTGTTGTGTCATATTCCATCTTTAGGCCTCTTTCGCGCCTGTAAGAGTAAAAATACGTACATGCCCCAAATTCCTGATATTGGGAACCATGCTGCATCCCCTAATACTGTGGGCACACTACCAGGTAAGCGAGAGACAAAGGTGAAGTGGCCATGTCCATCAAGTTATTCTGGCCATTATAAAGCATGTTTAAATACCTTCGGGGTCAGTCCAATTGTCCAAAGAACCATAATAAGCTAATGGCGCTAAGAAATTCACCTAATCTAATTACATATGGTGATAAACGAGAAATGATATTTATCTCCAACAAGTAGAGAAGCCCATATTCTTTATATACTAGTATTGAATCATCTTCACTTTGGATGTTGAATATTCTAACATATATATTTACTTTTCGAAATATATTAGGGATACTCGTGGGGCAGTGTTGGAGCAGAGCCTCCAGAGATTAGGTGTGGAGAGGCTTACTACGGATGATGTTAACAAAATGAATTGGGAGGTTTTACAAGCCAAGATCGAGAAGTGGATCCATTACATGCCAATATCTGTACGAAAACTCTTTGCAAAAAAAAAAAAAAAAAATTAGAGCGTTAAGTGAGTGTTGCCTATTTATAATTTGTCTTGTTGAGACAGGTTAAACAGTTATTTGCTACGGAAAAGAAAATATGCGACCAAATACTCGATGGTGTTGAGTCACTCAGAGATCAATCTTTTGCTGGACTCACTGCCAATAGTTTTGGTGCGCTGATTAGTTTCGGAGAGGCTATTGCTAAAAGCAAGAGATCGCCGGAAAAACTTTTTGCCTTGATAGATATGTTTGAGACAATGACAGAGCTTATGCCCGAGGTAAAGTTACGTAGGCTAATTTCTGCGTTTATGTTCACATGTGGAGTCTTGTTTTTTTTTTTTTTTTTGGTACGTAGTTACGTATTTGTGTTTGTGTTTGCTGAGCTAGCTAGCATAGCACGCCTAACATCTTTTCCCTTTATTTGCAACCATAGTTTGATTTGATCTTTGGAAGCCAACCTTGTACCGAAATGAAAGAATCTACGCTGAATCTTACAAAGCTATTAGCTGAGACAGCGCATGAAATTTTCGCTGATATTTTCGAAGAAGCGGTCAAAAAGGACGAGACTAAACGCATTGTTGTGGATGGATCCGTACATCCACTTACTAGCTACGTAGTAAACTACGTCAAGTATTTGTTCGTTGTTTCTAGACATGGAAACACCTACCAATCGACGTTGAGGTTAATTTTTAAAGAGTTTGGCAATGTGGAAGATCTGAAATCCGTGGTAGTGAGGATCATACAGGCTTTACTTAACAATCTAGATGGTAAATCCAAACAGTACAAAGACGCAGCATTAACTCAACTTTTCCTAATGAACAATGTTCACTATATTGTGAGATCTATCCGGAGGTTTGGCTCGAGCTCTCTTAACTACAGAACCAAAGCCTAAACATATTCTTGAATTAGACTTACGTTTTCACAGGTCAGAAGCGAAAGATTTGTTGGGTGATGATTGGGTTCAAATTCATCGAAAAATCGTGCAACAATACGCAAAGGAGTACAAGAGAGTTTCCTGGGAAAAGGTTTACTGAATCTTTTCATCAGGTTTAATGTTTTACTATGTGTAAAGAGTTTTTTTTCTTCTGATTAGCCATTAATTTTTTTCGCAGATTTTGCAGTGTTTAACGGCTCAGCCGAGTGGGAGCGATCCGATAAAGAACTCGAACATATCAGTAGCATCAGTGAAAGACAGATTCAAGACTTTCAATTCTCAGTTTGAAGAGCTTCACCAAAGACAATGCCGATGGACAGTTCCGGACAGCGAGTTGCGTAAATCTCTCAGGCTTTCTGTTGCGGAGGTTCTTGTACCTGCCTTCATATCGTTTCTCAAACGTTTTGGGTACATACAATTCAAGAACTCTTTTAGTCAGATTTGGTATGGTTTTATAGGGTTTCGTGTTCAGCAAGAAAGTAATAGAAAACGTTGCTGCTTTGTTTATGTTATGTCTCAGGCCAATGATAGAGAGTGGTAAGAACCCACAGAAGTACATAAGGTTTACTCCTGAAGATTTTGAGCGGATGCTTAACGAATTCTTAGGGCAAGACTTGGAGTGAGCCCAAGAGATGAAAAAACCAATGTGTATTAATGTTTGTTTGATTGTTTTCATTACATTTTATGTATTGACTTTTGCAACATTAGAATTTTACATTGTCATACTATCTTGCTTCTTGAAGTATATATCTGATCTTCTTTTTCTTTTGTTGTTGTTATGGTTTCTTTTAATTGAAAGTTAATGAGGTCTCAAACAAAAAACCTTGTAGACTCTTGATTCTGTGGTTTTATTGATTGTTGCCGATGTATTAATTTTTTTTTTGACTTCGTCTACTTCTGAATCAACTGTAAGAATAAAAAAAAATGGGTTAAAACATAAGAATCGATCAAGACATGTACTCTTGTGGTTTGATCAAAAAGCATTTATAAAGACTTGTTGTCCACAATTTCATTTTTGGAAAATTATTAAAGAAGGTAATTAATGCCTTTTGATAAAAGAACGAAAAAAAAACTTAAGCTTCTTCGATCTATTTAAATTGTAAGAGTTGGTAGAAATGGAATTCAAACCGAAATCAAAAGCATATCAAATAAATGAACATAACCATATTTGGTTTCATTCTAATTATGTATTTGTCGACCAGAACTTCAAAAATATGTCTAAATCTACCAGTTAATTTGTCTTCTATAACTTTATTGTAGTCTATTACGTAGTAAGTAACTAAGTATTAAGTAGTAACTAACAATCAGTTCTTTTTGGTTACAAGTGATAATCTACTTGTAAAGCAGTATTTTACGAACCATTTGTCCAATAGAAGTACTAACCAATCCACATTACATAAAGGCAAAACCACGATATAAAAAAAGACGTGATTCTTCTTTATATGAACTGCAGACCTGCAGTAGTGATCAATAGTAATCAAATTTTAAACTCTCTTTTGTAGGTCCGTCTACAAACAGACTTATTTTTATTAATATATTATATTAAAACAGAAGCACATTTAGTACTTGCTTCCAAACATTCCTAACTTTTAAGTGTTTAAAAATAATTTTAATAATTATTTATATTTAATTTCGAAAATTAGTTATTAATTTAAATATTTTTGAAGTTCCTTAAATATAGGTAATTTATATTTGATTTGATTAAAAATAATAAATCAGATATTAATTTAGATTTGATTTAAAGATTCTAATTTAAATAATTTCTATACTATTAAACATTTTTATCAAAAATATCTAGAATTTTTGAAAAACAAAATTTACATATGAAAAATAATGGTCATATTTGAAATATAAAATATTTATAATGATGTAAATGATATGATATTTATGTTGTTTATATAATATATTTACGATTATGATTTATTTACAAATTAATAATAAAATAATAGGTAAAATTCAAATGTATAATTTAAATATTAAATATATATTTTTAAAAATTCGTAGAACTAAAAAAATATAAAAAAAACCGGGTTAAAAATATTTTGGTAACTAATATCACTAATTTTGAATTATATATGTTTATCGAAAATATATTTTTATCAAAACATAAAAAATTAAAAATTATTGCATACACTATAATGTGGTTTGAAAAACCAGTTATACACTCCCTTCGTTGATTAAATTTTAAAAAATTATAATGATAAATAATACTGTTAATACATCTCAAACTTTTAACAAATATTTATATCATACGGTAATATGAACGGAATATTAGAACTATGTTTTTATAATAGTTCATTTTGAATTAATATTAGCCGACGGGTTAAAATTATACTTTTATAATCATAATTAATTTTAATACTATAAAAATATATCTAAACACAAAAATCAATATTTTTGCTTATTAGAAAATATATTTATAAAAATAATTATATCTAGACGTCAACAGCAGGGATCAAAACCTGCGCGGGCGAAGCCCAATAGATTTCAAGTCTATCTCCTTAACCACTCGGACATATTGACATTTTGTCAGAATGTCGCAATGAAAAATTAATATATTTTATTTTTCAACGAAAGTTATGCAACTATTACACGAGAAACTACATGGTTTTAAGCTTTTCCCATGCGAAAGTATAAAAGTCCATGTCAAATTAAAAAATATCAATAAAAAATAGAGAGAGAAAAAAATGAATGAAACCAAGAAAGTTACATAACATGGAGAAAGTGCTTGAATTGATGATGATGATGGTGCACTTATGGAGATATATGATGGAGAAAATCAGGCAATGTATGAATCTAGAGAGCTCGACTTTTGATGATGTCGAGACTCATCTCGCTCGGGTCCGTGGCTTGTAACTCGACCTGAATCCCATCCAATTCTCTCTTGAACCTGTCCTTTGAGCTCGCATACACCATCTTCATCCTCACCCTCGATGAATCCGGTGACCTATCATATATACATGCACATCATCCATAATCTATACTCAATATATATTTCATAAAAAGAAACCATGACATGTAATCATTCTAGTGGTTTGTGCTATTGTAGTACACGTTCAAATTCGCATATTGCAATGCATGTTGTTGAGAAAACAAAACATATGTTTCATAAGACATGCATGCAAAAGGGTATTTGTAATATACCATGCAATGAAGAAGATCTTGCTCTTCTGGCAATTCTCAGCAGTGGTGAAGTCGAAGTCATAGACAGCATAGCGGCATTCATCGGCGGGTAAGGAATTGGAGAAATCGTCGTAGTTCTCCTCGGGACTTCCCAGCTTTTCCACCACCACTTGTTGTCCATCTATCCTGAAGATTATGAACCTATAGTTTCTTTTCGCCTTTAGCTCCAAAAATTTCAACTTACACTCGTCTTCCACCGCCATTCCCGACGCCGCGTTCGCCTAATTTTTTCATTCGTGATGTTTATATATATAAGTTAATTAACATATAGAAGAAACATCCAAAAAAAAATATATATATAGAAGAAACATCATATTAAAAAAACAAAAACATTTCATATAGCCTATATATGAATATGTGCGGATTAGTCCTAAGTCAAAGCTGCGATTGTCTCAAATGCCATTTTGTACATTTACGTTTCACACATGTTGAGAAATAATACATTTTTAGGTTTTTTATACACTTTTTTATATAGTTTCCAAATGGTATTTGCGTTTATTATGGTTTCATTTGAGGAAAAACACCTTTATAATACGTAAACACAAATTGTGATTAAAGCAAAACAAGAACGATGCTCAAACATCTATATGATGCGCAAATTAATTACAAAGATAAAGAAACAAAGGAGAAGAGATCACGCACCATTGCGTTTGGATGATGAAGACAACAAAGAGAAATTAAGAGAGATCTTGTACTTTTTTTTTTTTTTTGATTTTTGTATTGTCCTCTTTTGTGGGAGGAGAGATGAAGAATGAAGAAAAAGAGAAATAATTTTGGGGTAAGAAGAGTTTCTTAATTTGATTTGAAGAGGTTAATCGAGACTAACTCGGACAACCATTAACACCTCTCTTCTTTTAACATCAAACCACACCTTTTTTTCCTCTCTGTCCTTCAATTTCGCCTAACCATCTTTTCTTTCCCAACAATTTTACTAAATTTAGCAATTTTTCTACTCTATATTTAGCTTATTTGTATCCTTATCTTTTTTACACATACAGGGACTATGTCTATCGTCTGGTTTACAAATGTTTTACCGTTTTGGTTGATTTGGTTCTTGTTCGGTTTAAAAGATATCTGACACAGAATTGGCTGTGTGGTTCCATTACAAAACATTGTTCTGTATCTTAAACCGCAATTTGTCCATTACAAGACTCTAGATGCATATAGAAAACGAAAAATTGCCAACCCTTTTAGATCCTCTTGAATTAATTTGAAACAGAATTGGCTGTGTGGTTCCATTACATAACATTTTTCTTAATCTTACACACCAACTTGTCCATTACAAGAACTCTAGATGCATATAAAGAACGAAAAATTTGACCTTTCCTACAAAATTGACGACCCTTTTAGATCCTCTTTGAGTTACTTTTGTGAATCATCCTACGAAATTGACAACCTTTGGACCTTGTTTCTTCTTCGAGATGCTCTTCTGATCTAAATCATCAGGTGTAGTAGCATCAGAGGTCTTGATCTTCTTGCTGCTTACAGGCTCTTCATAGAAATCGTCCTCAAGATCATCCCCACTAAACTTAGTGAGTTTCCCTCTTGGTGTAGCATCAAATCCTGTAGTTTCATGCATAGGGGATGAAGTTAAGATCTTTACAGGATTAAAAGAGATTGCAATTGACTAGGATCACCAAATTTAGAAGCTCAAGAATTGAACGCGCGAGAAAGCAAAAGAAGATGTTTACTTGAACTCTTTGTAGGGGCTGAATCTCTGTTGAGTTTATCGGGGCAGTCTTTGACGAGATGAGCCACACTCCCGCAAACTTTACAAGACCCGCCCTGCCAAAAGAAAAATGTCGAAACTCATTCTTGTATGAGGAAAAGAAAATGATTCGAAACAAGATTTGAGCATCGTACCATTGGGTACACTCCATGCTTGTTTTGAGGACAGTTCTTGCTTATGTGTCCACTCTCCTTGCATATGAAACAACTTGCAAATTTAGTCCCTCCTACAAAAGTAACCAAAAAGACAAATGAATACAGTAGAGCCAACAAATATGGATTTTACAGGCAAGTACTGTTAAAACTCTCCAAATAACACTTCAGACCCTCATTCAAATATCTGTGGGACAGATCTTTAAGCGTATTGAGACGCAAAATCAACAACTCTTCATGTTAATCATCCGAATCTGGATATAACAACATAGTAGCTAAACAGAAACACACACCATCTTCCAAAGGATAAGGACAGTGAGAAAGTGAATGGCCAGTATCTCCACAGTTGTAACAGAGCTTCTTCTCGAAGCTGCTCTCGTCGGTTTTGTCAGGGCAATTCTTAAGACTATGCCCTCGTCTTCTACATTGCAAGCATATCTACGAGCAACAGAACAAACATCAATAAACCAACAAGAGTAGTGTTCGAGTTTACAGTGATTAAGAAACAGCAACATCAAACATCAATCAAACACTTAATTGATCCAAAACCTACTCACCAAGATATAAACCCACCTCTAATCCTAAGACCCTAAATTGGACAAAAACCCTAATCCTAAACTCAATGGTTAAAGAAGGAAACAAGAGAGTTAGAGAATCCAGAAGAGAGCAAGCAAACCTTGTTTTTCTCCCACTCGGATTTTTCAGGGCAGAGCTTAGCAATATGGGTTTTGGACTTGCAGATATAACAACCTTCCCCAGGTTTCATACCAGGAACTCGGAGAGGATGCCTCGTCGAGGAGCCATTTCTCATGGGTTTATCAGTGGAAGATCCAGGTTTCTTACGCTTGAACAAGCTCTTCTTCTTCTTCTTCTTATTGGGGTCTTTTGGCGGCGTCGGTTCTTTTTTTGGAAACTGCTCTGGGTGAGCTTCCTTGTATCGTTTCCGCGCAAGTCTTTGCCTTTGGCTCACCATTGTCGACTACTGTATCCAGAGAGAGAGACGATTGATTTCACAGGCGGCGATGGAGGCAGTGGAGACGAAGAAGAAAGACGCACGAATTTTCTTCAAAGGCTTGTTCTGTGTTTTAAACGGGCCAGACTCTATCCGGCCCAATATTAGATGGGCCCAAATATTTGTTAAACCTAGGAAACACTACTAGGACTTGTTTTCCACGTTTAAAACTATTGTTGGTTTTACGATTATTAGGGTTTGTTTCTTCTCTGTTGCGTCCCGAGTCTAAAACACTTAGGTAAGTGAATCTCGTGACGGATTTTCCATAACTGAGAGCAAACTCACCAGAAGAAAGACGCAAAATATGGAGAGAGCAATAAAAGTCGCGAGAATAAACGAAAACTTGGACAACGAGAGGCTCAATGAGCTGCCAGATGAATTGATCTTGAAGATATTCTCGTTTCTTCCGATGTTCAAAGAGACAGTAGCAACAGAACTCATATCAAGACAATGGTCGGAGAAGGATCCTTGGAAACTGGTGTCGGATGTCACGCTCGATGATGATGATCAAACTCTCGTGACTTTTATGAGTTTTGTTTATGGATCTTTGTTGTCTAACGATGCTCAGATTCTAGAAAGGTTGCATCTCAAGCTAATTACGAGAAAATTCTCGGTTTATTCGGATTCAGACATCGATTTTGTGGTTCGAATCGCGGTTAACCAAGCTTTGAGAAAGCTGAGAATATACTTGTTTGGCAAAACCCTAAATTTTCCGAGTTGCTTGAGTAACTGCACAACCCTAAAATCATTGATACTCAGTGACCTAAAGATCGAGGTTTTCCCGGCTGGTTTTTGTTTGCCGTCGCTCAAAAGTCTGCACCTTTTCTCCGTTAAGCTCTTGGGAAACGAATCCGTTGCAAGCCTTTTGCAAATCTGCCCGGATCTTGAATATTTGGTTATAAATGAAACCAGATATTACGATGATGATAACGTTGACTTCTGCTTGTCATCACTTAAAAGCCTGCACCTTTCATCGGATACATTCTTGAAATTTGGCCATGAATCTGATAGATACGTCTCGCGTCTTTTACAAAGATGCCCGGTTCTTGAGTGTTTGGTTGTAAACAGAGCCAATCGTGACAATGTGATGTTATTCCACATTGATGTGCCTACTTTGAGGAGTTTATCTATCAATGAATCAAGAAGCAGTCGTGACTACGGTTATGAAGGGTTTGTAATAAATGCTCCTGCTTTGGAGGAACTGAACTTTAAGGTTACGTGCAGTAACTTTGTAATGTTTGAATATATGCCTGAGGTGACCAAAGCGAATATCGAGGTTAAGTACTGCGATCAATCTGAGAAGTTCATAGGATCTCTTACCTCAATCCACAGTCTTTCTCTCTGTTCTAAAACTTCAAAGGTAAAAGATGTTCTTACTCCAACAATGTCAAGATTTCTCCTTTTCATGTTTTGTTATTCTTATATACGGTGGATAATAAATATATATATAATTCAAATTGCAGACTCCATATCCTAGAGGCAATTTCTTCTTCTTTCTTGAACATCTAGAGCTATGTACATGTTCTAAAGGTTGGACGAATCTACTTGCTTGTCTACTCAATGGCGCTCCAAGACTTCAATCTCTTAAGCTTGAGTCGGTATGTAGAACACAAACTTTTTCTTTTATTTATGGTTTACTACATGAACAGTATAATAATTGATATACTTGAATAATCAAATAGCATACACACTTTATGAATGATATTTTTTTAATTTATTTTCTATTGATATTTCCTTTACATGTTCACTAGTAGGCAGTAGCAACGCAGAACGTTTTCAATGATTGAATCACGTCTTTTAACACATAGAAACTAGTAAATATCATTCAGTCATAGAAAATAGCTAATTTTCTTTTGAACGATTTATAATGATATGTAATGCTTTTTTTTTTCGTCTCAGAAACATGGTGTCGATTACAATGATCCAATCAAGAACCACTGGATCGAACCAAAAGTTGTTCCCGAATGTTTATCGAAGCATCTTGAGATCTTGGAATGGAGACAATATGAAGGCACAGAGCAAGATAGGGAAGTGGCTGCGTACATACTAGCAAACGCAACTTGTCTAAAGATGGGGACATTCTCAATCTCATCAAAATGTAAAAACAAAAAAGCAGAGTTAAAGAAAATGTCCAGAGTTTCCGAGACATGTCAGTTAGTGTTTGAGTAATATTTCTTATGTGATGGTGTGTGTCTCTAGAAGACACATGAGGATCTCAGCTTTTCTTCTTCATTTCTCCCTGGCTTTGTTTTCTAATCTCCGGATCTTCCTTAATTTGTGGAAACAGAAAAGATTTCGGTTACACTATTGAAAATCTAGTTTTCCATCTACATTATTATTCAACATTATTATTCAATAGGAAAATATATGTGGTATTGAAAAAAGTTGTAGCTAAATTTTTTGTTACTCTAAGAGTTACATTATTCAAACATGAAGAAATTTACAAAAGTTGACGGATAAGACCATCTCCATTGCAGGTCTTTTAGAATTTCTTAAGCTTTAAAAATAATTAAAATAAATGAAAAAGAAATTAAATGTTAAGAACCAGTTGATAAAAGCCTTGTTTAAGAACCCTTCTTAAAAGTTTTTAAACACATATGGTTTTGTTTTATTGGTTTATGTTTTAAAAGTTTTTTCTACGCTAATGGTCGATGGAAATTAGAGCTACTGACAGAAAATTAGAGAAAAAGAAAAATAAAAAATTTATTATTTTAAAATTAATAAGAACCCATAAAGACTTTACCAATGGAGATATTCTAAGTTGAAGTAAAGATCAACGAAAAATCGTCAAAATATTACTGGAATCAATGCACTTAAAAAGAGATACGATACACGAATAAATAGAATAAAAGAAAACATTTGATCCGAGAGAATGCGAATTTAAAGACTCAAAGCTTAGTGAAAAAAAAAAATTTCTCATCCAATATATTGATGAAAATAGAGACGAAATTAAATCTCATTATACTGCTTAAGGAATTTGGCTTAAACACCAAACACAAATTAACAAATTAAGAAAGATTTCTCCATTTTCGTGTGAACCTATTGGTTTTGGACTTGATGGGCCCAATCGTTGATGTGCCCAATCATTAGGTTTTCAGATTTTAAACCGCGATTGCGTTGTTTATTGCGTTTGGAATCAGCATATAATTTGTTGTGTCCTATGTGTACCTTTTTTTTATTGTGAAACCTAATTTGACTAGGGTTTTATTTCTTCTCTGTAGCGTCCCAAGTCTATTTCCTTTTGTAAGTGAACGGGTTTTCCACAACTGAGAGCAAAACAAACGAAAAACATGGAGAGAACAGTAAAATTCGCCAGAGTAAACGAAAACATGGAGAGTCAGAGGCTCAGTGACTTGCCAGATGAATTGATCTTGAAGATATTCTCGTTTCTTCCGATGTTCAAAGAGACCTTAGCAACAAATCTCATATCAAGACGATGGTCGGAGGAAGATCCTTGGAAATTGGTGTCTGATGTCACGCTTGATAATGATGATGACAGTTTCATGAGGTTTATATATGGATCTTTGTTGTCTAACGATGCTCAAACCCTAGAGAGATTGCATCTCAAGCTTGTCCGAAGAAAATCGGCTTCAAACATCGATTTCGTGGTCCAAGTCGCGGTTAATCGATCTGTGAGAAAGCTAAGAATAGACTTGTCTGGAAGAGCCCTAGTGTTACCGAGATGCTTGAGTACTTGCAAAACCCTAAAATCATTGATACTCCGTGAAGTAAGTATCGTGGTTTATCCGGATGGGTTATGTTTGCCGTCGCTCAAAACTCTACACCTTTTCTCCGTTAATTTCTCGGGCTTCGAAACTGTTGCAAGTATTTTACAAATCTGCCCGGATCTTGAATATTTGGTTTTAAAGCAAACCAAATATCACGATGTGCCCATTGTTGGGGCTAGGTCCTTGTTGCCATCACTCAAAAGTCTCCACCTTTTATCGGTTAAATTCTCTAGCGATGAATCTGTTGCTAGTCTTTTAAGAAAATGCGAGGCTCTTGAAGATTTGGTTATAAACCGGACCGAATACGACAATGTGAAGTTATTCAATATCAATGTGCCTACTTTGAGAAGTTTATCTATCAATAACTCAAGAAGGAAACAAGTCTACATTGGGGAGGATTATGGGTTTGTGGTAAATGCTCCTGTTTTAGAGAAACTGAACATTAAGGATACGTGCAGTAACTTTCTAAGGTTTGAATATATGCCTGAGGTGACCAAGGCGAATATCGAGGTTATTTGTCATGAGAATAAGTTCATAGGATCTCTTACCTCAATCCAAGATCTTTCTTTTTGTGCTCTAACTTCAACGGTAAAAGATGTTCTTACTCCAACAATGTCAAGATTTCTCTTCTTTTTTTTTTTAATGTTTTTGTTATCCTCGTAACATTTTTTTGGGTAAGATGTTAAGAACCTCGTAACATTTAATAATATATATAATTTAAATTGCAGACTCCATATCCTAGAGGCACTTTCTTCTTCTTTTTTGAACATCTAGAGCTATGTACATGTTCTGAGGGATGGGCCAATCTACTTGCTTGTATACTCAATGACGCTCCAAGACTTCAATCTCTTAAGCTTGATTCGGTATGTAGAACACAAACTTTTTTTCCTTTTTCGGGTTTACTAGTTTGTTACATAAAAAGTATAGTAACAGATATACTCGAATAATCATATAGCATAAACACTTTATTAGTGATATTTTTATTTTATTTTCTAGTGATATTTCTTTTACACGTTCACTAGTAACAACGCAGAATGTTTTTAATGATGGAATCACGTCTTTTAAACATAGAAAATAGTGTAACATTCAGTCATATTTCTGTTTCCGCTATAACGATTTTATAATGACACGAAATGTTTTTTTTTTCTCGTCTCAGAAACATAGTGGTCGCCATTACGATGATCCAATCATGAACCACTGGATCGAACCAAAAGTTGTTCCCGAATGTTTATCGAAGCATCTTGAGATCTTGGAATGGAGACCATATGAAGGCAGAAAGCAAGAGAGGAAAGTGGCTGCCTACATACTAGCAAACGCAACTTGTCTAAAGACGGGGACCTTCTTAATCTCATCAAGGTGTAAGAGCAAATATGTGTCAGAGTTGAAGACAATGTCCAGAGTTTCAGAGACATATCAGTTAGTGTTTAAGTAATTTCTAGAATACTCATAAGGTTCTCAGCTTTCTTCTTCCTTTCTCCCTGACTTTGTTTTTGGTGTTTGTTCTTTAATCTCCGGATCTTCTATAATTTGTGAAAGCAGAAAAGATTTTGTTTACATTATTGATAAAGGTTACACTATACTATACATAGTTGAAAATGGGTCATATGGGCTCCAGACAAATAAAAAGTTCATTTCTCAATGAAATCGAAGTTGTAGATCACACAATTGCCAATAATATTTAGAAATTGTTTTAGCACTTTTAGCGTTTTCGTTTAAAGATACTTTTTTGTGTGTGAATACAACAAACTTTCGAGTCGAGTGGATACTGAAATCAATTATCCATTCGAGTATGAGTACCCGAATTACGTGTCCATCCTAGTATCAATAAACACAAGCATATTTATTGGGTTATATAATAAGATTGATTACTAATATAACTATATAAGCGAACAACTTTCACCATCTCTTACCACTCGTGTTGGTTTTTTTTGTTACTAAAAAATATATATAAGCATTACATGATGTAATATGTTCTTAATTATTCTCTTTGGAATCTCATGACATGCATGGTACGTCTTCTCTCCATTCTTGCTTGCCTTAATTAATACGATGAAGGTGCCGGCGCGTAAGACATATGATCCATTGATGTAGCCGGCTCTGGTGCCATCTCACCCAACCTGACCGGTCCAACCGGTCCTAGTGTGTCCATTACAATACCCGAACTCCTAATTTCAGACATTGCCCTTCTTGATTTCCCTTGTTGCGATTCACATAGCTTTGGCAAGTATACTCCTATGTCAAGATCAAACAAAATAAAATTAAACCGAAATCTATTTGAGAAAAAAAAGAGTAATCGGACCTGCCGGTATCACAAAACCGTACCTTCGCCAGCTGCAAGATTGTAGAAGAGATCGACGATGTTAGGGCATTGGGTTAAGCATTTAACCGAGCAGAGTTTCTGAGTAAACCGGGATTCCAAAAATCCGTCTGATGATATACCCAAAGATTTCCGGTCTAAACCACAGGCTTTAATGCACTCGTCTGATTCAATAATGTTTGTGACCTTGTCCGCTTCTATCTCCGATGCTCGACACATATACACCTCGATCCCACTCCTCTTCACGCTCTTCTCCAAAACGCAGCGTTTTCCTGCGGCCGAGACCGCGAATGCGCATGTGTCTTTGTCCAGATTCTCGCACTTGACTTCGTGCCCTATACGAATTAGTGCCAATCGCGTACTAAATATTTGTATGTCCTCGAAATAACAATATCTTGGTTAAAAATGTTGTTGTATAATAAAACTATATCTAGCTTGTGTACTTGTCGATTTATTCGATATATTTGCAGAGAAACTTACCAAGTGTCGTTTGCAAATAGACGGCAAGAAGAAGCATAGAAACAACAAAGACTGTCTTCAAACCCATGCTGTAAAGTGGAGACACAAAGAGAGAAATATAAGAAATGCTCTGAGAGAAACTTTGCCTAAAGAAGAGGAGATTTTCTTTGGGTGTGATTATATGTTTTGGAGAAATAGCCTATTTATAGAGTGGTGATAAATCAATACATGAATTTTAGAATTTCTTAGAAAATTTAAATATGTTTATTTTCTTTAATTTCAAAAGAGTAATGACAATTCTGTTGACAAATGAAACACCAAGGAGTGTTTACGTGGCAATCATTGAAGAGTCGTCGTTATATTAGTTAGGCAAACACTTTGATTCATTAGCAAAACAAATGTTTTTTTGGGGGGTTCAAATAACAAAATAAATGTATCATTCTGATTGTATACGTTTAGTTTGAATTTAAGTGTCTACGATGAACGACAATGTATATACCATGCTGAAAACTTCTTATAAAATTGCGTCTAATCTGTAATAAATCGGATTTTTTCAAAAATCAAACCCTTAAACATAGTGTTGAGTACTCAACCTTGATTGACTGTTGAACCAAAGAAACTCTCACCAACGATTGGTTTGTACATTGCATATCAAATGAAAGGGAACAAATTATTTTAGTATAGATTTCGCATTCAGAAGAGAATGGTCATTCAGTTTAATCTTCTATGCTGAAGCTCTAACTAGTTCTACGACTTAATTTATATCTATAAATCCGACAATCTCTAGTTACACTTATTTAAAATAAAATGCAGAGCTACGAGCATTTGGATAATACTTTCGATCAACTTTAACTAATATAAACGAAATATTATTGTGAACAACATATTATTTGAGCAAAATATGTACTCTAGTAGTTTGTGTTAGTGTTATTATTCTATTATTAGTCCGGTTCCAAATAATGTCATGAAAAAAATTAAACATTATGTTGACAAAAAAAGGACATTCTGTTTGGAGATACAGTAGAACCTCTATAAATTAATACTCGATAAATTAATAATCACTATAAATTAATAAATTTTGATAATTCCAAGTCGGGCCAATGTAAAAATCCATCAAATTCGATAAGACAATAAGATAATAATTTTTTTTGAAACCATTATGTAAATATATGGTCCCAACAAAAACATAAATTAATAATTATATAAATTTATGTAAATATATGTAAATATAATATTCTAAATTATGACTAATGTATTTGTTTTTACTTATAGTTAAAATTTCATTGATTCTCACATCTCTAATTATTATATCAGTAGTTCTTATTACTGTTTTACTATATACATTCAAAATTTATAATGATTTTTTGATGTGATAATTGATTTTAATACATGTAAATATTTTTAAATGTATTGTAGTATTATCTTTAATTTTATCATCAATAATACTGATAGTAGCCATGGTTTTTTTATAAATTTTAAACTTATGAACATGTATATTTTTACATAAATTAATAAGTATTAATTTATAGATAAATTAATATCACGTTAAATTAATAAAATATCATAGTCTCAACATTATTAATTTATAGAGGTTTTACTGTATGCTTCAAATATATTTTTAAGTAATCGAAATTTCTATTTTCATCTCAATAAAAAAAATAACGTGGAAATTTGGCTTGAAAAATATAATTCCGTTGTCAATGGCGAAGATTATGCTGTCAAAGTCGAGATGTGAATACTTGACTGACTTAATCACTTTTCCTAAAATCTGGCATGGAACCATCTTCTACTTAGGGTCATAATTATAGTTGGACCATTTAGTCTTCTTTACCAAACATTAAACATATAGACTAAGAAAACAATGCATCGAATATATAAAGTCTACATAAAGTCGTGTGTAAGCTTTTACTTAGTGCCCGTTTATCTATGATTTTTAAACGTTAATTTGCAACCAAGTTCGATAATTTCTTTGTTCTATTGAAGTTTTAATGTATATTGAAAAATCTTAATTCCAACGTCATTTGCCCTCCCCTTGATTTAGTAAATTTCTCAACTCCTCTCTAACAAGTTCATTGGCTAATGAGATATGTAAGGTAATGTCTTTGACAGTAGTTAGTTTGGTGCTTTTGAACTGAAAATTTATTCAGAATTTAAAATGGGTAATAAATATTCTGTAACGACCCGAGAAGGAGGCTAATCAAACCTATACAAAAATTCCAGAAATACAATACCATAATAGATGGACGTGAGAAACGTTGGGGAGGCTAGAGGTTACCTTAAAGGATGCCTAAAGCGATATCTCCTTTATCGGCATATTAATTTTTGTATTTTAATTAAAAATCCTTTATAACAAACAAAAAAAAAACGTGAAATAGAAGCCCGTAATTGACGGCAAAGACTTCTTCAGTTCTAACGTGGAGATGGCCAAGTTCTGTACTATGGTTTTTCCAACAGAGAGACTTCTTGGCTACGTAAGAGCATAAACAACGCAGTTTTTACATGCGTCTTTTATGAATAAAAATATTATTTTAATAAATTGAATTCCTGAAAAAGCAAAACACGTCTCTACAATTGAAACTATAAGAGACGTCTCTAACTCAATTTTATTATTAAAAAATTATTTAAGAGACTTTAGTGAGTCTTAACGATGTTTATGGTCTAAGGACAGTCACGAGTCATCCTCACTACTTAGATATTTTATACATACGAATAGATCCAAATTTCAGTTGTTCAGTAATACTTTACTAGACGTTAAATTCATGTGGAATATGGTTCCACAAACCCAACCAGTTCCAAAGTGACTTTGTCTGTTCTGAGGTTCTATGCTTGGGTTGGAGACTTTATATCAATTATCACACAGATTCTAAAAAAGTCGAAATTCTACTTAAAACAAATTTTGAACTTTTTTTTTCGTCTGATGTGATATTTTGAGCTTTTTTTAAACAGATCGATATACTATCAAATAATTATGTCCGCTAAAGTTATATCAAATAAATATGTGTTAGAACAATTATTTATTTTTCAAACTTATAATTCTTTTGGACTTTTCTACAAGTGAAATAGGCTCAAACTTTTTCAGGCTCACGCAGTATGATATTTTTTTGCAACTGTTTTACGAATATATATTTTCTTTTTTGAAATGTTAAAATATAAGATGATTGAGCACAAAAATCTGTTTTAAACTTAGATGTGGCTGTTCCTAGTTATTTCTGAATGAAATCAACAAAATGAAAAAATTGAATAATAGTTTGTCGACATAAGAGACTGTTTTATGGATTTTTTTCCTCCAAACTATGTTTTGAATTTATAAAAAAGTATTTACATGTAATTTTTTTTTACGCAGATCCCTTAAAATTGGAGCACTATGAATATTTTTGTTCATATGGGCCTTTTGTAGGCTCAAGCTTGATTACTGAAATATTTATCACATTATTATATTTTTGTCAACATTTATCACCTTATTTACTACTGAACCACTAACTAACTTATTTTTATTTTAATATGATTAGGATATATGTATATACCTTAGTGACTTGTATTAGTGCTTACTGTAAATCACCATTCATATTCACACTTAGATCCATAATGCATGTATATGACCTAGAGAAACAGAAAAAAATCCTTAAAATCCTTAAAAAAAAAAAAAAAATCCGTTGAAAAAAAAAAAAGAAACAGAAAAAAATCCAGAATTTTATCTACTTCCAATAACTTCACATAGTTAATAATCGAAGGTAAAACAAATAGTATGATAAACAACCCTTAGTAGACCTGTGAAAGAAAAAGATTACCTTTTGTTTATATATCATTAGTTCATTACCACTATTACCAGTGCAATTTTTATTTTATGAAATGTGACTTTTCCCTATCTGTATACTTTGCCAATTTCTTTTTGTTACGTGTCACTTTAGAGTTTAGAGTTAGGCTTTTTAATGTTCTGGTTCTTTCGTGTACAGCTGAAAACTTCCATGTTCATAATCTCTCCTTCTTTATTATACAGTATGAACAGTCTTGGATCACCTCCAACAACAGGTTCACAAGTGGGGCCTGTCAATTTTGTTGGGTTCAAAATTAATTAAATAAGCCCAAATTCATTCAACCCGTATGACTAGAGTCATACTTTTGAGCCCTTATGACTCAGTATGACTGGCAACGTGGCGATATTTGATTGGCTCTGTGGGTAGAGAAATTCAGGGTTTCTCTTTTTTTCCTTTGCAAAATATCGAGTCGAAAAAATAAACTCTCTCGACCTCTTCGTCGCGATTTACGCCGATCGCCATCCCAACGCCGTCACCGGTGATTCGAGCCGATATTCGCCGATCTCGTAAGCAAAGGTAAGTTCAGTCTATCTCGTGCTTCTATTTGTTTGTTATTTCATTTTTAGAAATTAGGGATTTGTGATTTGGGGATAAATTTAGGGTTTGTCGAAATGAAAAATCTAGGGTTTTTGGATGAAATCGTTTACTGCGTTTGATTCGATACCTGCGTTGGTTATTGGGTTGCTTGTTGTTATAAAACGAAAACGAAATCTATGATTGATTGTAATTAGGCTTTCTTCAATTGGGAATTTTTTTTTTCCAGCGATTTGATAAAACTTTAGGGGTTTTCTTATAAATTGATTTATGCATTTGATTCTATACATGTGATGCGTAATTGTGTGGTTGTTGTTATAAAACGAATTGTAAGTGTTAAATTGAAATCGATACCATACGATTTATGTAAGTGTTTAGTGGTGTCATTGCTTGTTCAAGAGTTTAATGATAAGTGTTAGGTATTCAAGTAAACGCTGATTAGCTAGTGTAACATTAATCAGTTTAAGTAAAGGACAATATACACGGGGTGCGGGAAAACCAACAATTGTCTTAGAAGCTGTAGCATCATACGATTTATGGTTTTGGCATGCCTTTTTTGGACCTCCAGGTACTTTAAATGATATTAATGTCCTAGACCGCTCACCCGTTTTTGATGACATATTACAAGGTCGAGCTCCAAAAGTGAGGTTCTATGTCAACGGAAATCAGTATAATCTGGCATATTACCTAACCGACGGTATTTATCCCAAATGGACAACATTTATCCAATCTATTTCCGGTCCCCAAAGTGAAAAAGACACTTTATTTGCTACATGCCAAGAATCTACATGAAAAGATGTCGAAAGAGCGTTCGGAGTCTTGCAAGCCAGGTTCGCTATTGTTAAAAATCCAGCTCTTATATGGGATAAAGCAAAAATTGGGAAGATTATGAGAGCATGTATCATATTACACAATATGATAGTGGAAGATGAAAGACCAGTCAACTCTCAATATAATTTTTCTGAATTTCAACAAGGAGAAGGAAGCAGAACTTCAGAAGTCGATATGACGTATTCAACAAATATGCCCACAAATATCTCTAATTTGATCGGGAATAGAAATCAAGTTCGTGATAACCGAATTCATCAACGTTTGAAGGATGATTTGGTTGAAAATATTTGGCAAAAATTTGGATCAACTCACCTTTCCAATTAAATGTATTCTACTTTCAGTATTTGTATTTTGTTATTTTCTTAATAATTTTAATAATTTGTTTTTTTAAATAACATATCATGTTATATAACTGTGTTTTATGTTTTTATTTTTTTCAAATTAAATATGAATTAATTCGATTTATAACAAAATTACAAAAAATATTATTATTTTATTCATATAAATCCCACACATGAGTTCATGGTTGGAGGGATCAAATAGGTTGGGGTTCATCACCCAAAACAAAAATACAAAAATTAAATTAAATACCTATGAATCCCAAAGAGGGAATCATGGATGGATATGCTCTTATATGTTTACTCCTTAACGTGGTTAGGGGTTAACAAAAGTCTCACCATAATTAATTTAGCGATCTAACGTGTCGTTTTACCAATGATACACACTCGCTTTCTATATTGTGACTAATAGACGTTGTAGAGACACGAAAATCGTTTTACAACTGACATACAAACACACAGGGATGCAAAACCATACTTAACTTTACCATACACACAGAAATCTCTAATGATTTATTTTATGAATTAAGCTAAGTAAATATGCACAAGTTAGATAAATTTTAGAGGAATCGGGAGAATTTTTTTTTTTTGTGTGTCTATACCTTATTTGTTGAAAAAAACACTTTTTTATTTGTAAATATTTTTGTTTGTATTTTTGGGACAAAAGGTCTTTGTCTTTTTGATCTAGCTTTCGATTAAACATCTTCGCACATGATGGAGAAGAAGTCGAATAAGGTTTGAGTATGGTGTATGAACTTGCCACAGTTACTAGTTCCAACTAAGCTTATTAGGTTTATATTTTATGATAAAAAAAATAGAGAGTTTTGAGGTTAAAAGATGACGAGAAAATAGGGTAGCCCATTCAATCCAGTAAATCAGTAAAAAAAAAAAAATTTATTAGCTACCCTAAGTCTTAGATTGGTATGCTAGCGTCCGAACTAACGCATATATTTCAATTCGTTTTCACATTTCTCAAGTATAGTCTACAGGTGAACGCATCAACGACCATCATATCTTAAGGGAAAATTAATGATCTTCAGTTCCCCAAATAAAGTCAATTCAACAAGTAGTTTTTGATGAGATTTGATAAGTCATTAAACTCTTAAATAGTTGACGATTACAAATGATTTTTAGAAAGAAATACAAAATTCTTTGTCCCTGCTGAATTTTCAATGAATTAAAATGAAGACCAGGCCCTGACTATTAAGATGGATGGTTACAATGGTCAATGGGGGTATGCCTTGATCTCTACTACATACTCATGGAGGAAGGTAACTTAAATTTTTTTTGTAATACAAAGGCTTTTCTTCTTCATTTTCTTTTAAAGTCTTGTTTAGATTATTGTTTCATGGGTCGCATATAATATTGTATTTGGGCCACTACTTTTCGCAATCTCCTATCTCAATGGGTCATCTATGAACAATGCGATGATCCAGATATCTTTTTTGTTGTTTCATTTAGCCTTTTTCTATTTTTGTTTTTATGGGCCATTAATTTGAAACCTCTCTTAGATTTGCCAAAATGTTGTAATGAAAAATGTTCCCTCTGAGAAATAAATTTCACAATTTTATCTCAAAAAGAACATATTGTATTTAGATCAGCTTCTTGGTAATAACTTCTCCTTGTCAACAACTCCAATTGATTTCCAATAAGTCCTAGGCATTTCACTCATAATTACATCGGGTGTGAGACAATAACAACTTAATTTAATCTCCTCCCTGCATCACTTGATGCAGATATCCAGAAAAGATCATAAACCACGTGATCTCCACATGATTGTGAGCTTTAGAAAGATAGGCGCTTCAAATACATATTCTACTCCGAATACTTTTCCTCATAAAATATTTGGTGGATTTTGGCTACTGTGTTGGAGCAGAGCACATAAAAACAACCACAATGAATCGAGTTGTGTCTAATAATAGATTATGTAGTATATTTGGAAAGTGCCAAATCATAATTTTTTTAATGAAATTGATTGCTCACCTTTGGAGACGTGATATTCAGCCAACAATCATAAACTCTAGCTTTAGATGAACAAGTATATGTGAATCCTCTGGACTTGAATTCATCGCAATTCACTTGCTTTGTAGATGGTTCTTTTCAAGGTGATGAACAAGCTAGTGCTGTAAGTTGGGTTTAGGAACATCAGGGTTGCCGAGGCATATCCTTCTTCCATAAGGGATTGCACAGTTTATTATGAGTTATGGCCAGTTTGAGGAAAACGAATCGTGTTATTTTTATTTTTTTGGTTCTAAAGATAAATCGCTTTTGCTCACCCTTTGTGACAAATTATACAGATTTGATCTTTATAGTGTCAAATCCCAATGCATGGCCAGCTTGGCCAGAGTTAACTGAGCTAGGAACATAACATGACGAAAATATTTTTTGGAGTTGACGAAAATATTTCCAAAAAATATTTTTTGGAGTTTTCCAAAATACAAAAATTCGAAGAATTATTTACTAGCAAAAATATGTCCACGTTGTAAGACAATTTGTTTATAGGTACTTATGTTGTTTAATGATATAGATAATATATTTTTTAAAGAGAAAATTGGAAATATAAGACATAAATTGGAGAGCTTTGTCCCCTTAGTATTTTTTTGAAAAAAATTGCTCTCTTAATACTTATGCTAATTATAATCTTCTTTTACCCCTTCAAAACGAATTATTTGATATTCATATATTGTTTTAACTATTATTAATTAAAATAATGAATTTGATAAAAAAAATTCCACGATAAAAAAACAAAAATAACTTAAAGAGAAAAAAAAAACCCGACACTTTCTTGTTCTCATCGTCTTCTCCATCATCTTCTTCTTCTCAATGTCACCCATGCAAATCAAAGCTTCTCCCTTGTATTTCTGAAAGACCAGTAATTCTAAGAAGTTTTCGTTCAAGTCTGTATCCAATTGTCTGCTTCTTCAATCTATTCAACTGATTTTGGTTATTAGGGTTTGAAAACTCCAAATTAAATCTGAGTATTTTTTATACAGCCTGAGCAATTACCGGCGATAAGAAGAGAGATCTCTATATACCACAAATGTCATAGATATGCACCATAATTGAATAACCAGAACAGAAACACAGAAAACTGTAATTAGGGTGAGGGAGCTTGTGAAAATGTCGCCAGAGAGAAGAAGAAAAAAAAAAATCTTCGAAAATATGTTAACAACGTTAAAAACAAAAAAGGAAAATAAAATATTTTTAAATATTTAATTTTTGTTGGATAACACCTGATCCTAGATTTTTTCAGATTTTATTAATCGTTTAGTAGAATATAGATTCTATATTCACTAGAACAAAGACAAATAAGTAGAAGTCTAATTCTAGAAAACATAGAATATATAACGATTTCTAGAATATGTAGAATATATTACGAATTCTAGATAACGTATTCTACATGTTGTTATAGAAAACAAAACAAATGGTATAATATGTATTCTATACTCGGTGGATCTTATACCAAATACTAGAAAACAAATTCTATAAAACACTAAAATTGTAGAAGACGTTTTCTAGAACATAATAATAAATAAATTTTAAATATATGTATTTCTTTAAAGGATGTTTTAGAATAATATTTTTTCCTTTTTTGGAATTTTCAAAATTTAAATGTATATATAAATATTTATTTTGAAATATAAAAGTATTTAATAAGATTATTTTTGTCTAAAATTGCCAAAACTCAAAAAATACTAAGGGGACAAAGTTCTCTATTTTTTTGTCATATATTTCCAATTTTCCATTTTTTAAATGATAAATGAAATGCGTTTGTGTAGAGAAAAAGAAAGGAAAAAAAGCTATCTCTAACCGCATTAAAACATATTGGATGATGCGAGTTAGATTATTGTGACTAAAAGATAAAATATATGTATATATCATGTTTCATGAATTAACTGTTAAAAAAAATATTGTAATCAATGTGTTGTCCGATTTAAATTTTATGCTTTGTATATGGTTTTCAAAGTAGGTGGTTCGTATTGATTTCTATGCTGTGTGCATAAAAAAACTATATATATGCATTAGGTGATTTAGGTTAGGTGTATATAATAACCCAATATTATGAAGAAGACTACAAATTTACAGATAATCCATCCTAATCCTATCTTGCAGATAATTACTCATTCTTCTCCGAATCTGTTTGTTGCCTTGCTCCCTAAGTTGTCAATAAATAAAGAACTTTGTTTGTTTCCATTAATCGCCGCATCGTGTAATACTGGATCAGCACTCTACTGTGTGGGCTGCTTATATTCTTTTTATTATTCTAAGAAAAATGTTTCTACTTCTTCTCAGTTTTTAAGTCCAAGACTCCAAACGTGAGTATTAGGAAATTAGCAATAACATGACCATTTGTTACTATATATATCAAAGATCGACACAGACTCACAGAGTAAAGTCAGTGAGGAAGACGACAATGGAATCACGAAATGTAACCAACCACTTTTATTTTATTATAAAGATCATCTTTAATTTGTCCCATTTTTTTTTTTAGTTCACTCTCATTATAACTAAATAAAAAATGGATAAAGAGTACGTGAAGTTACTGCTGCTTCTACTTGTCTTGCTTCACCACGTTGATTCAGCCTCTATCATCAGGTCTCTTCCTGGTTTTGAAGGTCCTCTTCCTTTCGAGCTCGAAACCGGGTCTGTTTTCTCTTCATCTCATCTTCGTGATAAATCACCCAGTTTTACTAAAGCGGAGTAAATATTTTGAATGACTATAATTATGATTCATATAAAGGTACATTGGTGTTGGTGAGGCAGAGGAAGTTCAATTGTTTTACTACTTCATCAAGTCTGAGAGGAATCCAGAAGAAGACCCTCTTCTTCTCTGGTTAAGTGGGGGACCTGGCTGCTCTTCTCTCTCTGGTCTTCTTTATGAGAATGGTAAATTTTAATATTTTTGTTTTTTCACTTTTATATTGAAAGAATTTTCATTAGATTTTTAGTTAAAATCGCAGGGCCTGTGACTATCAAGATGGATGGTTACAGTGGAGGTATCCCTTCCTTGGTTTCTACTACATATTCATGGACAAAGGTTAAACAAAATTTAGAAACTTACCATAAAGTTTTTTTTTTTTTGCGATTGATCACAGACACTACAAAAAAACATACCTAATAAAAAATCTCTATAAAATTTGCGGTGTTTTTTTTTTTAGTAAAAACACAAAAATAGGCAAAAATAGTCTTCGGAAGTCAATGTGGTTTTTTGGTGATTAAAAAATTTTTGTGATAAAAAACCTAACGTAATTTATCACGAACTTTTTACTTCCTTGTTCTCAGATTGCAAACATGATATATTTAGACCAGCCTGTTGGAAGTGGATTCTCCTACTCAAAAACTCCACTTCTTGATGATATACCAAGCGACACAGGAGAAGCTAAGCGTGTCCATGAGTTTCTTCAAAAGGTTTAAAAACAAAACAAAACAAAAATTTAATTAATTGTCTTTTGATGCATGATTTATCTTTATGCATAGAATATTAAAAATTTGTTTTTTATAAAATATTTCGGTGGTTATGTACGGATTGCAGTGGCTAGACAAGCATCCAGATTTTGTTTCTAATCCTTTCTATGTCGCTGGAAATTCTTATTCTGGTAAAGTTGTTCCGGCAATTGTTCAAGAAATCTCAAAAGGTATATTTTGCTTCTAGATATTCTTTCTTGATCAACTCTTTTTCCTCCACTTTATAAAAATTTATGTAAGAAATCTCAAAAGGTATGCACTACCATGCAGGAAATTATATATGCTGTAAACCTCAAGTAAATCTTCAGGTTCATCATTAATTTTATTCTTGCTTCTTATGTGTTGTATATACAATTTTTGACTTTTTCATGCATTTAGAAATTCTAAATGTTTTAATTCGCGTAACCAATAACAGGGTTATGTGCTAGGAGATCCGGTAACAGCAATTGATATTGATGACAATTACCAGATTCCATTTGCTCATGGAATGGCATTGATCTCAGATGAACTCTACGAGGTACGAAATATAAGCATGCTTTTTTTTCTTTCTTTTTTTCTTGCAATTAATCGTAATGAAGTAGCTAATAAGCAAAAGAAACAGAAAAAGCATTTAAAAAACGTTTCTATTTTCGTGCAGTCATTAAAGAGAAGATGCAGAAGAAACTACATAAATGTGGATCCTCGTAACGCAGAATGTTTGAAATTGATCAAAGACTTTAAAAAGGTTTAGATTATGTAAATATTGTATTTAATATATAATTGATTCTACCAGCCATATACTCTAACGAATTCAAACTATTTTGGTTACGTACAGCTTACTTCTGGAATAAATGTATTACATATACTATTACCACGCTGCGAGGAATCATCTCCTAATTGCTATGTAACTAATTACGTCTTGATCTTCTTACGTCTATCTTTAGGCCACTGTAAAATATTTACAATAAAAACATGTACACCAAGTTGCTTTTGCAGAGGTATAAATATACTCTATCTTCGTACTGGGCCAATGACGTTAGCGTGCGCGACACGCTTCAAGTCGAAAAGGTATATACACAAGTTGAAGATTGAAATGTTGATGAAGTAAAAATGAGGTTAATTAAGGAAAAACTGTTTAAATGATTGCAGGGGAGCAAAATAAAATGGGTACGATGTAATCGGAATATACGTTACAGGAAAGATATTATAAGCAGTGTACCATACCATAAGAATAACAGTGTCAATGGTTACTCATCTTTAATCTTCAGGTAAGAATTTATTAACACTAAGTATTATTTTTGTCTTGATATAACCAAAAAAAAAACTCAAGATATTTTGTTTATTTTTTGGAACGAAAAATAAAAAAGCGGTGATCACGATATGGTAATACCTTTCTTTGGAACTGAAGCATGGATAAGATCTCTCAACTATTCAATTATTGACGATTGGAGACCATGGATGATAAACAATCAAGTTGCTGGATACACTAGAACTTACGCAAATAAGATGACATTTGCCACTATCAAAGCAAGTCCTTTTTTTTGTCTCTTTTAATATTTTTTAATTAATGATAAACGGGGTTTTTACCTACATGTGTCAATTACATAATTGTTATATGGATTTCATTTATAGGGAGGTGGACACACTCTAGACCCTAAACAAATGGAGAGCTTTATAATGTTCCAAAGGTGGATAAGTGGCCAACGTATGTAACAAGGGACAGCCTTCTTCGCCTTTCATGTTGTCTATTTTAAATCGCACATTCTCTATATAAATGGAAACTTTATCTTCGAATAACCTGAATAAATCCGTTATCTATTAACAATGAAATCAGAATTGTCTCTGGAAATTTGGAACAATTACATTTCTTATATTTTCAACAACCGAATAGCAAGCAGAATAATTTATACCAAATTAAAGAATGCTCATACTTGTAAGTGTTAATGCATCCGTTATTCTTACCTTGATGAGATGTGCTTACAAAAGAGAAGCGATTATATTGCATTTTTTTTAATATCATAGTCTTCGAAGAGAATTTCAAACCCACACATTTGGAATTGCATATATATATATATATATATATATATATATATATATAGTCTATTATGGGCTATGGTCAAATTGCTAAATAAGATTTTATGCATTTTATGGTCTTCAAAGTGGGAGGTTCATCTCCCATATTTGATTACTTATTCTTCTCAGATCTGTTTGTTGCCTTGCTCCTTAGGTTTTCAATAATAAAGAACTTTGTTTGTTTCCATTAATCGCCGCATCGTGTCGTACTGGATCACCACTCTCTCTATTGTATGGACCGCTAATATAACCTACCCCCTTTCATTTCTTATTAAATGTAACCTACCCGCTTTTTATTTTATTATAAAGATCATCATCTTTAATTTGTCCCTTCTGGGGTTTTGTGATTAAATACAAAAATTATATTCTTATTGTCAACTACTAACATGTGCTTGTCACGTGTTTTCCTAAACTTATCTTCTTCCATTTTGATGTGGATATATATTCGTGGCCACCAAATTCAGTACCCAATTCTTCCTCAGTTGATTCCTCTTTCGTCTTCTGTTAGATGAGACAAGCTTATTCCAACATTCCCATTTTTCTTTTAGTTCACTCTCATTATAACTTAACAAAAATAATGAATATAGAATACGTGAAGTTACTGCTGCTTCTACTTGTCTTGCTTCACCACGTTGATTCAGCCACTATCATAAGGTCTCTTCCTGGTTTTGAAGGTCCTCTTCCTTTTGAGCTCGAAACCGGGTCTGTTTTCTCTTCATCTCATCTTCTTGATAAATCGGATTGATTTGAGTTAGCTGCATGCAAATGTTTTCAAATGAATCTACTTCTGATTCTATATAAAGGTACATAGGTGTTGGTGAGGTTGAGGAAATTCAATTGTTTTACTACTTCATCAAGTCTGAGAGAAATCCAGAAGAAGACCCTCTTGTTCTCTGGTTAACTGGAGGACCTGGTTGCTCTTCCCTCAATGCTTTGCTTTTCGAGAATGGTAAAAATTTTAATATTATTTTTCATTTTTAAATTTAGGAATTTTCATCAAATTTTAGTTAGAATTGCAGGTCCTCTGACTATCAAGATGGATGGTTACAATGGAGGCATCCCTTCTTTGGTTTCTACTACATATTCATGGACAAAGGTAGCACCAAATATAGTAACTTTTCACAAACTCTTTCTTTTGTTGAGACTTAATACAGAGTCTACAAACATTATATATATGCTAATTAATTAAAGATCTAGAATCTGTTGGTTTTAAAAACAACTAAATTAATTTATCACAAACCTTTTACTTCCTGGTTCTCAGATTGCAAACATGATATATTTAGATCAGCCTGTTGGAAGTGGCTTCTCCTACTCAAAAACTCCACTTCTTGATGATGTACCAAGCGACACAGGAGAAGCTAAGCGTGTCCATGAGTTTCTTCAAAAGGTTTAATAACAAAAAAAAAAAATTTAATTGTCTTTTATTGCATGATTTGTCTTTATGCATAGAATATAAAAAGTTTGTTTTTTATAAAACATTTCGGTGGTTATGTACGGAATGCATTGCAGTGGCTAGGCAAGCATCCAGATTTTGTCTCTAATCCTTTCTATGTCACTGGAAATTCTTATGCTGGTAAGGTTGTTCCGGCAATTGTTCAAGAGATCTCAAAAGGTATATTTTGCTTCTAGATATTCTTTCTTGATCAACTCTTTTTCCTCCACTTTATAAAAATTTATGTAAGAAATCTCAAAAGGTATGCACTACCATGCAGGAAATTATATATGCTGTAAACCTCAAGTAAATCTTCAGGTTCATCAATATTGATTGCTTCTTTTATATACATTTTTTACTTATTCATGTATTTACACATTCTAACTTTTTTAACTCGCTTAACCAATAACAGGGTTATGTGCTAGGAAATCCGGTAACACACATTGATGTTGATAACAACTACCATGTTCCATTTGCTCATGGAATGGCATTGATCTCCGATGAACTTTACGAGGTACGAAAGATAGCATGATTTTTTGTTTTTTCTTGCATTCAATCATAATGAAGTAGCTAATAATTAGCAAAAGAAACAGAATAAGCATTTAAAAAACATTTCTGTTTTCGTGCAGTCACTAAAGAGAAGATGCAGAGGAAGTTACATTATTGTGGATCCTCGTAACGCAGAATGTTTGAAATTAATTAAAGACTTCGAGAAGGTTTGGATTATGGATGATACTTTGTAATTAATATATAGTTGATGACTTGATGTTCTTCATGCCATATATAGCCTAACGAATTAAAACTTTTTTGGGTTACTTACAGCTTACTTCTGGAATAAATATAGCATCTATACTAAGACCAAGCTGCAACGAAACATCTCCGAATTGCTATGTAACTAAAACCATCTTCTTATGTCTATCTTTAAGCCACTGTAAAACCATTAAACAATGGAACAAGAAAACATGAACACAAAGTTTTTTTTTTGAACCTAACGCGAACACGAAGTTGCTTTTGCAGACTTATGGATATTCGCTATCTTCGTATTGGGCAAATGACGATAGCGTGCGCAACACGCTCCAAGTCGAAAAGGTATACATACAAGTTGAAGATTAGAATGTTGATAAATTTAGATTAATGTTGATTAAGCTAGGAAACATTGTTCAAATGATTGCAGGGGAGTAACAGAAAATGGAGTCGATGTAATTATGATACACCTTACAAGATTGATATTATAAGCAGTGTACCATACCATAAGAATAACAGTGTCAATGGTTACCCATCTTTAATCTTCAGGTAAGAGTTTATAAAACTAGTATTATTTCTGTCTCCTAATAACAACAACAAAACAAAAATGTCAAGAGATTTTATTTATTTTTGCTGTGAAAAAAAAAGCGGTGATCACGATATGTCAATACCTTTCCTTGGAACTCAAGAATGGATAAGATCTCTCAATTATTCAATTATCGACGATTGGAGACCATGGATGATAAAAAATCAAGTTGCTGGATACACTAGAACTTATGCTAATAAGATGACATTTGCCACTATCAAAGCAAGTATTTTCTTGTCCCTCCTAACCTTTTGATTTAATGATAAAAGTATTCACTCGTGTTAATTACGTATTTGTTATATGGATTTCATTTATAGGGAGGTGGACACACTCTAGAATTTAAACCAAAGGTGGGCTTTATTATGTTCCAAAGGTGGATAAGTGGCCAACGTATGTAAAAAGGGACGGCCTTCTTCGCCTTTCATGTTCTCTATTATAGATCGCACTTTCGCCATATAAATGGAAACTTCGAATAGTCTAAAAAAATCCATATATTTTATTACAATAGTAAATTCAGAATCGCCTCTAGAAATGTGGAACAATTACATTTCATATATCTCTTCAACAAACAGATAGCAAAGAGTATTTCATACGAAAGAGTGCTCGTACTTTTGATTTTTGAGGTAAACTAACCTGACTTGGGTTGTTTGGAACTTGGAAGTGTTTACGCATCCCGTTATTCTTACTTTGATAAGGTGTGCTTTACAAAAGATAAGCGATCATGGATTCTTTTTTTGTTTGTTCCAAAGATATATGTTTTCTAACTAAAATTTACAAATGATTTGAGATTCACGTTTTACAACTTATAGAAGAACTTTGCAATTTCCTAAGTTAGAAATTTTATAACTTTTTTATTCTCTAATTACGATATTATCTCTTAGATTTGTCTATAAATTTACTAAATTTCTGAAACAATTAGGAAAATTTTCGTGTTGCTTATTTTTTGCGGAAAAAAATAAAGGAAACTCTTTGCAATAAGATTCAGTGAGAAATGCATTCCCTACTTCATCAAATGTAGAAATCAATTTTTATGCATATTCTATAATAGAAAAAAAAAATTATGTAAGTATGAAACAAAACTAGGTAAACTGTGACCCTTATGAATATGTCGAGATTCGAATTTGAGTCCTATAATTATATATATATATATAGTAAAAATTTCTCGAATAATTATTAGCTTTTGTTTATCAGAACTGATTTATACTTAGTGTTTTCATCACGAATAATAATTACGTCAGCAATGATGATTTAAGGTTTATCAATCAACAGGGCCGGTCCAGAACTAAGATCCGTGAAGCAATGGCTTCAAGACAGCTTAAAAAATATTATTTTTGGGGCAGTTAAAAACCCAATTTTTTTTAAAAAAATGTGTGTAAATAAATTTGTCCTACATCGATCAAATAAAAAAAATGAAAAGGAAAAATTGCCTATAAATAAAAGTCATTATCACCATCAAATATTTAAAAGAAAAATCAATTTTGGCTTATAAAAATCGATTTTGGGCTTCAAAAAATTAATTTAGCATATAAAAATCGATTTTGAACTTCAAAAAAATCGATTTTGGTTTTTCAAAAATCGTTTTGGGCTTCAAAAAAATCGATTTTGGCTTTTAAAAATCGTTTTGGCTTTAAGAAATTGATTCTGGACTTCAAAAAATCGATTTTGAGCTTTAAAAAAATTGATCTTAAGCTTAAAAAATTGATTTTAGATAGAGAAAATCGATTTTAAGCAAAAAACAAAAATTCGATTAAAAGCATCATTTTTATAATACGCTTTAGGCGTCAAATTAATTTGGATCGGTCCTGTCAATCAATCCAAACGAGTAACATGTTTGTTAATTCATGAAAGTGACCGATAATACTAAAGGAAGTTTTTGGAAAGGAAATGGTCACAAATGATTGTTTGTCCTTTTTTATTGGAGACACTGTATTTTGAGTCTTGCTATTGAGTTGTGAAGTCTAAGTTTTGGTGAGGAAAAACCGTACGACGGCTTTCACAATAATCAATACGTAATCAGGTAATTAACTGCAAGTTTTAGGATTGTACTTGGCGACATTAAGATAACAAATGATGCGGAGTAGTGTAAACTGTCTCTTCAAATTGTTCTTATGATTTTCGATGTCCATTATACTTATTGATCCATGCAATCAGTAAATGTTTTTATCAAACGTAATCCAGTTGACAAATAAATGCGGAAGATTATTAATATGGTACATTTTTAATGTAACAAATATGGAAGTTAAATTAAACTAATTTACATATATTCGTTGTTTAGAATGGAAACTAATTCAGTAACGTGACGCACGTGGGCAAACGTAGATGGAGACACCGTATACGGGGTAAGTAATAGCCTAATAGGCTATCGAATATACAAAGCCAAAACGATTAAAAAAAATGCTATTGATAAAAACTTGAGTTTATAGATATATATTTTGTATGTATATATATATGCATATGTGTATTAAAGAAAGGAGGAGAGAATGAACAATCTCTTTTAATTATTGATTCCTTTTCACACATACATTACTACAAGTGAGAGAGGGAGAGGTCTATTTATACACTGCATTGAGTCGGTAAAACTAAATCGGTAAAAGTATGGATAATTACAACATATTATAATACTCCCTCTTAATTATCCATTACTAATAATATATTACGTATTGCCTCATTAAAAACCTTACCATGAAAAAATCCAATAGGATAAAAACCATGATAAGAGAAAAAGAGTACAGAAATGAGATCTCTCTCTGGAATGATAGATATAACGTTTTCTTCATAAATCTCGCAAATGACGCATTCCGATAGTTTGAATATGCTTTCTGAATACTATAATAGGAAGCGCCTTTGTAAAGAGGTCCGCCGCATTTTCACATGAACGAACATACTGGATATCGACTTCTTGATTCTTCTCTAGTTCTTGTGTATAAGAGAAAAATCTTGGAGGAATATGTTTCGTCCTGTCACTCTTGATATAGCCTTCTTTTAGTTGAGCGACACATGCAGCATTATCTTCAAATACTTTTGTTGGTTCCGTATTGATGACTATTCTACTTGCACATTGTATATGTTGAGTCATGGATCTGAGACATATGCATTCTCTACATGCTTCATGAAGAGCAATGATTTCCGCATAATTTGAAGAAGTGGCGACCAAAGTCTGTTTTTGAGAACGCCACGAGATCGCCGTTCCACCAATTGTGAAAACATATCCAGTTTGCGATCGAGCTTTAAGCGGATCTGATAAATATCCTGCATCTGCAAAACCAATTAGACCAACTTCGGGGTTTCTATGATAAAATAAACCCAGATCAATCGTACCTTGGAGATAACGAAAAATATGTTTTATCCCATTCCAATGTCTGCGCGTAGGAGATGAGCTGTATCTTGCAAGTAGATTAGTAGCAAAGGCTATATCTGGTCGAGTACAATTTGCAAGATACATAAGCCCACCGATAGCGCTCATATAAGGTACATCAGGACCTAATACATTTTCGCTATCTTCACAAGGTCGAAATGGGTCCTTGTTAATATCAAGTGATCTATTGACCATTGGAGTACTCAAAGGAGTTGTTTTATCCATTTTAAACCGTTTTAACACCCTTTTGGTGTAATTTGATTGATGCACAAATATTCCATCTTGGAAATGCTCAATCTGGAGTCCTAGACAAAATTTTGTCTTTCCAAGATCTTTCATTTCGAACTCTTCTTTCATGTGAGTCCGTGCATCATCAATCTCCTTTTGAGTTCCGATTATGTTCAGGTCATCAACATATACAACAATGATCACAAATCCTGACGAGGATTTCTTAATAAATACGCAAGGGCATATCGCATTGTTGATATATCCTTTACTCAACAAATATTCACTTAAGCGATTATACCACATGCGTCCAGATTGTTTTAATCCGTAAAGTGATCGCTGTAATTTGACCGAACATATGTCTTTAGATGCTTCAGGCATCTTTGATCCTTCTGGGATCTTTAATCCCTCTGGAATTTTCATATATATATCACTATCAAGTGATCCATATAGATATGCAGTCACAACATCCATAAGGTACATTTCTAGATTTTTAGATGCCGTTAGGCTCATTAAGTACCTGAATGTGATTGCATCCATGACCGGGGAATATGTATCTTCATAATCAATTCCCGGTCTTTGAGAAAAACCTTGTGCCACAAGTCGGGCTTTATATCTTGTGACCTCGTTTTTCTCATTTCTTTTTCTCACAAATACCCATTTCCACCCGACTGGCATTACATCTTCTGGTGTAATGACTATAGGTCCAAAGACATTTCTTTTATTCAGGGAGATTAATTCATTTTTCATGGCAATCTGCCATTTCTCCCAGTCAGACCTTTTCTGACATTCTGACACGGACCTTGGGTCTGGATCATCATTTTCATTTTCAATTTCTTTAGATACCGAAAAGGAGAATATTCCATTTGTATCATTTATCTCGCTTCTAGCCCATAATGTCCCACTTTGGGTGAAGTTAATGGAAATCTCATACTTTTCAGTATCATGTTCGTTTTCGAGACGAACTTCTTTAATTAGTTCTTCTGGAACCTCTTCATGTATGTCTTCAGGACATATATCTTTATATGGTTCTTCTATAACTTTTTCACCAATGTCTTCAAGACATTTTTCTTTATTCGGTTCTTCTAGAACCTTGTCTCCCAATTTCTTTTTCTTTCGAGGATTTTTATCCTTCGAGCCCATCGGCCTCCCGCGCTTTAACTGAACCCGCGGTTCATTTGCTTTATTCCCATCAATAACTGGTTCCGGAACATTTATTTTTGATGGAGCATTAGCAGCGGGGATATATGATTTTGTCACTCTTCTCGTATCTGTGAACGCATCAGCTAACTGGTTTGCCAACCTTTGCAAATGTATGATTTTCTGAACTTCCATTTCGCGTTGATGGGTAGGGGGATCGAGAGAAGCCAAGGTTTGTGTACACCATGTGATATCCTTTGGTGATTCTCTTGATCCTCCCCCCAACGCTGGGAATTCATTTTCATCAAAGTGGCAATCGGCAAAACGTGCCGTAAACATATCTCTAGTTACTGGTTCAAGATATCTAATTATACTTGGTGACGTATAGCCGATATATATTCCCAATCTCCTTTGTGGCCCCATTTTTATTCTTTGCGGCGAGGCTATTGGGACATAGACCGTACATCCAAATATACGGAGATGGGATACATTTGGCTCTTTGCCAGATGTTAACTATATTGGGGAATATTCATTATATGCACTTGGCCTCATCTGGACCAATGCCCCAGCATGCAATATAGCATGTCCCCATACAGTAATTGGGAGTTTTGTTCTCAATATTAACGGTCTTGCTATCAATTGCAACCGTTTTATTAAAGACTCAGCCATGCCATTTTGTGTATGAACATGTGGAACCGGATGTTCAACATTGATTCCTAATGACATACAATAGTCATTAAAGGCTGCTGAAGTGAATTCACCAGCGTTGTCAAGCCTGACTTTCTTTATGACATAATCAGGGAATTGCGCTCTCAACCTGATTATTTGGACAATGAATCTTGCGAAAGCCATATTTCTTGTGGTTAATAAACAC